TAAATTTTATCTCTGTACAAGAGGCTAGTTTCTGCATGGATCTCCCTCTCTCCTGCAACCAGGCAAGTAAGAGGCATTATTAGAGTTCAAGAGCACAGTCCAGCCAGGCAAAAATCACACAAGGAAGGTGCCAAGCAGCTGCAGCTGCTGAGGAAGATAGTTTGGGGAGAGTCCCAAGGGCCAGATACAAAGGTTGGTGTGGGCGGCATTTGGTCTGCCAGGCCTCGGGTTCCTTATTCCTGGGCTAGAGCCAAAGGTGGATGAGGTTACAATTTTCTCTCTTTCTATCAGTCCCTTCTCTGTTCTCCCTTCCTTTTTTGCCATCACCCCTCTCTTCTCTCTCTCTCCTCTTTTTCTTTCTCCTCCCTGCTTCCTTGCTCCCTCTTTTCCTCGTACCCACTTTTCCTCCTTGAGTTTCAGCCCTGTAAGAGCTGGCAGCTCTTCCAAAGGGAGGCAGAATGAGGTTGCTGACTTAGGAGCTCTCCTTGGTGCTGTCATGACTGACCAGCTTTGCAGACTCTTCTCCAGGACCAGATCAGGACAGCTTTGTACAGGGCAAGTTGGGTCCTTGGAGTTGCCCAAGGTTGTGAGACTCTGGCTGCCTCGTCCCATTGATTCCCACTTTAGACAGGACAGAACAACTGCCCAGATCAGACCACGGATCCACCTAGTCTGGCATCCTGTTTCCCTCACTGCCCACCTGGAAGAAGGACTGCTGCTCATTGCTAGAGCATCTTCCTTGCATGCAGAAAGGCCCTAGCCACAATTCCTGGTGGTGTCACCAGGCAGGGCCGGGGGAAATCCTGGAGAGTCCTTGCTGCCAGTCAGCTTGGGCAATGCTGAGCCAGGTGGAACAGTGGGCCTGACTCAGCATTCCTGTATTCCTCATACCCCTGGGGAGCCCTTAAGCAGGGCTTGTAGGCAGCAGCCCTTCCCTGTGATTAACCCCTGCAATGGGTATTCAGAGATGAGCTGAATGGAGGTTCCATCTAGCCACCGCGAGCAGCCATAGAGTTCCTTGAAACTGAGGCATGGACAGGAAGGATGATCTATTGCAAAGGGGGGGAAGCTCCTCTATCTTTGTAGTTGCACAGGAGATGGAGGTTAATTCTCATGGAGAATTCTCATGGAGGCGCAGGTCAATTCTGTGTCCAGGGCAGCTGTTTACCAACTCCATCTGGTACGCAGCCTGAGACCCTACCTGCCCACAGACTGTCTTGCCAGAGTGGTGCATGCTCTGATTATCTCCCGCTTGGACTACTGCAATGCGCTCTACTTGGGGCAACCTTTGAAGGTGACTTGGAAACTACAATTAATCCAGAATGCAGCAGCTAGACTGGTGACTGGGAGTGGCCACCGAGACCATATAACACCGGTCCTGAAAGATCTCCATTGGCTCCCAGTACATTTCCGAGCACAATTCAAAGTGTTGGTGCTGACCTTTAAAGCCCTAAACAGCCTCGGTTCTGTATACCTGAAGGAGCATCTCCACCCTCATCATCCAGCCTGGACACTGAGGTCCAGCACCGAGGGCCTTCTGGTGGTTCCCTCACTGCGAGAAGTGAGGTTACAGGGAACCAAGAAGAGGGCCTTCTCAGTAGTGGCACCCGTCTTGTGGAACACCCTCCCAGCAGATGTCAAGGCAATAAACAACTATTTTACTTTTAAAAGACAACTGAAGGCGGCCCTGTTTAGGGAAGTTTTTTATGTCTGACGCTGTATTGTTTTTAATATTTGGCTAGAAGCTGCCCAGAGTGGCTGGGGAAACCTAGCCAGATGGGTGGGGTATAAATAATAATAATAATAATAATAATAATAATAATAATAATAATAATTTATGCCATGAATGGTGCAACTTGTTCGGTGCTGCCTGGCAGGCCACAGCTGGTTCCATGACTTCAGGATCCAACTTCCCCTCTTTGGGGGATGAGGCCATGGACCTAGAATGGAACTGCTAACAGAGCAACCCAGGACCCCAGAATGCCAGCAGAGGAAGAGGCTGTTCTGCCAACACCCCTCCAGACTGTGGCCCTCCGGGTTTGACGCCGCCGGGTTAGATGTGCTGCTGAAATGTGCAGCTAGAGAAACAAAAATGCAGAGACAAAATTTGTTACGGCACCCACTTTGGCTTCTGCCACTGGCATGCAGCCCTCAGAGGAGAATGTGGCCCTTGAAAAAGATTCCCACCCCAGGTGGCTCCGCCTGCAGCTGTGCTGAAGGCTCCTCAAAGCGTCCTGGCTGCCTTGCCTCTATCAACTAGAGCCACTGCCTGGAGCAGAGCCCCTGCCAACACCCTATCTTCTGTATAGCTCTGAAGAAGGCAGGAAGTCCTCCTTGGTCTCCCAGAATGGGATGGGGAGAGGGAACGGTCAAATATCTGAAGTGGATTCCTGTGAGGATCCTGGATCTGAGAGGGATAAAGGTGGTTGTGTAGGTCTTTTCTGCAAAGGGGTTTCTCCCCTTCATACACAGTAAATGTGCAGGGGATTGCTTTTATTTTGTGGAATCCAGACACCTTCCTGTTGCGTTCCAAAAGCAAGGAAGGATTGGACTCTGATTAATAAAATACACATGTAGCTTGACCAGCAAGACTCTGGGAGGCAGTGCGAATAATAATCTTCCTGGCCCTAAGATTAACAAAACTAACAATAGCTACATCAAAGCTACCTTCTATCTTTATGACCCAGGATGCCTGTGTTTTAGAATGCTTATACGTGCCTGTCAGGTGTAGAAAATGAACAGTAAAGAAGATGGGCAGAGATGCAGAGGCTTATGGGATTTAATCAGAAATTATTGTCAATGAATCAAGCCCAGTCAACGTAATGCTTTCATTGCGGCCACAATGGCTTGCTCCATATTTTCATAATTCCTCGTAGCAACCCCACCTGACCCCCACATCTTCCCTCAGAGCAGTGTGCACAGTAAGGATTTGCCTTGCTGAGTCAGGTCAAAGGCCCGCCTCATTAACCAGTCTCTTTTCGACAGGAACTTGCCGCAAGACTCCAGGTTTCAATCCGGTCCTGCTGAGCCCCAGGAACCATCAGTGAACATCAGAGCAACCACAAGGGACCAAAATGGAAAATGGGAACTCAGGTCTATACAAAGGTTGCTAAGGCAAAGTGATAGACAGCATGAGACCTTGGCACCTGGGAGGAGGAGGGAGAGGTTTATGCTTGCTTGAAGGCTGTGGGGAGGATTGCCAGACAACAGAGCACAGAGAGAAAGGACAACACCCCTGCTATGAGGAGATGCTGACACAAAATGTGCTTCTGTGGCTGGCCCATGGACACCTTGGAAGCATCTTGCAGCCATTGGCCCACGGCAGTTAAGCAGTCCTGTCCTGTCCCCTAGGAATTCACTATCTAAGGTATTGACTGCCCCCATTGTTTGACCTCAGCGTCACTGCTTTGAACATGGAGGCTCCATTTAGTAACCCTGGGTGAGAGCTTCTCTTGAGGGCAGATCACATTCCTTATGTGTTGGAGCATGATATCTTGTTCCGTGGAAAATGTGATTCTTCCCCAAGATAGCAGAGCTATCACCAATGCAGGTGGCCATTGGAAAATGCAGTTGCCTGAGTGTTGTGCCCCAGCTGGATGCATTGCTTGCATCTTGAATGGCAGAGAGGCAGTGTATCTCTCTCCAGCAAGGTCTGGCCCCCACCCATTGTGGGATTTGTTAACAAAACACAGCACAGGGTGGGAAACACCTGGAGCCACCTCCCTCACCTCAGAGCTAGAGAGCATAGCAACATTGGGGGCTTTTCCGTTTAGGAGAAAGGTGAGCAAGGAGGCACAGGATGGAGGCAATAACACTATGCATAGGGTCAAGAACATGGCTAGGAAGTTGCTGCTTGGTGCTGTCTGCTGGCTTGCTGACCTTCCGGGGTCAGCCGGAAAGTGTAAAGTGAAAGGTAAAGTGAACCTGCTGACTCAGGTAGCAGGTGGTTGGGCAATGGGTGATGTTGGAGCAGGGATGGAGAGCCTCAGGACGAGGGCCAAGTACCTCTCTGCAGCCCTCTTCATTAATACTATTAATATTAATTTATTTATACCCCGCCCATCTGGCTGGGTTTCCCCAGCCACTCTGGGCGGCTTCCAACAAAATATTAAAATACAATAGTCCATCAAACACTAAAAGCTTCCCTAAACAAGGCTGCCTACAGATGTCTTTGAAAAGTCTGGTAGTTGTTGTTCTCTTTGACATCTGGTGGGAGGGCGTTCCACAGGGTGGGTGCCACTACCGAGAAGGCCCTCTGCCTCATTCCCTGTAACTTGAGGGAACCACCAGAAGGCCCTCAGAGCTGGACCTCAGTGTCCAGGCTCAACGATGTGGGTGGAGACGCTCCTTCAGGTATACTGGAGCCTTTGGGACTCTCCCCAGGCCACACCCTCTAATAAGCCACGCCCCTCACCTTGCTGTCTCCTGGAGTGTTTTGGTCCCGTTGGAATGTGTGTCCGTGAACTCTGATCGTGGTTCTCACTTGCGAGAAGGGAGGATAGAAAAGGATATGTGGGTGCTAAGGAACCAGCTTATTGACTACTGGCTTTGCCCTACACTTCGTGGGTCCCACCTCATGGCTCACCACCGATGGCTACCCACAGCCCACCTTAGACAACCTGAGTAGTCCATTCCTTCCCACAATAGGTGAACACAGCCTACAGGACCAAACAATTCTGATTTGCTCATTGGCACTGATATATTCCCAGAGCAGCCTCTTGTTCACGTCTGTAACATTTTTATGGGGAGGGTTTGAATTATAGACTAAAACTGTAAATCCAATCCATTGAAATAAACAAAAGCACCCTTTCTGGGAGCATATAATATTTCCCCCTTTACTTTATGTATCACTTTTACAGTAACAAGATGTTCACAGCAATCTATTCAAAGGTACAAGTACTTGCAATAGTGCAATTGTGGGTCACTCAATGAAATTGATTGACAGTAGATCCAGGGAGGAGGAAATAAGATATTCCTCTACATAGCAGGCACTTTATTTATGGCTCTGGCTGGGATTGAACCTGGGACCTTCTGCATTCAAAGCAGATTCTCTACTGTTGAGCTACATCCCTTCCCTGCTGTTGAGAAAGGCTCCTGAATGAATGAAGAGGCAGCCAGGCCAGACCACATATTCCACGCATTGTCGTACACAAACATGCTTCTGCAACGCATTCTGGGGCTGCATCCCAGTTAAGCCTGGAGTGGCCCCCAGTGGGGGTGGGGACAGCAACCCCGCACTCCAAAAGCAGCCGAGCTGGGGACAAAGGTGTCATTTGTCCGATGGGCAGCCCAGTGCTTTTTCTGAGGCCTAGCAGGATCACCAACCAGTTGAGGTGCTTTCGACACACCTGGCCTGTCCTCTTACTCTAAGCTGCCATTTGTACCCCTTCCCTGCACCTTCTCAGCAGCTCTGTTGTCCTTATCCCTACATCTCTGCTTTTTCAGGGTTTTACAGCCCTGCTCACAAGCTGACTGCAAAAGTCGGAAAGGATGCTGTGTGCGCAGATGGCGTCCCCTCCAGCCCCTGAACCGCAAAATCTGCACACCTCCTCCCAACTCCCTATCAGCATCTGCAGGCCGTCAGATGCATTAATTGTTTCCCTAAGCTCTGAGCCAGTGGAGAGATACCAATCCTCCCAGCTCAGCCATTCTGCCCCTATCTCCCCATTCATCACCCGGCTCCCTCTTTTAATCCAGCTGCAGGCCATGGAGCCATGCAAGGAAGAATGACAGATTCTGCCATGGAAAATGTGCAGCCTTTTGGGGAAGGGAGGGCCCTGGCTGCCCACGGTCTCCCGTCTCCTGCCTTGAAGGACTCCTCCCTTTGAAATCAAAAGCCCTGCTGTACGGGATAGTGGAGGGGAAGCGAGAGGGGAGGCTGGATGGGCCATGGGGTGTCCTGGGGATGGGATGAGGGAGGAGGCTTTGTTTTTGTCCTCCTTGCTATCTGCCACCAAGCAGCAGCTCCTCCCGGCTGGAGGCAGCGGCTTATCTCCTTGCAACACAGATTGATTCATTTCACTTCTCTTGCGTCTGCATAATTGAATATTAATTGTCAGGTGTTGTTGTTATTGTCTTTCCCCCACGCTCTCCCTTCCTCCAGAACCACGCCAGGGCAGGAGGGCAAGGCCTGCAGCAAGGATAGGGCAGGTGCCCCCTTACTCTGAGTGCGTCAGGCCTTGGGACAAGAAGGCAGGCAGAGAGAAGGTAGCAGGCGAGGTTGAGGGATGGGGAGTTAATTCGCCCTCCAGGTCTGGAGACTCCAGCAGCCCATCAGTCACTGGGCATTCTCTTGCTATAAAGGACGGAGGCTTACTGCCAGCCCTAGCTCTGACACTGTTTGTGCAGAGTGCAAATTCCTGACACCAGCCTTGACCTGACAACAGGGGCGAAACTAGGCTTTATTCACCCTGATCAAAGACCCAGTTTGGCAATGCGCCATGTGCATTTGCATACACACACATGCTGGGAGCCTCAATGGCTCCCCGCTGGAGGCTTGGCCCAGGGCAAAAAACATGGCTAGCCCCCCCTGCCCCGTAGCTACAGCACTGCCTGACAAGTGGGTTCTTGGCTGGTTGTACAACCCACCTCTGTACCCTAAAGTAACCTTTAAAAAGGTAAAGGGTAAAGGGACCCCTGACCATTAGGTCCAGTCGTGGCCAACTCTGGGGTTGCGGCACTCATCTCACTTTATTGGCCGAGGGAGCTGGTATACAGCTTCCGGGTCATGTGGCCAGCATGACTAAGCCACTTCTGGCGAACCAGAACAGTGCACGGAAACGTCGTTTACCTTCCTGCCAGAGCGGTACCTATTTATCTACTTGCACTTTGAAGTGCTTTCAAATTGCTAGGTTGGCAGGAGCAGGGACCGAGCAACGGGAGCTCACCCCGTCGCAGGGATTCGAACCGCTGACCTTCTGATCTGCAAGCCCTAGGCTCTGTGGTTTAACCCACAGCACCACCTGCGTCCCTCATAAAGTAACCTTTAAGGCACCCCAAATCATGGCCCCCATATATTGGAGAATGCCTATTACAGGTGTTGAGAACCTTCTTTCCCTCTCCCACTGCATTCCTTTCAAGATAGTCTGTTGCAGGCCATATGCCCCCGTTTCCCTGCTGGCCCCAAAATTTGCTTTTTTGCAATATGCCCTCACACCAATCATTGCAGCTACAGTACAACCAAGCATAAGGGATTGGGAGTGGGTGCTTTGTGCCTTACACCAGAGGATGAGGAAAGAGGGAGACTCTCTGCCTGTCATTGTCTCTGGCTTCGCAAATGCTGGCCTCCCTGATTTCGGCCACACCCTGCCCAGTGGGCACCAGGCAGCGCTCATAGTGTTATGGCCACCCACTGCTGCTTGCTGCTACCACTAGGGACCACTGCCTGTCAGTCCCCCACCTCTGCCCATCCCAATTCTCAATTCTCCAGCCTCTGCAATCTGGGGTGCAAATAACCTGGCTTCCTCTTCAATGTACAGCAGAGAAGCCTCTGCACCCCACTCCTCGCTCTGGCTTTCCAGCAAACTCACACAGAGGCAGAGCTGAGCTGATTGATGGGTTTAATTTGTGGTGGTTCATGCCACTTTGGCATGGAGGAGAGAGATGATGGATGTCTTTCTCTCCTGCATCATGGGAGGTTGTCAGAAGGCCTGTAGCCTTGGCAGAGGATGCGTCGCCTTGGCCTGGTGGAGTTTGCATTGAAAGGCTTAGCGGAAGTGACAGAGGGCAGAAAGATGGGAAGAGTGAGCTCCTGGTGTTGTGAGTCAAAGAAGGCTTGCTCAAAAGCAAACTCATGTGTTTAAATGGGACTTGCTCCTAAGTGTGCCTGAAATCACAGCAGGAGACCTTACGAGGCAGGTGTTCTTCCTACCTTAAATATCTCAAAGGAAAGCTCTGGAAGGTTGGAACTGGCTCCAAACAGAGGCAAGGTTGGGCATTGGCTTGGCCCCCCAGATCAGCAGAGGGCCCACATGGTGTGAAGATGAAGGCAAATCTCAGCATCCATGCCCTGTCTATCTGGGAGGGAAGAAGGGAAAGCACCCTGCCCCCACCCGCAAATTCCTGGAAGCAGAGAGGCCGTATACTGAGTCAGCCCATTGGTCCATCTAGCTAAGTAGTGCCTACACTGAAGGGCAGCAGCTCTCAGGGATCTCTCCTGACAATGCCATTGGGGGCTGAAACGGGAACCTTCTGCTTGCAAGGCAGGTTCTCTGCTGCTGAGCTACTGCCTTTCTGCCAGGTGCTGGGGTGGGAACTCAGGGCCTGATCCATGTGAGCGTGAACTTAACTGCCACTAGCATTGTTCCAAAATCCCAGCAGATGCTTTGTGTGTGCCCACGCTGCCAGGCACATAAAATAAAGTGCAACAATTATGCCAACACCTCCACGTCTGTCTGCGTGTGAGTCATCAACGTAATTTCTAAGCAGTTGGAAAAATGCTTTCTGGGTTTGACAGTGCTCAAATCGCTATTATTTTTGATTGGGGAGGCCCTAATGGAATCTACCAGCTCCACACAAACGCTTCCATATTTTGGACAAATCACCCTCTCCATTCTAGGCATCTAAAAATGGTAGCTAAGTGGGACATCAGCGAAGATCAAGAGAACAGCTGTGCAGCTCTGCTCCACTATAGTGCTGACTACGGGTGGATCTGGCTAGGTAGACTGACAGCACAATCCTCTGCGTACTCAGAGGCAAGCTCTTCTAAGTTCAGTGCAGCTTACTCTCAGGTAGGGACATCAGAGAATTGCAATGGAAACAGGGAGTGGAAATTGCAAAGGTTTTCTTATTCGTTCCATGTCCTGCATGGAAATCAATCCAGTTGATATGGTCAGTATTTGCTGCTGCTTTCACTCTGCAAACCCTATGTAACTGATTACATTCCCCCTCCTTTTGCATTGTTTCTCCTTTCCATTGAAATAAATGGGGTGGCAATGGCTCAATGGCAATGTAATGTATGCAAACAATTGGTCAACAATTGGTAATTTAACTGCAGTGAGACAAATGGTGTTGTTTCGGGCAGAAGACAAACTGCAATGGCACAGAAACAGTGCTGGAAGTGACAAATACAGGGTGGAATGGAAGACAGTGGCTTCTTACACCCCTCCTCCCAGGAAATTGTACAGCCTGGATAACTGAACAGTGCAGAGCAGAAGACGCGGACGCCCTCCTTGGCCAACTTGTCTGTTTGTTGGTCAAATTACAGTAAAGAAGTACATAGAATCATAAAATTGTAGAGCTGGAAAGGACCCAAAGGGTCATCTATGCATTACAGTCAGTTCTATCCCATTTTTAAAACAACCCCCTCCCAGTCATATAGCAACATTGGGGGCCCCAGTGCACACATGTGATAAGGCCCTGCAGGGCCTGGCACACCCTCCTAAAGGCCCGACAAGGACTAGTCACAGCAGCAGGAGGGCCCGACGGGGCCCGTCCAGCTGTGGAATATTGTGGGGGCCTGACCCCCTCAGTATTTTGGGGGGGGCTTGGCCTCCCACCTCCCCCATAGATGGTGTGCCTGGATAACAAGTTAGAAAAACTGCAATTAAAGCCAGCCATATTGCCACAGAGAGACATGGCAGAGAAATGCAGGCAGAAAGGGCTTTACAGGGTGGCGTTAACCGTCCCCCCCCCGGGGGGGGGGCCTTCTAGAAATAGTGGCCAAAAGGCCATCAGGAAAGGTGCTCCTCCTCCAATGAGCAGAACATGGGGTTCTGAGGTAAGACTTGTGTCAAAAACCCCCATTGTGCAATCATTGTTACCAGTAGGAAAATTTTATTTGTGATTCATCTGGTTTGCCATAGGGAGCTGTCAATATCCACCAGCCGATGACAACAATGAATTAGCCATGGGAGTCTTCAGGGCTGCAAGCCACGACATTACCATCTCCTCTGTGTTCCCATCTAGCCATATCTCATGCCTTCCTCTGAAGGGTGTTTTTGTGTGTATAAAAAGAAACCAGTGCCATCCTCTTTCAATTTAATATTTTGCAAAATGTTTTGAATTATTATTAATTGATTTTAGATTCAGGCAATTTCAAGCTATGAAAGCAGCAGGGAGAAGTCAAGCCCATCACTATGTTGGCTGCAGATCAATAATTTCCTGCCTTAGAGGGTGGGAAAAGGCAGGGAGAGTTTGTTAAAACTGTGACCAAATATAATAGGTATCTTAAAATAGCCTCTAGGTCTTTGCTGCACAAGGTCCTTAGGGTTTTTTACTCATTAAATTGTTGCAATGTCTGAGCTGTGGAGATTAAGCAAACTACGTAAGGATTGCCAAAAAGAACATTTTGTTGCAAAGTTTTTTTTTTGCCTCTAACAAGCAAATTTCATCAGTTGAAGCTTTTCGTGGCATACAAAGGCAGTGATTGGGAAATCTCAATCTGATGAACTTATGCCTGTCGTGTCACTATTTAGTTTTAAAGCCATGTGACCTCTTGGACACAATGAAAATGCTCAGGCATCATGTTTGCATGAATCAGAATTTTGGGGACAATTCCATGTGATCCTGAAGAAGACTGAACTTTCTTATATGCATAATTCAAGATAGCATTATCTGTAGGGAAGCAGCAGCAGTGGAATCTCCCTGAAGAGGGAGCACAATTTGTAATCTAAAAAAAAAGGGGGGGGGGAGTTGAAATACTGTACACCAAATTCCAGATACAGTGGTACCTCAGTTTACACACGCTTCAGGTTACAGACTCCACTAACCCAGAAATAGTACTTCAGGTTAAGAACTTTGCTTCAGGATGAGAACAGAAATCGTGCTCCTGCGGTGCGGCAGCAGCAGGAGGCCCCATTAGCTAAAGTGGTGCTTCGGGTTAAGAACAGTTTCAGGTTACGTATGGACCTCCAGAACGAATTAAGTACTTAACCCGAGGTACCACTGTACCATAATCAAGAAAAATTCTGATTGTGGGGAATGTTTACATCTTTCCCAAAGGGGAGGGCATTGTGCACATCCGAATATGGTTAAGGTGCTTAAAAATCAGCCAGAAAGCTGATTTTTAAAATACAGGCAGCCCATGAAATCCTGATTATTAGAAATGTAGTAAGCAGCAAGGCTGGCACCGTTAAGCACCTTCCAAGGCCCAAACCCAAATATGCCATAAAAAGTGACATTCCACATAGCAAGGCCACAGACACAGTACAATTGGCACTTGTGACACTAGCACAACCACAAGTCACACAGCACACACTAATCTGAAAGCTTGCACCATGTTGTGTGTGAGAGCGGTGGAGAGACCATGTTTTCCAAACAGCCCACTCTTGTGGTTTGAGTCACAGGGAGATGTCATTTGCCTGCAACAGAGGTACTGGATAGAAAGAAGACTGTTAGAGCTTGCACAATGAGCAGTGTGAGTGTGGGAGAGAGTTGGTTGGTTGGCAACCGTCTCTCTCAAAAGACAATAGTGTCCCTCTACAGGTGAAGTGAAGGGAGTTATCTTTCACAAAACCTCCTAAAAAGTCCTGCAGAATCCAGCAGGTGGCACCTGAGGAACAGTTTGTAGGCCATAATAGCTCAGCAGCAAAGCCCCAAATACTTTGAGGGGTGAAGATTCCAAGTTTGTCCCCAGTTTGGTCCAGTTGAAAGGATTGCAGGTAGCAGGTGGTGGGAAAGTCTCTGGAGATTCTGTCAGCTGGAGTGTGCAAAATGAGGGCAGCCAAACTATTGGCCTGGTACAAAACAGCTCCCTGTATGTGTGGCAAGACTGTGAAACCTCTCCTTCATTGGAGGTTTTTGAGTGGAGTTTGGATGTGCCAGGGATGCTTCAGCTGTAATTATAGGTGCCGGTTTCCTGGGGCCCTGGGTGCCGGAGCACCCACAAATTACAGTACCAGGGCCATTCACGCTGCATGGCACCCACGGCCGCAGGGCCAAGCTAGCCCTCCTGGCTGCAATTCCTGCCTTGCAGGGGGTAGCCTAGATGACCCTCGGGATCCCTTCCAACTCTACAGTTCTAGGATTCTGTGCTGCTGTTCTGCCCATCGGAACCCTGGAGCACAAACTCATGTTGCTGGCAAACCCATGTTCGGCTAATTGGCCCTTGGCTTTCTGCCCTGATCCTTCGGAGCGCAGCTTTGCTCACTGCGGGCGTCGCGCTTCCACAACGAAGAGCAACACCCTTAAAACACTCCGAAGCATGATCTAAAACAATAATCTCTTCATCACTAAGAAGCTAATTTACAGCACTAGCCTTTTAAGCTAGAGAGGGAAATAATTTCCCTTAGTGACATGCCTCAACTTAATCCCACCCCTTGATTTATAATATTCGTACTAGTATGAATAACCCTCATTATATTTTTTACAAAAATTATTAATACCAATTCCTATCTCTCAACCCCACAATATAAAAAACAATCCAATAACTGCCAGAGCAAAGCCCCGGTGCTGTGGGACTCCGGTTCCCGTCAGCACCAGCCAGCGTGGCCAGCGGCTGAAGGGTGGGGGGTGGTATCCAGCAGCTCCTTAGGGGGGCCACTGGTGCCCCATCGCCGCCTTGGGGCTTCCGCCTGACGCACCTGCACCGAAAGCAACGGGCCGCGTTCCCGAGTAAATGCAGATCCACAGAAAACAGCCCCCCCCCCGCGCCCCCATTGCTAAGCAGCAAGAGCAACATCGGCGGCGCAAGGAAAGATTGCGAGCGCCTCGGGGCAGGGGATCCCGCATCTTGCGCTGTGCCCGGGAATCACCCCCCCACTACACCCCCCAAGCTCCCGGGAACTGCAGCTGATCGAGGGCGCTGAAGAACCTTGAGGCGGAAACTACAGTTCCCAGGGATCTTGGGGTGCGTGCGAAGGTGCCTTAAATATACCGGCAGATGCGCCCTGCAAGTCCATGCGCTGCGCTGTCCGCAGGGCATCCTATGGCGCGGGGGTCCTGCCCGGGTCTCTCCGCCGTCCGAGCGGCTGCCCGACTCCGCCCCTCGGAGAAGGAGGAGGAGCCCGCGGCGCCCTCTCCTCGACTGCGCGTGCGCAGCCCCGGCTCTCCTCTCTTCCTCCCGCGCCGGCGCCGTCCTTCGCGAGGGCGCGAGGAGGTTAGTCCGCCCTGCGCCGCCGTAGCCTCGGCCCCGCCCGCCTTTGCCCTCGGAGCGTCTCGCCAGCGGAGCAGCAGCGGCGCGTGGCCGTCGGAGGAAGGAAGCCAGGAGGCCGGCCAGGAACAGAAGCCGCCGCAGAAGCCGCCGCCGCGCCGGCCGCCACCCCCGCCCGCCCTTCCTTCCCGCGCGTCGCCTCACGGCCGCCGCTTCTGTGTCCCCTCAGCCATGTTGGCAGCCGCTCAGCTCCTCCTCAGCCGCCGCTGCGCCGCGCCCGTCCTCCGCGGCCTCGTCCCCCGCGCGGCCCCCGCAGGTGAGGCGCCCCTCCTCCCACGCTCCCGGCCGCGCCGGCGCCGCGGCGCTCGAGGCCTGGCCGTGTCCTTGCCGTGACCCCGCTCGCCCGCCCGCGGGGAGCCGATGGGCCTCCTCAAGGCGCCGCCGCTCGCACTCGGCCCGGTTCTGGCGGGTCCCCTGCCGGCCGACCTCCCTCTCCCCCCGAGGGGCGCCCGCTGCGCGCGCTGCTCGGCCTCGTCGCGACCCTGCCGGGGGGGGGGGGAGGGAGCCGGGTGACCTTGGCGCGGGAAGCGGCGGCGACGAGGAAGGTCGCGGGCCCGCCTGCTCTTCCTCAGCCGCCCCCTTTCCTCGGCTCCTGAGCTCCCCTCGGTAGGAAGGTGAGGGAGGGGCCCGGGTTCAAATCCCGCGCTCGGCCGTGGATGAAGCTCTCTGGGCGTGACCTTGGGGGTCAGCCTAGCCTGCCTCGCAGGGTTGTCGGGAGGAAAGGTGTAAATGCAACGAGGAAATGATTTTGAAGGAGGAAGGGGATCAGATACGGAAGAAGATCTCAGGCGGGATAATGTGCTTTGGAGTATTCCTAAGAAAAGAGAGTTTCCCCGTCTCTTCAAGATGGGCATGGCTGCTTTGTGCTCCCTTTGGTTCTGATCTGCAGGGCATTCACTCAGTTTCTGCTCTTCCTGGTTTCACTTTTTGCTTGTGGCTCTGCTTCCATTTCATGGAATAGGTTTCTTCTCTTAAGGACCAACTCACTTCTAGGTGCACATCCTCTAAGGCTCCCCTCCTACCTGAAAATGGGCTCATATGCTGATATGTTAACTGTCAGTCCAGGCTTGAAAACAGTTGCAGTCAGAGCCGTACATGTTCTTAGCTTGTCCAAAGAAATGAACAGTTTACTGGGTGACCTTGAGCCCACCAATCTCTCCCCAGCTTTCCTGCCTCACAGGTTCACTGTGAGGATGTGAAGGAGTGGATCATGGGTAGGCAAACTAAGGCCCGGGGGCTGAATCCGTCCCAACTGCTTTCTAAATCCGGCCTGCGTACGGTCCGGGAATCAGTGTGTTTTTACATGAGTAGAATGTGTCCTTTTATTAAAAATGCATCTCTGGGTTAATTGTGGGGCATAGGAATTCGTTCATTTTCCATCCCCCAAAATATAGTCCGGCCCCCCACAAGGTCTGAGGGACAGTGGACCGGCCCCCTGCTGAAAAAGTTTTCTGACCCTTGGAGTAGATGATCCTGTTTGAATGCTACCCTGAGTTCCTTGAAGGAAGGGTAGGGGGAGCTATGTGATAACCTGTCTGTATCCCATTCCCATTTAAGAAGGGCAGTTAGGGCCATGATCTGCTTAAGGGTGCTTCCAGACAGTATTTTGAAGGAGGGATTCAGGCACATACTGGAACTTTAGGTTAGCACAATTAAAGTGGAGTTATTGCCCTGATGCAACAAATCCATGTTAAAAAGAAGGGTGGGGTTTTTTTTTTGCAGTTTGGAATGTGACAGGGCAATGCATTGAAAACAGTGGGATGAATGGGAAGGCGTATGAACACAGCGCAAGCATATCAGGATGAATATTTATTGTTGTATATCAACCCCAGAAACAAGTCAGAATGACTGCTCAGTATAGACTGACATAGGCTAATCACTGAATAATCTGTGTGCAAGCCAATCAAGATGGGTATTTAGTAAGTGGGTCAAATAGACGAGCCCTAAGATAGGGACATCTGGAAAAAATACTCTGCCTTATGAACTCACTTATGCATGGCTTTGTTGACTTGTTCCAAACCAGGATCTTTTCAAGTCAGTGTGGTCCCAATTTACATGTGAGTTGGCTCTATACAATAGCTTGATTGTGAAAGTAGTATCAAAATTAATTCCCAGCAGGGAAATTGGCTCAATAAAACTTCACTGACATTGAGGCAGTGCATTGGAGAACAGTGTTGATGCAGTCGTCAAATTGGTGTCTATTCTAGGTGAAGGCTCCTAGATACTTAACAAGTGTTGTACGGCCTTTGTGTCTTGTACTTATCCCCCAAGATGGCAGGTGAAGGTACTGGAAACTAAGAATACCATTGATGCTAAAGACTCCAGCAAATTTTGCATTCATTTAACAGATACGATTTACCACAAAATCTGAGGACGTTGAAATACTGACGGTACTGAAAATTGTCTTTGACCACCAACATTGCAACAAAGCATGTTTTACTTTAGAGCAGCTGTTCTGAGATGGAGGCTTATTAACTGAAGAATAGAAAAATCAAGAGTGAAATGGATAATTTTCAGCTGAAATGCCAGCATCTCATTTCTTTGGGTAGTTTTAACACCTGGCATTTTAAAATTCCAAGCCTGTCTAGTTTCTTCTGTGGATTGTGCAACAGCAAGACAATGTCCACAATGAAAGCAGTTTTTTCCCCTCTTGTTTGAGTTCATTGTACTGCTGAATTGGACTAAACGAAGTGAATTTTTGAATTAAATATTATTTATGCAGCAGCTTAAACCTAGGTTATGGTCGCCACAACACAATGTCTATTTGCCGGGGGGGGGGGAGGAGGTTGGACTAGATAACTCTCTGGGTCCCTTCCAATACTATTCTAATATTCTATTATTGTAACTACATTGCTTTACTTGCTCTTACAACAGTGCACTTGTCCCAGTATGCAAGAAGGAGAAACATATGCTATGGAAATGGTTTTGACTATGGACTAAGGGAGAGGTTTTTAGACTGTGGTTGCCAACAAGGTGCCCAGATATCTCCGCATAGTCGCAATTCGACCCACGCCAGTAGCAAAATGCCGCTGGCTAATTTCTAACACTGACAGTGATCCTGCAGGATGTGTTAAGTAGAATATGAACTGCTACTCTGGTGGCAGACTTTAGAACCCTTAGATTATATCTGCTTCAAATCTTTGCCAGAGATAATTGAACTTTGGAGCTTGCTGCCTCCAGGTACTTATATGACACACACACATACACACACACACACACACTCCTGATAAAGTGACTCTAGACATGTCTATTTTTTCAGGCCTGTTCTATTTAAGTGAGCTTTTAATCTTCTCCATTATCTTCCCTTTCTCTTGTGTGTCTGGTTTTTCCCCAGGTTGTAAACTTGAAGGCAAGGTTTTGTTCTTAGTTCTGTATACTGTACAGTTCAGAACACTGACTTATTTTAGATAGTATTGAAGTGTGATTTTAATTATTATCACTATTATTAACTATCCTTCTGGCATACATTCTTAAGCATTCAGGGACTTCGTGTTTTCCCCTGAAAGCACCAGACTAGCTATCTCAACTATGTAAATAAGCCCAAAGGTGACTTGCTAGCAAAAAAAATAATAATCTAAAGCTGGGAGGGATACCTGTAATGTGTGCATTAAAAAGTTATGATAATTTACAAAATAGCCATTGGATTGCTGGAAAGCTTATTCTGATGGGATGGTAATTAGATTTTTTTTAGGTGACTTAGCTTGCCATGAATGCTGAAGATATGTTGCTCCAGCAATGCAAATCAATACTCTGCTGTAGTTTTTCTACCCTTTGCCTGCTGCCTCCTGCCCCACTCTCTCTCTTCTGGCAGGAAATGGGAAAATTCATACAGCAACCCTTGTGCACAGCTGGGTGAACCTTTTAAAGTGGTGTAGTTTAGGGCTGTTTCAGTGCATGTTTCTCTTTACTGGGGAGGGAGGGGTGATGGCATAGTTCTTCAGTAGAAACTCTGGCAGCTACAGTCTGGAAGTGATGTGGGGATGGTTGCTGCTGACCAAAGCAGAGAGCTGCATTCCTGGGATTTCACGTGTACACTGACTTCCTATGCGTACCTGCTGTATTGCAGCTTTACCTTGAGCTCTTTAATATCTTCCTCTCCTTCCCACTTCCTTTTTTTGTCACAGCTGTATTGCCTGTGCGCTGCTATTCTCATGGGTCACATGAGTCAGATGAAGAGTTTGATGCTCGCTGGGTGACGTACTTTAATAAACCGGATATCGATGCCTGGGAGCTAAGGAAAGGTAAGGCTGAGGGAGAGTAGTATTGAAGAGCTTGAGAAACCCTCCTTTGCTGTGTGCTGCTGCGGCTGCAGCTGAATGGAGGCATTTCTGCAAGCTGGTTGTGGCAGCTTGCATGGAGCAGTCATTCCATTTTTCTTCAGTCCCTGCCCAACATTCCACCAGCCTTAATGGAACTGTTCCAGAGCATAGAATTGTAGAGTTGGAAGAGACCCTGAGGGTCATCTAGTCCAACCCTCTGCAGTGCAGGGATCTCAGCTAAAACACCGTGACAGATGGCCACCCAACCTCTGCTTTTAAGATTGTACCTCTGGTATTTTAATAGCTGTATGAGTAGTAAAAAATGGTCATTTATCATAACTTGCTAAAATCGAAACGGATTCAATGTTTCTGTCAGTCCCTTGATGTTTCAGCCATGCCTCACCTTTTTCAAGGCATATCTTTTGTTAGGGAAAGAGAGATAAGACTGACTTCGGCTGTACATAAGAGGACAATGATATTAGGGCTCTGAACGAGCACTAAACTGATGAAATCCCTTTCACTGTTGAATGCCTTGCAATATTCTATTTAAGGTAAGAGGAAGTGTACAGTTTTTATTGTGCTGATGGTTGTCAAGACAAAATGGCACTTTTTATTGGGTGACTCTTCTTTGTTACAGAGGCTGAACAGCAATTAATAGTTTAATAAAGTAACCTTTTAGAAAACTCCCCAAAGTATGTGAGTTCTTAAATAAGCAGGGAGCATAAAAGTCACAAACATTCAGAATCTTAAAGTTGTGTTTAACTTTTCAAGTTTAAAGTCCACAATAAATGGAGCTTTGCTGTGGAAATTGGGATCTGTTGTTGGATGCAAAAAAATAGAATTGAAGTTTTGGCACTGAAATGGCAAATTACAGATTTGATCTCAGATTTTGTATGTGGAATGTAAGCAACGTTTCATGTTAGCGCTACAAATTTTGTGTACTGTGGCAATATCAAATATCAGAAGTCACTTGCAGGAAATTTGATATTAATAATATGTTTTGGCATATTTAGATATAATCAGAACTGTTAGGAAGAGAAATGGCGCCTGTGTGACACTCCTGAACTTGTAAGAACAACAGAATATTCTCATTCTTGTTCATTCCCACAGGCATGAACACACTGGTTGGTTATGACCTGGTTCCAGAACCAAAAATCATTGATGCTGCTTTGAGGGCATGCCGACGACTAAATGACTTTGCTAGCGCAGTCCGTATCTTAGAAGTTGTAAAGGTCAGTGAAAGACACTTGAGTATGAGCAGACAACACCCTGCTTCTCCATTTGCCTCTGTGTTTATAGTGTGTATATTGTGGAGTTCCGGCTTGCTGATGATCCATAAAGAGCCTTTGCACCCTGTGTAGAGATTTGTTTGACTAGCCTTGAGAGCCTAACAAATCTTTCTAGCCAGCATTGTCTACTTTAATGGTCATTGGCTCTCCACAGCCTGTGACATAGGTCCTTCTAACCCTGTTAACCTTGATCTTTTTGACAGGATATGTGCAGCTGAGAGTGGAACTTTCTGTACAAAATACATGTGCCCCTGCCCTGCTTTTGCCCATTTCCCCACAAAAGTTTACCAGGCTACTTATAATGGAAGCCTATGCATGTAAACTCAAAAGAAAGCTCCACTGTGTTCAGTGGGATTTGCTTTCAGGAGAGTATAGATTTGTAGCCTCATATAGCGTCTAAATCACAGAGCCAATCAGGGCTTGCCAATCAGAAGGTCGGTGGTTTGAATCCCCCACAACTGGGTGAGCTCCCGTTGCTCAGTCCCTGCTCCTGTCAACCTAGCAGTTCAAAAGCACGTCAAATTGCAAGTAGATAAATAGGTACTGCTCCGGCGGGAAGGTAAACTGCGTTTCCGTGCGCTGCTCTGGTTTCACCGGAAGCAGCTTAGTCATGCTGGGCACATGACCCGGAAGCTGTCTGCGGACAAACGCCAGCTCCCTCGCTCGGCCAGTAAAGCGAGATGAGCGCTGCAACCCGAGTTGTTGGCGAATGTCCTTAACAGTCAGGGGTCCCTTTACTTTTACCTTATAGCCACTTTCACCTCTAAAAGCTGGATTTTGAAGCATTAAATTGTTCCTTAACTCTTGATGAAATGCTTTTCTCTTGTGTGTATTTTTTTTTATTAAAAAAACCAACCTTAAGACTATTGAAGAAGTAACCCTATTGACCTTGGATATGAATCTGTCTTGGTTTTGTTAAGTTTAAATTCATTTTGTGTTCTTTCAATTAGGACAAAGCAGGGCCTCACAAGGAAATATACCCATATGTAATCCAGGAACTTAGACCAACGTTGAATGAGTTGGGAATCTCAACTCCAGAGGAACTTGGCCTGGACAAAGTGTAAACATTATTGGTAAGAGAACAAATCTTCAGTCCTTTGCGGAAACAGCTTTTTAATCATCCATCTTCTTTACCAGGCTCCTGGACAGTTGCTTGAGGGTTCCCAGGAGATCTCATGGGGCCATCTGAGATCTTGCAAGCTCTCAAGAGGTGGGAGCAGTTCCAGGGGTTGTTCTGACTTTGTGTGATTTTGCTTTTATGCGCAACCCCCGGGAACAACCCTTGTGCAAGTTGCAATTGCCCTGCACGCCAGATAGAGTTTGAGCTATCTTGAGTAGAACACCAAGGCTTTGTTTTCTAGGTTTGCCTGAGGAAAGGCAGAAAAAAGACTTGCAAATTCTCTGCATTCACCTAGCCCCACCCCCTTTTCTGGTGGGCCATTCTTGATATACTTGAAATGTAGTTCTTATACTTAAGTGATTAAAAAAGACTGGAGAAAAGTACAGTGAACACTTCTCATTCATCAGTGTCAGGCTCCTTATTTCTGAATCTGACTCAAATACAGCCATATAATATTGGTGCTTGCTTAGTTGTCTGCATCAAATAACTTCACTCCTGGCAACCAGGAGTGTTTCTCCTGCTGTCATATGTGCTGAACTTACAGTGGGGGTCAAGCACTCAGCCTAAGCTTAGCAACTGCTGTTCTGTTAATGGAGCAACATTGGAGACTATGCAAACACGTCACCCTTAAATAGGACAGTGCTATGGAAGTTGGATGTTTAGTGGCAATACATGCAATGCTCTGCTAGCTTTAAGCTGTCACTTACTTAATGTACAGAAAAAAGCAGCAGAGCCCCTGCTAGGTGTAGTGGCACCAGGGAGGAGAAAATAAACAGCATTTAATAGCAAGCCTGCACAAACCTGAATTGACTTTAGGAATAAAATGCGTTCTCATAAGTATTCATCTGGGGCAAGTGGCCTTTGCAGGGAGAAAGGCTTTTTTTCCAGTGAGAAGAATCTGAGCTGTTACTCTAACGTTGCATTGGTTACAGTGAATTGGGGTCCTCATTTGCGGCCACATAACCACAATCTACTGCTTGGGCACCATATGCTTTGTGTTCTGTGTAAACACTAGAACCCTACAGACTTTGAATGAAGAGCTGCAACTCTGTATGCAGTTAGAAATGTTTTACTGGTTCCCATGCTTCCCTGCCCAAGCAACAGAAGGTGGCCTTCAGTCAATCAATGACATAGGGCAGGAAGCACATCCATGCCCCCATCCTGGCACCAGTTCTGCTGGGTGCCCTTTTTGGTCCTTAGTCTCTGTGGCCAGTGGTTGCTGCCACACATACTAACTCCTTGCAGGCAGGCAAGCAGGCATGCGACAGCAGCCCCAAGAGATTTCCAGGCTGAGTTTCTTCTCCCCACACACCGTCCTTATTAAAGTGGGGTGCTCCCCACTTTATGCAATTTCACTTATATGTGTGGGGACCCAGCATGTAATCCTTGTGTACGTGTGTGTTTGGGGGTGTGTGTAAAGCCTGTATTCTGGAGATGACTTATCAATTTTATTTATTAATTTATTTCATACCCCACAAAATGTACTTCCCCGCCTTTTTTATAAAAATGACCAGAGTGACTAAGAACAGTACAGTCCTGAATAAAAGAAATAGGAACAAGATGGCCATTGTACAATAAGATAACATAAGAGCAGATTAAGAACGGCAGCAAATCAAAACACAATTATTTTACAAATACAGATTAAGACACAAAGGCTTGTGTCCAGTACTGTGTGCACGGAGTCCCACTTGTGAAACAGGTTGTTGCTCTCCTCTCCATGTGTGCCATCCACACCTGCTCTGTAGGGGTTATCCAACCTTTGGAGCAGATTCTGAGGTTGCAGGGAGAGGGGTGTGGTGTGGTGTGTTGTACAGGCAGAAGTTTGCAGTGCTAATGGAACAGTAGCGTTGGATACAACCCAAAGCAGTAGAGAGAACTAAGCAAAATCAGCCCAGTTTGCCAGATACCTGCTAAAATAGAAAGAATATAGGGCAAAAATGTTAAGCAAATGTTGTTGAAAGAATTTTTTTGAAGGGCTGCTGGGATATATGGTGTGCGTGCGTGCCATATATATATATGTGTGTGTGTAATTCTTTAGACTGCATATATATATTTGGAGATATGAGGAAAACACAAAGGTCACAAGGCTGTGGTAGAAAAATGGTCTTTTTACACCACTGGGCAGCAAGCTGTTAATCTGCAGCTGCTTGGTACACAGATCAGATTATGTTCCCCCAACTATCCATTTTTTCTCTTTCAGAAGCTTTCTGGTGGTGGTGGGGAGGCAGAAAGAGCTTGAAAAGGGTGTAGAAATGCATGAACTAATCCATGATATTTGTTCTCTTCCAGATGAGCTTCCTGTGGGGTTATTGTTAATGCTATTTGATTGTACAACAATTGCCTGGAATCAGACGTTAAAATATTACTTATTTGAAATTACTACTTCCTTTTATTGAGTCCTGGAGTATGTGTTGTGAAGCTGGACCTAATAAAGGGGAACTGGTTTGAACTGAGTGTTCTTTGTAGCCTGTGTTATTATATACTAGAAAAGAAAATCTTATTTCCCATAATGAAAGTGAATAAACATGGGGTACAGAACTTAATCCTCAATTTCACAACCTGACAATGGGATTCTCAAACTTCATTTATTGGTGTCAATGACATTCAAATTTTTATTGCTTGTGTGTGGATCCCTATAAAGGACATTGAAGGAGGTTATCATTACATGTTTTTGTTTCAAAACACCATATGAATTCATGAAACTGATGGGGCCAGGAGCTTGACTTCCTGTTCCTTGTGCAGATCCTATGTGTGCACTGCTACACAAAAACCACAGCACTGAACTTGCTTGCTAAGAACAGCCTCTGTTTGATTTATATATCTGGCCCTTCCTCCAATCAGACACACAGGCTGACTAATGGCGAGAACCAGATAAAACAACATCTAGTGAGAAAAACATTAAAAATTTCATAATTCATGATAAATGTAGTACTACTGCAGCAATGCAAGTTTTTAGCTCTTGAGATGGCAGAAATGCTTGAAGGTATTTGATCAATATTTAGTGGAGTCCTGTAAGTTGGAGGTACTAAATAAGGATCCAGACTAAGTTCATTGAGCTTAGATCAAATTGAAATCAATGGAGCATGTTTAAAATTGGAGAGAATTGAGTGCAGCTGGTAACACCCTTAAGATTTCTTTTTTAAATAGAAAATCTTTATTAATTTTCACATAAACAAATATACATGAGTTACAAAACAAATGTATAGAAACAATAAAATAAAAAAGTACAGAAGCAGACATAAACAAATACAATATATTACACTTACATGACAAATTAAAATATATAACTTCCAATAATTCTTATTATACTACTTATATTATCTGAGTGATACTGGTAAGCAAGAAATACATAAAATATAATATTGGATTATATACACACACACACACACACACGAAAAAAATATGAATCTGCAAGGAATACAGATAACCCTTAAGATTTCTATTGGTCTGATAGCAAGGCTTCCTTCCCTCTTCACGTGAATAGTAAATTGCAGAATCATATAGTAAGACTTCTTATATGATCATTGTAAGATAAAAAGTAAAGGTAAAGGACCCTGGACAGTTAAATCCAGTCAAAGGCGACTATGGGGTTGCGGCACTCCTCTCGCTTTCAGGCCGAGGGAGCCTGCGTTTGTCCACAGACAGTTTTCCAGGTCATGTGGCCAGCATGACTAAACTGCTACTGGCACACAGAGGACTGTGACAAGTGCCAGAGCGTACGGAAACGCCGTTTACCTTCCTGCCACAGCGGTACCTATTTATCTACTTGCACTGGCATGCTTTTGAACTGCTAGGTTGAGCCCACTACACCATTACTTTGTATGCAAGGGGTGTTTAACCTGTGACCCTCCTGGTGCTGGATTTCAACTCCCATCATCATCTGTTGGCCATGATGCTTGGGACTGATGGGAGTTGCAGTCCCAACAAGAGGGCCACACGTCAGCCAGTTCTGTTTTAGTCTATTGCATCAAAACACTGATATTCCTGGAATGTGCAAGAGGGCCCCTGAGAAGCAGCGCTTGCAGCCGCCAGACAATGTCCCTGCCATTCACTCCAGGTGTGTCAGTGGCCTGTTGGACCAGCTATTCATCTGCCTGGAGGCTATGGGGGCTCCTGATCTGCTCCTTTACAACTGAGCCAGAAATGAGCATTCACACGCTGAATTTGACTTGGGTAGCAAAATAGTGTGCTTTTGCACATGAGGGAACAAAGGGAGAGCCTTGTCTTCCCATCACAATAGTTCCATGTTCTGTGGGGCACAGAGACTCATTCATTACCCAGAGAGGCTTGCCCGCTTGCCGTATGTCAAGAAAATTCCTGACGTGTCCTGGTTTTGGGGTGTAAAAAATTGTGTTGGGGGGGATTGTTGCCAAATTAGCAAAATGCCAGGGAAAACCTGGATATATGGCAGTGCCATGAAAAAAGCGCAAACCGTTCAAGGAGCTCAAAATCATTGTTTTTGGGGTAGGATCCCCCCAAAAAAGCTCGTCAATTGTGGTGGTTTCCTTAAAAAAAGGTCAACAGGAATCTTACTTCAACAAATGAAACCGATTTGTGTTTTTTTGTTTTGTTTTTCAAGTGTTACGTGGAAAACACACACGAGAGAGAGCCATTGCACATACTTTTGTAAATCAAGAAAATAATACATTTAATACATTTAATAAAAATACATTTAAAAAAAGGAACAGGAATCTTACTTTTTGAGATATGGCAACCCTAGTTAGAGCCACTCCCTTGATGCACTATTTTTCTATCTGCAGGGATTTGTGGTGGCAGGAAATAATCAGAAAGCTAACTATAATAATAATAATAATAATAATAATAATAATAATAATAATTTATTATTTATACCCCGCCCATCTGGCTGGGCTTCCCCAGCCACTCTGGGCGGCTTCCAAAAAAATATTAAAATACTGTAATACATCAAACATTAAAAGCTTCCCTACTAACTCCTGAGACTACGGTCCTAGCCCCGTCCCCCCGTGATAAGTAGGCCTTGAGCCCCCTGTACAGCCCCCGCCCCCACTCTCCCTCGCGCATCTCCTGCCCCCGCTCTGCGACTCCGAGAGCAGCGCAGCACACCACAGACTACGACACCTCCGGAAGCCTAGACCGTCGCCTCCGCCCCGTCCCCGCCTTTCAGCGGCTCTTCCGGCTCCTCTCGCTGGTTGGTTGATCTCCCCTCAACGGCAAACCAGCGCTGCTAACGCGAGAGGACGAGGGGCGGGCCGCTTGAAAACAAACCAATGGGGGAGAGCCGGCAGGGTGACGTAAGCGGGAGGCGTGGCTTCGTGGCGGTGCCGCCGTGAGGGCAGCGACTATGGAGAAGGCGGCGGCGGGAGGCGGAGCGGAGCCTCCGGGCCGGAGGGAGGCCGCGACGCTGCCCGGGCCCAGCAGAGACACGGTGCGTGGCCGGCGGGCCTTTCCTCTCCTCTGGGCGGGTGGGCTGCTCCTGGCCAGGGAGGCTCTACTGCCGGCTGCCCTGCTTGGAAGCGGGGCGAGGGGGGCCGCCTGACGGGGTTTTCGGGGGTCGCGTAGATGACCTGCGGGGTCCCCTTCCAACTGCCTCAGACGCGCGAGCTGGACGTTGGAGGAGTCCCGAGGGATGGAAGGAGCGAGTTCTTTTCGCGGCGCAGCTAAACTGCGGAACTCCCTCCCGCAGGAGGGTGAAAGGGCTTCGTGGAGAAGAAGCAAGCCTGTCCCACCGCTGGCCCTGATGGAGGCTGTGCTCTGCCTCCTTGGGCCCAGGGAGCCGCAGGAAGGGAGTGTTGCTCTTGGGCTGATGATAATAATAATAATTTAACAACAACAACAACAATAATATTAATAATATTTATACCCCTCCCATCTGCCTGGGTTTCCCAACAACAACAATAATAATATTAATAATATTTATACCCCTCCCATCTGCCTGGGTTTCCCCAGCCACTCTGGGCGGCTTCCAGCAAAATATTAAAATACAGTAGTCCATCAAACATTAAAAGCTTCCCTAAACAGGGCTGCCTTCAGATGTCTTCTAAAAGTCTGGTAGTTATTTTTCTCTTTGACATCTGGTGGGAGGGCGTTCCACAGGGCGGGTGCCACTACCGAGAAGGCCCTCTGCCTGGTTCCCTGTAACTTGGCTTCTCACAGTGAGGGAACCGCCAGAAGGCCTTTGGAGCTGGACCTCAGTGTCCGGGCAGAACGATGGGAGTGGAGATGCTCCTTCAGGTATTCTGGGAACAGGAGGCTGAACTGGATGGGCCCCCTTTGGCCTGATCCAGCAGCCAGGCTCTTCTTAAGCCCTCTTCTTGCCCGCTGGATCAGAGCAAAGGCACCTGCTCTGAGGACGGAAGCTGTGGCCAGCAGAAATGCCAGTTTTGCCCGTCATGGCTAGAAGGTCTTAAGATGGGAGGTGTTCCATGTGATGGGGCTCAGGTCTTTGTAAAAGGGGATTCTGAAAGTTGAGGTCCTGAAACAAACCCCCCCCCCCATCTCATATATACCTCCATATAGGCTGAAGGTCCTGTTATGAGAGAATGTTGAATTTGGACATCATGATTATTATTATTTTGCGGGCAGGGGGTGCATGGGTGGGTTGCTAGCTAGTCAGGTGTTCATCAGCAGAGTGCTCCCGATTCAGAATACTAGCCACTCTGTAACTTCCTGCCCCGGGTTTCTTTCCCCCTGCTAATAGTCCCATCAACATTCTGCATCCACGGCAGTCCTGCTGATACCTGTTCCTTGTAAATGGATGGTGCTGTTTTGGCTACCTAATGGCTCTCACAGCCTGAACCTTGGAAATCGGGGGGGATTCATATAGTATATTTGTTGTTGTTTTGTACTTTCTGTCTCCCTTTTTGGGCAACACCTGAAAGTGCATCTTGCAGTAAATGAAACAGGCATGTGTTTGATATGGGGCCAATGATGAAATAAGTAAAAAACTGGGCATCAATAGAAGGCAGGAAAGCTCCCCTGCTTTGGACTGTGTTGTCTTTCAGGTATAATGGCTGTCAAATGTCTCCTTCTGACAGGGGCAGAGGGACAAGAAGAGGACAAGCAGGGAAACACCAGTGGAGAAAAGGGGGCCGTACCTCATGAGCAAAACTCCTTCCATTCAGGATAAGCTACGTAAGTCAGGACTGGAATCTACGTTACATGAGGGCACAGCCTTCACAAGTAAGTGGGCTCACTGCTTGAGGAGCAAGGGAAGAGCCCTGCTTAGTTGGACTGCAGGCCCACCTAGCTCAGTGTCTTCTTCCCACAGTGGCCAGTAAGATGCCCACAGGAAGCCCATAAGCGGTTCATTTGAACAGTAGCACCATTCCCACTCGTGTTCCTCAACAACTGGGGTATTCAGAGCATTGAGACGGGGATGAGTCACCCCTTGCATGGTCAATTTAGAGACATTTGTGAATTTGGAGACATTTAGGTCAATTGTGAATTTAGAGACATTTAGGTCAATTGTGAGCCAGGGTGGTGTAATGGTTAAGAGTCGTGGACTTGTAATCTGGTGAACCGGGTTTGATTCCCCGCTCCTCCACATGCAGCTGCTGGGTGACCTTGGGCTAGTCACACTTCTTTGAAGTCTCTCAGCCCCACTCACCTCACAGAGTGTTTGCTGTGGGGAGGAAGGGAAAGGAGAATGTTAGCCGCTTTGAGACTCCTTCAGGTACTGATAAAGCGGGATATCAAATCCAAATCAAATCAAACATTAGTTTTGCTTTCAGCAGACAATAGTTTGTAGTTAGTGTGTGTGTCCCCAAGATGCTGTGGCACCTTGAGGGCATCCCTGCTTTGACTCCGGTTACCTTCTGCAGATCCCACTTTGCCTCAGAGAATCTGTCTGAAATATCCCACTTTTTTCATGATTTGACCAAAGCCTCCACACGTCTCTAGTTGGGACTAAATTGCTGTTAGCAACAACAATAATACAACACCTGCTTACTGTCAGCCATGTACAGCCATGAAAGAAGTGACAATGTAGGCAGGAGAAGTGACGGCAATTGTTCCTGCTTGAGCTTCATTGTGGAGGAGCAGGGGTGGAGCGTTCCTGTGGCCTCAACAATGGGAGATGTAGCCCAACAACATCTGAAGGGGCACAGGCTCCCTAGCCATCCAGCAGGGTACAGATATGGGGGTGGGATGTCAAAGGGTTTCATGGATTATTTTCTATGGAAATTACTGACTTAACTAGGAAGGCAGAAATAGTTGTGGTTTCTTCACTACTGAGCAGAAAGTGCTGCAGGAAGAAGGCAAGGCAATGACGTGGAGGATAAGACTCGTCCATGCTTACCAGCCACAATAACTAGGTGCTCCCCCCACTGTCTGAGATAGGAAGCCTCTTTATGCCAGTTGCTGGAGAGAGTATTGTTACGCTCAGGTTATGCATGTGGGTTTCCCACTGAGGCATCTAGTTGGCCAACGTGAGGACAGGATGCTGGACTGGATGGGCCCTTTTTGGCCTGATCCAGCTGCAGGTCTTTTATGTTCTACACCCCATCCTACACCTTTTTTGCTTTTTTGCAACACCAGCAACACCTGAATGTTTGCTGCAGGGGTGGGAACCCCTGGGACTTCCCCAAGATGGCTTGCACAGCATAGTTGCCACGCCAACCCACTTTAATAGATGGCAAACCCCTGAGAGTGTGTTTTGGCATCTCCTGGGCAACCAGAGGATTCAGATGATTCATGTCCTGTGCAGGCAGCCTTTCCCCAGAGTGGGTTTTTCTGCTGTCCTTTTGCAGTAAATATTTGTCTGAACTTGCCCCACAGGCAGCAGTTGGCTGGTGGGGTGTGGTTTATGGGAGCAAATATTCATTGAGTTTGCCTTGGTCATTTTGGGGGCTGCAGAGAAACATCGTGAGATGGCAAAGGCGATGCTGCGGAGGAAGGGAGGCGCATTCTCAGGAGCCGTCCGGCACCAGCCCAAGCTACCAGTCAAGAGGTCCAGTCCATTTTCTTACTGTTTGGGGGGATTTGGGGCTTTTTTGTGAGTTCAGTGACCCTTAACAAGTCCACATGTGTTAGGTTAGGCTGCTAACGTTGGTGTCCTGCTAACCTAATCTAGCGCTCTCTCTACTGCTCCCCTTGATGGGGTGAATTCAGAAAAGCAGCCAAAGGCCTCCAGAAATGGCACAATTTAAGAGATGGGCCGGTGCAGCTCAGAGGTAGAAACTCTTGCGTTGCAGGAAGGTGGTGCCAGGTTCAGTCCACAAGATCTCCAGGTGGGGCTGGGAGACACTCCTGTCTGAAAGTGGAGAGCTTGGGCAGGGGACCCCAGGCTTGGGCCAACAGTCCTCTTTCTTTGGCCTGCCAAGCCTTTTGGGACAAGCTGCACTCACCTGGCATCATACTGCTGGGTGTCAGGAGCTTCTGAAGCTTTGAACCAAGCAGGATTGTATTTCTGCAAATCAGCTGATATGCCGAGTTCAATCCTGCTTGGTGCAGAGCACAAACGGTCTCACTTGGTTGAGGTAGCTTCCTCTGTCCCCATTGTTGAAAAGTCAGCCTTGACTGCAGGATTCAGCTTTGAATGATTTGAAATGTGCTTCCAGAATACGTAGATAAAGAACCTGACTTTTTTGCCAAAAGCCACATCAGGTTTGTCCAGTTGAGACAGTGACTTGCCCAAGGCCATCTTCTGCCTGAGTGACACCCTGTCCTTTGCACCAACACCCTTCCCTTCACCTTCCCCCACTCTCAGGTGCTTCATATTGGTTTTTGCCTCTTTCTCTAGGTCAGTGAAGTTCAACAAGGGCTATGCTGCCCTCAGCCAGATCTCAGATGAAACCCTGGTGTCCCTGGACTCTGACAGGTGAGGGGTGAGTGGGACCTGCTTGCTGATTGTGGGTAGGAAAGGCCAAAAAGGTTTGAGCATTGCCACCAATTTTAAATGGCTCTAAAAAGGAGTGTTCGCAAAGAGGATCAGTCTGTGAACGGGATACCAGTCACAGTAGCCCTGTAGAGCTTCCAATTTCAGAAGCCGTCTTCCCCTGAAGATATGGGGGAGCAATGGCAGGAGTCAGCATTGCTTGTGGGCTTCCCAGAAGCATCTGGTTGGCTGCTCTGGGAATAGGTTGCTGGACTAGTCTGATCCAGCAGGGTCATTTTATGTTCTTATGGGAGACAAACTTCCTCTCATGTCACAAAACCCTATTCATTCTTAGCAGAGAACTGGGAGCCGGAAGTGTGCTGGAAATACCCTTTCAGTTTGTGCTGACCCTTGGTGTTTTTCTCTCCTAGTGATGAGGAGCTGGAATCAAGATGTTCCTCCGGTTACTCCTCTGCAGAGGCAAGTCTGGTGCATGGCTTGCTCCTTACAAGCATTGAAATTGACCTGCAGGTGGTGGGGTTTGTCTGCCTGTCTGTTTGACCTTCTGATGGTTAGTGAGCAAAGGCTTTTATGGCAGGTGGGGGTGGGGTGCAAGATGAACCACAGATGCTCATGTTGCCTGCTCATTAATCTTGGGGTGCAAAGACCTTCCAGATGCTGTCAGCCTCCATCTCTAGCCAGCCAGTCGCCAGGGATGGGAGAGCGTGTAGTTTGGGAGCCCTTTCTTACATGCAATGTCTATGTGTGCATGTGTCCCAGTAAGCATGTTGTGACTGACCATGAGTGAGGAAATGTAGGCACATGGAAGTGTGTGCGCACACCTGCATTTTCTCACTCGCATGCTTGCTAGGAAGGAGAGCTCTCCAGGCCTTTCTTCCTGTCCAATCCTATAAGGGGACACAGTTCTGAATAGATAAGCGTAGGAATATGCTCTTAAGTATTCTTAGGATTTGAAAAAAACAACCATAATTAAAATGCACAATAAAAGAAAACAGTGAAGAAGCATAGCAAGTAAAACAGTGGGGTAAAAGCAGTCAAGGTATTTAGATCAGGAAGTTCAAGTTCAGGAGAATGCTTGCCTCAACCGGCGTGTCTTCAAGAGCCAGCAGAATGCCACTACAGTACTGATGGGGCTCTCATATTTCTGCATGGAGCGCAATGCAAGTCACTGATTCCATCAGTGGAAAACCCTGCCTCCGTGTTACCACAAACCGATAACCAGCAGGCCGTGTCTAATTCCATAGTCCCCCAGCAGGTGTTTTCAGCTTGTCCCTCCTCTTCCGTCTCAGGTCAACCAGGATCTCAGCCGCCAGCTGCTGCAAGATGGGTATCGCCTCGATGAAATCCCAGACGACGAGGACCTTGACCTCATCCCTCCCAAGCCTGTGTCATCCTCACCATGTCCCTGCTGCTTTGGGGAGTCTGCCTCCTGCTCCATCCAGTAAGGATCCAAAGAGCAGGGCTGCACTGCACAGGTCAAGAACCCAGCACTTTCCCCCCTTCCTTTCAGACGCCTGGAGGTCCAGCAGTGGCGATGGAGTCTGGCACCGAGCCTTGACCAAGCCGATAGGGAGCAGGAAGAGGGTGCTTTGGTGGCTGGGAAAGCGGGGTGCACCGTTGCCCTGCTCGCACTTGCCCAGGCACCAACCAGCCTCTTGAAGCTCTTTTCTGTGGTGCACATACAAGACTGTTCAGTGGAAGCCCTTGGAAGGCTCTGAGCCAGCTGGCTCCCTTGCCTGGGAATGCCTTTGGAGAAAGATGCAGATGGGAGAAGAGGACAGGGCAAGTGTTTTCCTCCTTAAAGGCAAACTGCCAAGATTTTTTTGTGAAAGGGAATGAAGAATGGACTAGGACAAGTTTAAACTTTAGTTTACAAAAATTACGATTGGGGGAAAAAAGCACAGCAATCACTACATCGCGTCAAACAGATTTTCCTCACTTGCTCAGGATCCTTTCCTGGACTCCAGTGCTTGAGCCACAATCTCCTGCGGTCCTTGTAGAGCTGGACTATGATGTTGTTATGCGGATTTCTGGGATGGAGAAGCTCCTCTATCAAGCTGCATGGATGGAGCGCCGCCTGCTAGCTCCTCGCAGTCTCTTGAACCCTCTGCTGGCTTTGCTGCCTGGAAGCTGCTGCTCTCACCCCTTTCCCTTGAGGAGCTTTCAAAACAGTTTCACCAGCTGCTGCATCGTCTCAAATTGACCCTCAGCATTAAGTCTTGGCCTGGTGAAAAATGGACCTACTGCACCTTTTTTCTTGGTGTGGGAGGGAGGTGAATCCCCCCCCTCCCACAGATAGAGGGGAAGGGTTCACTTGCCTTGCCTTGGAGGCTGGTCCTCCCTGGCAAAAGGGCCAACAAATCTGACATCCCTGGCTCCGGATGAGAATCCTGGTTAGTTTAGGTCATGGCTGCCTCACTTTGACTGGGGAGCTGGTGCTGATTCAGACATGCTTGCGCCTCTCCCCTACCCTCTTCCGAAGTGAATAGAGACCAAGCAGAGGAGGAAGGCTAAGGTGCTAGCGCCCATAGCCTCATTTCTGTTGCCTGCCTTTGTGTGATGAGGGGTCTAGACCAGGTGTGGCTCCAAGCGCCATCCAAGTGCTGCTGTTGGACTTCAGCTCCCATCTTCCCTGACTGTTGGCCCTGCTGTCTGGGGTTGATGGGATATGGAGTCTCCACAGGCCACAGGTCTCCCATCCCTGCATCAGTTCCTGTTATTCTGACTTAATTTCCCCATAATTAGAATCGGCTTATGCAGCCTCCTTTTGATTTCAAGCAGTGCATAGTGTGTTTTCCATGCACACTAAGTGACAGCTTGTGAGCAAGAGCTGCGATCTAGCCTTTCTGATTCGCTAGCACCAGCTGTGGTTCACTTTATGTGGCAGTTGTGGAGAATAGGGAGGGGAGGAATTGCCAGCATTTGTGAGTGTTGCTTTGTGAGGTACCCTGCTAGCATGCAAGTTGGGGCCATGATCTCCCCTCCACCTGGTGCTTTCCAGTTGTGCTGGTGCTTTCAGCCCAAGCATGGCCAGTGATTAAGGATGATGGGAGTTACGGTCCAGCAACACCTGGAAGGCACTAGGTTGGGGGAGGAAGATGTGCCCTGTATATTTGGGCAGCCTCACTGAGTAATAAATCCGTATGAATGGTACCCCCCTTAGCTGCCTTGGTCTGGGGACCATAGCAGGCTATTACCTCTGCCGTCTAAACTGAAGCTTTAGTAGCAAGAGATCCAGAGGTCTCTGAAGGCACTAACACAACTTGAGCAAGATGCCACTGCACTGTTGTCCTCTGTTACTGTAAGCAGCTAAAAGTGGCGGCTGCTACCCCCACCCCCACCCCCCATTTCCTGGAAAACTTGCCAATAGGGATGAGATAGTCTTGCCCTACTTGGCAGACTTGATCCTAAACTGGAGTTCTCTCTGCTCTGCTTAGCTGTTCCCAGGTGAGTGGCACCCAGGAGGCCATTTCCAGTTGGGTATATGTGTTTTGTTAGAATTATTCGTCAAGATAGGCCACGTGGCAGGCCATAACACAGGCCAGTGTTTACTCACTGGGGAACATGCTTAGCAAGAGGCAGGCAAGTGAACTCTGCACTTTCCAGCCCTCCGGTAGAGACTTGGTTGCTGGTGCAGCCACTAGATTACATAGGCAACTTTTCCCACCCCCAGCTGCCTTTCATTTTCTATATTTATTTGTGCTGCCTGCAGCATCCTCTGCCTGCAAATCCTCTGGAGACAACTTCTCCATGGTAAAAGGTTGATGTTCCTGGACAGGTTCGAGCTGTTCAGTCCTAGTTGCAGTAAGCTTTTAATAGTGTGTAACGTTAGATGAGGTGGACAGTGGAGAGCCAGGACACTAGTAGACCTGTAGAGAGAAAACTGCCGGCTTTCTGCTGCAAAATAAGCTTGGCAGGCTGACAGTGTTGTGTATGTTGGGGTTTCAGGGTGGAAAAAGGAGTTCAGTGACTGTGTCCTATAGAGTGTTTAAAAAGCTGCCTTAAAATATTGAAATGCATTAAATGAAGTGAAATTGAAACACAAACCAACCTTGAAAGGCACAGAGGACAATCTTATTGGATATTAATGTTATTGTATATGCAGAGAACTATTTAGCAAATAGTTTTATATATATACTGAGCAAGGGAAGTGTGCATTAATAAAACTCTACCTTGTATTCACAAGGCTTGGATCCTTTTGTATGTGAAATGTTTGTTCCTTACCTGCGTGTTAGTGAAGAGGCCTGCAGTAGGATTCCTCCTGGGTCCACTGTGGTGGTGGTGGAGGGCAAGAGGCCGTTCATAGCAGGTGTGAGGAGCCTGTGGTCATCCTGGCATTTGTGGGACTCGCTCCAGTCTGCTGTTCTTTCTGCCTCCCTTGCTCCTTCGAGGTTTTGAATGTCCTAACCTCATCTTACTTGGACAAAGCTCTTTATTCAGCCTTTTGAAAATGCAATTTTAAAAGCAACTATAGCCCAAGAAAAACATACACCAGACAGGTTGTTCTCAGGGCCTGTCCTCTACAGCACCTTCTTTATTTAGTCAACTTTAACTCGTTGCATTTGACTCTTAAACAACTGATGCTTTACACTGGTGGGAAGATTTTTTGTTTCTGAAACCATCTGAATTTCATCTCCCTGTTTCATTCTTTGGGGATTATTAGCCATAACTATACCTGTGACATATGGAATACAGTACAATGGTAGCAGGAATACTGGCTCTTCCAGGGGTCTTTACTTGCACACACTCTGTACATACATCTCAAACCTCCAGTTAATTTAGGAACAAAATAGTTTGTATAAAGTGTACAACTGGGTCCACACATCTCTTAACACAAATGGTACGAAGTGGTTGACTGCAGCTATCAAAACGTCAAATGCTGAAATGACAGCTCTACAATTTGCAGTGCGAGAGTCTGGAGTCAAAATCCATCTGATGGATGACCTCAAGATTCAAATTCTGATACACAACCCCTTAAGACAACGCATGTATTCTGCCAGTCCCCCAACATCCTATTTATTTTCACTTATAACTGTTATTTCAGTCTCTGAAGGTTCTGTATTTCCCCCCCTGCACTTTTCTCTCTCGAATCATTCTGCAGGAGACAACAGTCGCTCCTGCTTGGCACTCCGCTAGGGTAAGGACACACTCCTATTTGGTGGGAAGCTAAAGAGAAACTGGGGCAGTTCTCTTTGCTGAAATATACTGAGCCCCAAATGAGTGAGCATGCAAATCAAACCAGAGTTGTCGAATGGAAGCGCAAGTGGACTTTCCCTCCCTCTGTAAGCAACAACTTACAACACTGCAACTTCAAACTGAGTTGAAGGTGGAGTGGCTGGGCTTCCTGCTCCCCAAGCCACAGAACTGAACTTTGGGTGTGGAACCGCTGACCCCCTAGATCTTGCAGGACCCCAACACCCATCAGCCAGAATGGCCAATGGTTCCGGATGATGGGAGCTGTAAGCCAGTCACAACTAAAAGGCCACCACCCTGCCCTGCCCCAAGGCAGCGCCTGTCCCTTAGTAACGCTTGAATTTATAGCACTGACTTACCCAAGAGTTCAGGGTACCATCATTCAATGATTCTAGTTACAGGTAGGTAGCTGTGTTGGTCTGCTGTAGTCGAAACAAAATAAAAAAATTCCTTCCAGTAGCACCTTAGAGACCAACTAAGTTTGTTGTTGGTAGGAGCTTTCGTGTGCATGCAAGGTATCTGAAGAAGTGTGCATGCACACGAAAGCTCATAGCAACAACAAACTTGGCTGGTCTCTAAGGTGCTACTGGATGGAATTTTTTTATATCGTTCAATGAATTTTTCTGCAAGAGGTGGAAGCAAGGGGTAGAGCAGAGTGATTATAACACCCGCTTTAGCTATTGGTACATGTACTTTACTTTGAAATGCCAGGTAAGTAGCCTCACCATACAGTGAAGATGCGGTAATCTGATGTTTTTAAGGGAAGAGCCATTCTCTTTCCTGTTGGTGCAAAAGCCAAACATGAGCTGCCAATTTGATCATCTTAAAACCACAGCCCCTGCAGGACACAAAAAGCTGAGCCTGCCTCCAAACTTAACACTCTAGTTGGGCCGGGGGACCCTTTTCCTGGTTGCTTGGGAACAGGTTCCAAACTACTGCAGGGAAAGCAGGTACTGGCTACGTTTGGATAGAAAGGAGCCTCTATCCCACACAGCCTCTCACCCCAACCAATTTGAGGGAGAGGAATAATAGGAAAATTGGGGTGCCAGTTTTAATTAATCATCTCAGCCCTAGACTGCTTTGTCTTCACTGTGTTTTGTTTGGAACAAGCCAGCTCCATCAACCCCGTGGTGTGCTTGTTTCAAACAAGGAAAAGTGAAGACACATACTGCACTTGGAGCTGGACCAGGGTCAGGTTTGTTCTTATCACAGCAAGCTATGGTATATTGTGACACCCACATGGAGCCAGGGGATAGAACCACATGGTGCTGGGAAAATGCTACTGGGGGGAAAGCAGATGGTGAAAAGCACCCAAAGCGAAGGCCCTGTCCCCCAGGCCTGTAGCATTAGAGGACTTCTTGTTTCTGCCACCTGGCCCAGGATGGAAGTCCAGTGACATTGCACCTGAAAGGCCACCGGTACAAAAAATGTACTACTGGCTTGTCCTCCCATCCCGAAATCAGGATTGTTGGCTGGGGGTGGGGAGCCCATGGTTCCCCAGGAGTTGCTGGACTCCTAACTCCTATCAGGGTCAACTCACATGGCCCTGCTGTGGGCAGACAGAACCACTCCTAGATTAAGCAACCACCCACAGCTGGCCCTCAAGGAGGAAGCACTTTCACACCAGAATATGCTGTCCACTACAGCCAGAGGAAACTTTGTCAGCCAGGGATTAGAAGGAATGGTAGCCAACCACTCTCCATCGGCAGGAACTGGGGCGAGGTGGAGACAAGCTTTTGCCGGCCCCCCAGGTAAAGGGCAGGAGGCAGAAAGTCCTGGCTAAGAGGGAATTCCAGTGGCTGGGAAGCTCAAATCATCACCAAGCCCTTCTTCCAAACTTCCACCCTCTTCCCAGGCTGGTGGGGGGTGAGAGAGGCACACCATTGACTGTGGCAGCTGGTTTTTATAAGATTTACAGCATTTTTAAAGTTCAGGGTGTGCAGACCGCTATCCCTCAAAAGCAGAACGGTCAAGCACAAGGTGGAGATGGCAGTTTTTTTAAAAAAAATGACGAGGTCTACTGGAGAATTCCCAGCCCCATGTTTTACAGCAACCGTTACAGGAGCAGGGTTCTCCCTGGATAGAGTCAAGCTGTGTGGGAAACGAGGGCCCACCATACAGGGGTGAGCGCCAATGCTTTGGGCTTTTGACACAGTGGTTTGATGGGTCAGGGGAGTAACTGGCTGTGCAGAGGATACACAGCCGTTTCTACTGGAGTCTCAGCAAGAGAAGAAAGAGCCAAGCACCCCACATTATACGAGACAGCAGGCTCGGAAGAGCAGCATCCCGTCAGGGGCAGACAGGTGCAAGGAGACGCTCTCATTGGCGGAGATGAAGAGCACAGAGCCGCGGCGGACAGCCATTTCTGAAGCGGCCGCAGTGGAGGTCCCGACAGCAGTTCCTTGTACTACCAACAGGATGCTGGCTGAGTCGATGGCCGAAATAAGGTACAGCTTGATGGAGGAAGGAATCTGCAAGAGAAAGCAGAACCCTTGCTCAGTAGAGAGGTGGGGCCTGGGTATTTTAAGTTCCTGCCTCACTAAGTAGGAAGTGAATGAGCCGGGCGTGCGACAAATCCAGAGGCAATGGAAGATCCTGACTTCCCTCTAGCCTCCAGAGTGCCCAGCAGTGCAAGCTGGTCTCCATCTCAAGCCAAACTGAGATTTCAGCAACTGTAAAAGCAGGCAACGACGGGCACGTCTGTTTCTTGCCCACACTAATCTCACGTGTGTCCTGTCCCACTTGTGTCTTAAAGGTAAAGGGACCCCTGACCATTAGGTCCAGTCGTGGCCGACTCTGGGGTTGTGGCACTCATCTCGCTTTACTGGCTGAGGAAGCCGGCGTACAGCTTCCAGGTCATGTGGCCAGCATGACAAAGCCGCTTCTGGCGAACCAGAGCAATGCACGGAAATGCCGTTTACCTTCCCGCAGGAGCTGTACCTATTTATCTACTTGCACATTTACGTGCTTTCGAACTGCTAGGTTGGCAGGAGCAGGGACCGAGCAATGGAAGCTCACCCCGTCGCGGGGATTCAAACTACTGACCTTCTGATCGGCAAGTCCTAGGCTCAGTGGTTTAACCCACAGCACCACCCGCGTCTTAATGTGCATTAAAAAAAATATAGAGTTTCACACAAAAATCCCTATTTAAACATAAGGAGAGAGAACTACACATGCCACTCCAAGCTCCTTGGAGGAAGAATGTCATTATAAATAAAGTTGGGGCCCATGTAGGGACAGGGAGGCAACTTTGTAAAGTTTGCATTAACATGCAAAGCTACCTAATTCACACTTTTCTGAACCAACGTGCAATCTGAGAGCAGGTATCCCTGGAGATATGCTGTTCTCCAAATGTGTGATGTACTTCTCCAACCAAAAAAGAAATGCATGATTTGGGGAAAGTGTGTGTCAGTGAAAATAATGCATCAACATGCATTATATTAGAGGACACTGTGTGCATAAATGTGTTTTACACATTTTCCATGCACACTGTTTAAAAATGAACTGCAAAGACATCCAGAAAGAGAGCAAACTGAACCTAAGATTCAGGGTGAGGGCAGAATGAGAAACCAAAGTGGACGGATCCATCTGAGCCAAGCTGCACAGGGAGCAGGTGCCTAATGCCACCTCGGCACTTGAAAGGATCTTGCAGCAGGAACCGCTTGCCGTCATCAGGGCAGGGGAAGCCCCCGAGAAGCTCACCTCTATCCTCATGACAGAGAAGTCTGGGACAGGCGGGTCGTAGAGGTAGACACAAGGGTCCAGGCGGCTCTGGACGGGGCTCAAGAGCTTGGAGCTGCCAGGGGTCGGAGTGTAGTTGAGCATTTCGCACAGCGTGAGGACGTCAATGAACTTGGGCGTCAGGCCAGCGCGCACCGTGTTGTCAGAGCAGGCCATGCACTCGATGCAATCTGTGGCAAGGCGGGAAGGAAAGAGAAGCTGCCCGTCAGGAAGTGCAGAGGCTGCTGGTGGTGGCAAGAGAGGCCCTCCAGAAACACCCTTCTGCCCCATCTCAAGAAACCCTCTTTTATCATCCCCTCCCTGTCATCTCAAACTAAGAGTTTCAGAGTTGGCAAGGCCCTCTGAGGCCACTTAGCCCAGCGCAGGATTCTTGCAGCTGCAGCAGGGATAGTGAACCTAGTGACCTCCAGGCATCTCTGGAATACAACTCCCATCATCCCTGACCATCAGCTGTGCCAGCTGGGGTGTGATGGGAACTGGAGTCCAGCACACCTGGAGGAAGTGGCTGCTAAGGCATTCCGTTGCCAGAAGAGCCCTTGCCATTGGGCGGTGTGGTGTTTGCCCTCCTTGGTGTGTGACATCATACTGGCTTCATAAGGAAAGGGTTAACTAATTGTAAAATGACTAACCAATGGGAACCCAAGGGGAGGAGTTAAAGTTAGAGTTAGGGTGGGGTTGAGAAGTCAGTCTGGAGTTAGAAGAGACAGAGAAGATAAGTCTGTGGGTTGGGCTAGTCTGATGTGAGAGTGAGAGAATTTGTTAAGAGGAGTCAGTCAAACAGTTGAGATAATCATTCAGAAGGTATAAGGAAGGTATAGGCCAGTAAAGAAACTAAAGTTAAGATACTGACAGGAATATTATCTGAAAAACCATAAACTTGTTAATGTTTATAAAATAAACTTGTTTATTTGGTTCACTTTTAACAACTGTCTGGACTCAGTGTTTTACCCGAGAGTAATGGGTTGGTGGCAGCGGGGAAGCGAGCACAGTGGTGGCACAGGGATCAATAGACCGTTAAACGTCCGGGGACCCTGTGTGATCGCCACAGGCGGCTTCCTCTCTGTTTCCACCTTTTGCTCTGCTCCTGCCCTCCTGAGCAACAGAGAGCAAGTCTGCCCCATCTTCTGCAAGGCAGCCCATCAGGTCTTAAGATGCAGCTGCGCTCTACCCCACTTGATCTTCGCAGACTCAGTGCACCCAAGTGTGGCCACGCGGGACTTAGCCACAGACCTGCTTGCCATGCTGGCCGCCTCTCCTCTGAGGGCTGATCTAGTTTTTCAAAGCACTAATTAAAATGGGGAGCATTAGGCTTGGGCGCCATACGTGACCGCTTCCAGGTTTCTCCCACGGCCACAGCCCTGCTACCCCTGCCCCCCCCCACAAGTGCTCAATCCAAGCGGTTAAATCCCATAAACCTGGGAAGCTGCCTTGAGAGGAGATCTGGTGGCCATACAAACAATAATAATAATAATTTATTATTTGTTTCCCCAGCCACTCTGGGCGGCTTCCACAAAGACCAAAAATACACTAAGATGTCACACATTAAAAACTTCCCTGAACAGGGCTGCCTTACGATGTCTTCTGAATGTCAGGTAATTGTTTATCGCTTTGACATCTCGTGGGAGGGTGTTCCACAGGGCGGGTGCCACTACTGAGAAGGCTCTCTGCCTGGTTCTCTGTAGCTTTGCTTCTCGCAATGAGGGAACCGCCGGAAGGCCCTCGGCGCTGGATCTCAGCGTCAGGGCAGAACGATGGAGGTGGAGACGCTCCTTCAGGTATACTGGGCCGAGGCCGTTTAGGGCTTTAAAGGTCAACACCATCACTTTGAATTGTGCTCGGAAACGTACTGGGAGCCAATGTAGGTCTTTCAAGACCGGTGTTATGTGGTCTCGGCGGCCGCCCCCAGTCACCAGTCTAGCTGCCGCATTCTGGATTAGCTGTAGTTTCCAGGTCACCTTCAAAGGTAGCCCCACGTAGAGCGCATTGCAGTAGTCCAAGCGGGACATAACTAGAGCATGCACCACTCTGGCGAGACAGTCCACGGGCAGATAGGGTCTCAGCCTGTGTACCAGGTGGAGATAGTAGACAGCTGCCCTGGATACAGAATTGACCTGTGCCTCCATGGACAGCTGTGAGTCCAAAATGACTCCCAGGCTTCGCACCTGGTCCTTCAGGGGGCACAGTTACCCCATTCAGGACAGGGAGTCCTCCACACCAGCCCGCCCCTGTCCCCCCATAACAGTACTTCTGTCTTGTCAGGATTCAACCTCCAAGCCTCTCTTTTGCTTCTGTGCCCAGAAACTCACCTCCGTAGATGTAGGCGTGGGGTTCATTGGCACCCAGGAACATGCACTCCCCGGGCTGCAGCTTCATCAGGTTCAAGAAGTAGATGGCAAAGCAGCCGATGTCTCCGGGGTACTGGGAGTGGAGGCGGAGGAGGAGCTCCCCACAGCTGGCCGAAGTATCTTTCCCTGCATCTGCTGTGGGATGGAGACACATGGAGGAGTCTGGTGAGCAGCAGCTGCTGGTTGCCAAGTTTCGCCTTATAGTGGAGGCCCTAACCCCCCACAGAGGTTGCTCCCATCAGCCTCCCACAACATGGCCAACCATCAAGGGTGCCTGGAGTTGCAGTCCCAGGAACACCTGGAGGACCACAACCTCCCCAGCACCCAAGTCTCACACTAGACCCACCTTCCTGAGAAATCCGCTTCACCAGCATGTTAAGCTGGTCCACAAAGACCTTCTTCTCACTCTTCATCATCCGGGTGAAGCAGATGCGCAGTGCGGCAGAGACACCCCGGGGGTCTTCGCCCACGCTGCGTTCCAGCTGCTCCGCCGCCACATTCCCAATCAGGGCCCGGAATTCAGGAACGTCTACAAGGAACCCAAAGGACATTGAGAATGGCTGCATGGAGTCTAGCCGGATTTAAGACTATATTATGAAGCATCCTGTCTATGCTGGCTAAAGGAACGGATATCACTAAAAATTCTGAAGTTTTAGATCTTGAAGGTCATGATAACAGATATGGTTGGCATGAACATTTATGGTACGAGGTTAAAGTATATAGAGCTTTCCTAAATCGTGTAGTAAGGAAAGTGGTTTATGAAGTATGGGGGAAATATAAAAAATTATTAGAACGAAAAACACCATGATGACTTTCCCACTGAAAGCGACATCTCAAAAAAAATTTAAATATGAGAAATGACTGGGCAACTTATAAAGAATTATTAATGGAAGTAGAACATCAATTAAAATTAAAGAGGTTTGGAGATATAAGAGAACTATTAACTGATTGGTTACAATAATAAACAAACAAACAAACAAACAAACATTATTCATTCATTCATTTATTCCCCATCCATATGGCTCCGTTTCCCCAGCCACTAGACTACCATCCACTTAATGATATATTTAAGATGGATAAAAGAAAGGCTTTTTAAATGAAACATCTAAATTTGAAAAAGAACTGTTAGAAAACAAGACCAAATTGCTTTTTAAATTTATAAAGTAATATTAGAATAGCATACAAAAGATGAACAGGTTAAATCAGTTATGATACACTGGGCGAGGGATTTTGGATATAATATACAACTTACAGCATGGGAGAAGTTATGGAACTGGGACTTGAAGTTTACAGCATGTTATACTTTGAAAGAAAATTGTATGAAAATGATGTATCGTTGGTACTTAACTCCTAGTAAATTAGCTAAATTGTATAAAACAAGGTCAAATACATGCTGCAAATGTAAGGAAAAAGAAGGCACCTTTTATCATATGTGGTGGATTTGAAAAGTAGTAAAAAAAAAAATTGGGAGACAATATATAATGAAGTGGGAAAAAATGTTTAGAATAACTTTTTCTTTAAAAAACTCGAAGCTTTCCTTTAAGGAATTCTAGGTGCCAAAATTACAACAGAACAGAAAAGACTATGTATGCGACCACTGCTGCTTGGTTGTTACTAACCCAGAGATGGAAAGAAGAAGAATCCTTACCAGAGAAGAATGGCAAATTAAGTCGATGGACTATGCCGAAATGGCAAAAATGGCCAGAAGAATCAGAAATCAGGAAGACCAGGGATGGGGAAAATAAATAATTTACCTTAAAAATCATTTTAAACAATTAAAATTATTAGTTGGATTGGAATAATAATACTTGTAGTTTAACGTTGAATTATGGTTGTAATTGAGATTTAATAGATTTGGATTAATAGAGAAGGTACAGGAGGAAAAAGTTAATTAAGGACCCACAAAGGGGAGGAGGGAATTCCAGAGGAATCTATGGAATTCTCTTTTTATTTTGGATGTTTGACAATTGTCTGTAAATTTCAAAATTTGAAAAACTAAATTGATTTAAAATCCTCCACCTCTGGCAGGTCCCTAAGGGGGCAGTTAGCTGCTTCTGCTTCCAGTTAATCACAGCCTGTCATGTCGACCAAGCCCAACTAATTGTGTGGTCAATCTTAACTACAGCTTGCTTGAAACAAGCCAAATTCAAACTATAGTTCAAGAAGCTAACTTGATTTCAACATACTACTATTAAGCAAACCACGGTTGAGGGCTGGGCTGTAACACTAAACTGTGGTTAACTGAAACTGAAAGCAAATTCTGCCAACTGCCTCCTTGTGGCTGTGCTAGGGGAGGGAGAGGATGGGTGAGCCTGCAGGGAGGCGATGCTTGTTTCCATCACAACACGGTTCCAAGGACACAATTCCATCCCCAGTTGGGACACCCAAGTCCCTGTATCTTGCTGGTACTTATTTCCTTCCCTTCCCCTCCCCTCCCATGCTTACTCTGGAGAAAAGACACAATCTCCTCAACAGGCCGGAAGCCACACATGCCCTCGAAGGGCGTCAGGGCGATGGCCATCTCCGGCTTGTGGTTGGCATCTGGGTAGTGCTCTGGATACTGGGCATGAAGCTTCTCTGCCAGCTCCTGGGAGGGGGGAAGAGGGAGGGAAGAGGGGGGACAGGTGTTGAGCCCCAGGCTCCAGTCTCACAGTCAGTCTGCTCGAGGGGGGGTGCTCTGCCGTGGCTTCAGCGAGCCACAGAGCACCTGGGGAACCAGGCAACACACCCAGGGGTGGGCTAATACGTCAAGGATGGGAAGAGAAGCAGGAGGAATCTGTGCTGTGACCCCAGAAGGATCGGACATTAACCCATTAACGTGAAACTTTGGGCTGGATCCAAAAGGTTCCATTTGCCTGTTGGTGGAAGGCTCCTTGTGTCGGAGGAAGGGAACCTCTGGACCCAACAGATGAGCACCTGCTTCCCTTGCACGCCATTCTGAACTCCGGCTTCAACCGCTGATGCTCCTTCAAGCTCCTTGTCCTTGACCTGCAAAGTCCAGAAAGCTCAGCAGGATTCCATGCTGTTTGGCACCCTGGGAAGAGGGCCTTACCTTGGTGGGGTGAGCCTGGATGGACAAGGCTGAGTTAACAGACAGCACTTTGAACAAGAAGGGCAGCTGGCCTTGGAAGGCCTCCTTGACCTTGGTGCCCAGGCAGTCGGGGTTGTCCGCGATCCATTGCCGCAAGGTCTTCTGGGGGATGCGGTTATCTAGAATCACGGCGTCTCCTTTGGGGTGAGTGCCCATCCAGAGCTAGGAGGAAAAGAGAGCACACAGATGATGCACAAAACCTCTTGGCGCACATCTGGGCAACCTGTAGCCCTTCAGATGATGGGCTCCAATTCCTATCAGCCCCAGACAGCACAGCCAGAAATCAGGGCTGATAGGATTTGGAGTACAGCATGTGTCTTGCACTCTGATCAGCTCCAACCACTAGCCCTGTTGGCTGGGGCTGATGAGAGTTGGGCATCTGTCAACAAAGGAAAGTTGGCACCTTGTCTGTCCCCATTTCGGAGCCCTGAGAAATCAGTTTCTGAGCAGCAGTGTTCTGACGGTTCCCCCGTGGCCACTTTAGACAGGGCTGAGAGTTCAGACTCGTGAGGTTTTTTTGCTTTTTAAAATTGAATTTACATACCACCCTATACCCAGAGGTCTCAAGGTGGTTCATAGAACAAAATGCAAAATATGAAACCACAATATATATAATCAAAATAAAAACAACCCAATAACACCCCCCCCAAAAAACCCCACATTTTAAAAGGGCATAGGATGTCAGTCAAAAGGCCTGGTTAAAAAGGAACGTTTTTGCCTGGCACCTAAAGCTGTATAATGAAGGCACCAGGCGAACTTCCCTGGGGAGAGCATTCCACAGACGGGGAGCCACTGCAGAGAAGGCCCATTCTCGTGTTGTGACCCTCTGGACTTCTCGAGGAAGTGGAACACGAAGCGGGGCCTCAGAAGACGACCTCAGGGTCCAGGTAGGTTCATATGGAGAGATGGTCCTTGAGGCATTTCTGTCCTGAGCCATTTAAGGCTTTATAGGTCAAAAGCAGCACTTTGAATTGGGCCCAGAAACTAACTGGTAGACAGTGCAGTCAGACTAGGATCGGTGTAATATGCTCAAACCATCCTGCTCTAGTGAGCAACCCGGCCGCTGAATTTTGCACTAGCGACCAAAGCAGTTTCTGTGCCAAAACTGGGCCTAAACTGAAATGGATGCAGAAAATCAGTTTCTTCCAAAAGCAACTACTCGTTCCAGAACCTTGCTCAGGAAAGGGAGATTAGCAACTGGCCAGTAGTTTGTTAGGTATTCTGAATCCAGGGAAGGTTTCATAAGGAGTGGTTTTACCACTGCCTCCTTCAAACAGGCAGGGACCACCCCCTCTTGAAAGAGGCATTGATCACCTCCCTGGCCCAGTCCGCTGTTCCCTCCCTGCTGGTTTTTATCAGGCAAGAGGGGCAGGGGTCTAGAGCGCAAGTGGTCGCCCTGACTGATCCGAGCACCTTGATCCAAGTCCCCAGCCATATAACGGAATTTGGGAATGGGCAAGGAGGGAGGAGGGGAGGGAGCTTGGCTCCAAGGGCCCCCAGGCAGGTGGCACTCACCTCCGCATAGGGCTTGCTCGCTTCGATGTGGATCATTGGATCACTGCTTGCCAAGAGGCTGGCCACTTCACTGTCCCGGCCCAGTTTGCCCCAGGAGTAGTTCTGCACGGGGCAGGCCAAGGGAAACACTGAGGGAGCAAAAGACACAGGCACAGGTGGGAGGTCATGCACAAGGACACAATGTGGGTAGCTGCCCCCAGTCAGCCCCACAGCTCCATCGCTGTTGTCAGGATGCTCCCTCTCAGGGTGAGCCCACCTCACCCTTACCCTGCATCTTGACAAAGGCTCCCACCTGCACATTTAAAGCAGGATCAGCTTAAATAGTCATGAGTTCCCACAAAGGATCCTGGGAACTATAGTTTGTTAAGGGTGCTGAGAGAGCCCTAGTTATCTCTCAGAGTTACAGTTCCCTCTGGTTTTCACAGCCCACCCCTCTTCATGGGGAGCTGCAGCCCTGTGGGCGGAACAGGGTCTTCTAAAAACCCTCAGTGCCCAAAACAAACTACAGTTCCCAAGATGGTTTGGTGGGATGCGGCGGCCGATATTGGAGACCCTAATAGGAAAGAATGAGATGGTTTTAAGAGCTTTTCTTTTCTTTGAAGGGCCTGGAGGAATAAAATAGATTTGCCTGGCCTTCAAAATTTACTGTTGGCCAACGGAGCCGCTGCGAAAAAGGCCCTATCTTCCTTGCAGGGTTTTAAGCAGAGGTTGGGCGATCATCGGCCAGGGGCGCCAAGGCTGCGCGTCCTGAATGGCGGGGGTTCGGCTAGATGACCCTCGGAACCCCTTCCCACCCCCGGAAGGCGCAGGAGGGGCCGGGCTTCTCCCGAGAGCGGGCACCGCTCCTGCCTGCTCGCTCCGCGGGAACGCCTCTCTTCTCCCCACCCGGAGCGGCTCGCTCCTGCTCCTGCTCGCCGCCGCTTTGTCCCGGAGCCCCTCCGTCCAACGCGGGCGCGGAGCACGAGGAGCCGCCCTCCGCCGCCCCCGGACCCCCAAGGCGGGCGCCCTCCTTTGCCCCGGCCTCGCTCACCTCGCAGCTCCGCCATCCCCGCGATGCTGCTCTGCTTCGCTCTGCCCCGCCTCTTCCAGGCGCCGGCCGGCCGGCTGGCCGGGCACGCCGGGAAAAGTAGTCCGCCGCTCCGGATCAGGTGTCTGGGGAGGGAGAGCGAGAGCGAGAGCGCCCGTCAGCCTCAGCCCGGGCCAGGCTGCTGCGTCCTGGAGCTGCAAGCAGGAATTGCACCGGTGCAGTGCAGCAGCCACACAGGGGCCCGAGGCCGCCCCTGAAACGCTCCGCAGCGTCGCAAAACGGGCAGCTGGACTTTATTAAAGGTTTATGGTCAGACTCGGGAGTGAGCGGTTGGATTCCAGCCCGGATCCGAGTCTTCTCCCGCACTCTCAACTGATCCGCGCCGAGTGGCGTGTTATAGATGAGGGGTTGGTGGTTTCCCCCCGGAACGAGTGAAAAATAAATCTCTCTTGTGTTCCAGAAAACGTGGTTCTTTAGCTGGGGGCTGGATGGTGCAGCCAGGCTAGGCGCTATATTACGCACGAGTTGCCGGAAATGTATTAATGCAATTAATTAATCAAGCTCTTGCAACATTTAGGTCTGGCAAGTATTAAGCCGTTCCGCAAGCGTTTTCTCAGCCGTTCCGCAAGCGTAAACCCTGCTGCAGCTGGAATAGTCCGTACAGCAGAAGACTCTTACCCTTAATCTCAGACTCATTTCGCAAAAGATTCCTGCATTGCTGGGGTTGGACTAGATGATCGCAGTGGTCCCTTCCAACTCTACAATTACATCATTTTATGCCTTGAGTGGGACTTGCTTCCAAGTGAGTGTGCATCACACCCAAAAATGCACCACAGGTGGGGCTGCCTTTGCACACAGGGTGTGGGGGGAGGGCAGAGGCCAGGGCCCAGGAGGGGCCAACAGTTCCTGCAGGGCAGTTGCAGGCTATGCTTGTTGCCCCCCCACCCTGTTCCTCCTGTTCTTCCACAGCTGAATCACTTCCTACGAAGCATCTCAAAGCAACACCACAATGCAAAGCATAGAGAACAATCACATATATAATGACTGTTCAAACGACGACATATACAGAAACAGTTTCAAATCCAATACAAATATTGACCAGGACAAAAATCTCAACTTAGAACTAGGCTTGTTGGAAGAAGGTGCTGATCAGTGGTTTCAGTTTCAAAGTACTGGCTTTGGCCAGTAAAACCCCAAATTGGGTGCACATAGCTCCAGCATCTGGGACTTGTTTTGCTTTAATGAGGATGCTGGTGTCCATCACTTGCATTCAGCAAAGTCAGGTACAAAATGATGAATCTAGGAGGGGAGCCGATTACCTGCTGCAGGTATCCCACATGCAGTGCAATAGGATGGCCCACACATATTCCAATACACTTTTCCAGCAGGGAGCTTGAGACAATGTAAATGGATCCTTTTTTCCTCTACAACAGGCACCCCCAAACTCAGCCCTCCAGATGTTTTGGGACTACAACTCCCATCATCCCTAGCTAACAGGACCAGTGGTCAAGGATGATGGGAATTGTAGTCCCAAAACATCTGGAGGGCCAAGTTTGGGGTGCCTGATCTATAACTAAGACTAAACCTGCCATCCTAACCTGGGGAGTACATCCCATGGAATTGCATAGGACTTCCTTCTGAATAGATGTGGCTAAGACTGCCCTGCATGTTACTACAGATCAGAGATGGTAGCAGCCGATATTCTTAAAGTAGGTGGTTAGAATATTGCAGTATATATTTGTGGATTTCTGTGATTTGCCTTGTGTGGTTTTTAAGAAAGGCTGCTAAAGCATTTGATGACGAGTATGACGACGCACGACAACCCTTGTTGTTGCTGCTATTGACAGGGAGGGTGAAGTAAAAAACACTTGGGGGCCTACTGCAAACTGTTCAGCAACCTGCAACCTTGGTTCCCCTTTTCTTGCTCACCCTTCTCCCAAAAGGCCTTGGGGATCTGAAGGCGCGTCTCCTTGTGGGTGAGCCTGCCTGTGTCTGCTAAGGTTGCCTGGAAGGGCCCAGGCCCACCTTTGGGGGTTCTGCAGGCGACCACAGGGGACAGGGCCTTTTCTGTGGTGGTGCCCTGATTTTCATGTTCATCACTGTTATTAATAAATAAGTCCAAGGAATAGCCTCAAGGAAGCTTGCCTGGCCCCTTCTTTAATACCTTTCAGGCACGAAGTAAAGAAACTACTCAGAGGAGATGGGGGAGATATAAATGTAATTCAATTCATATACAGTAGTGTGTTGCTGTTAGTATTTTGGCTGCCATTCTACATTCACGCTTACCGAGTTAGACTGCTGCGCACTACGCGGCACACTACGGTACCTGGAGCGCTCTCGCCGTTCAGTGCGCATGCCCGGAAGTCAACTTCCCCTTCATCTTGAGATCTATTTCTCCTCCATCTCCGGAGCGACACAGCGAGCGCGCGTTCTGGATTTGCGCATGCGCCCTGCTACCTCCACGCTCCCTTTCCTCTGCGGCTCGATGAGGTCACAAAGGCGAGAGAGAAAAAGGCGTCTTTGTCACGTGGCGAAGGAGTGCGCCTGCGTCTTGCGGGTCGTTCTGCGCAGGCGCGCAAGGGAAGAGGCGGAGGAGGAGCGGGGAGGAGACCCCTGGTCCCGGAAGTGTGCCGTTTCCAGGGAGCGGACCGGGTTGAGAACCGGTGCGGCGGAGCTGAGTCTCGGAGAGCGGCGGCGGCGGCGGCAGCAGCCATGTCGGCCTTCGACACCAACCCCTTCGCCGACCCCGTCGACGTCAACCCCTTCCAGGTGAGCGGGAAGTGTGTGTGTGTGAAGGGAACACCTGTGGCCGCGGAGGGCGGGGGGCCACAGGCTACGCCCCTCGGCTCTGCCCCCCCTCGAATGCAAAAGAGCCCCGGGGTGGGGGCGGGGTGGAGGGGTCTCCGTGGGAGCAGGAGGGCGGCAAACCCCCTTCCCGCTCCTTGTGGCCCCAGAGGTGGCAGGGCCTGGAGCGAGCCGGGCTTAAGTAAGCTCGCTCCGTGTAGGCTCCTAGCCACGTTGAGGGATCTTGGCCCTCGAACCAAGAAGCCCTGTTTCTCAGTCACCCCTTACGACAGGCTTCCTCAACCTCGGCCCTCCAGATGTTTTGGCCTACAACTCCCATGATCCCTAGCTAGCAGGACCAGTGGTCAAGGATGATGGGAATTGTAGTCTCAAAACATCTGGAGGGCCGAGGTTGAGGAAGCCTGCCTTATGGTTTAGGGGTTAGGCTGGGTCAGATGAACAACAACTGGGAAGATCTAGGAGTTTTGGGATTTGAGCTCCTTGGAGGAAGACTGGAATGAAAATGCAATGAATGAGGGAATTGATAAATAAAATAAAAGCGGTCACATGTCTCTTCATTGCCCAGTGAACATAACAAACCCTCCAGAAGCAGGTGTTATATCACAATGAACTGCAGGAATGGGAAAGGGAAGTTATGGATTTAAGCCCAAGGTAAATTACAGGGGGGATTTCCAGTCTGGCCTGAGACAAGATTTGGGGCTTCTTCAGTTATGAATGGATGTGGCCTGTTACCTTAATTCTAACAGAAAATCAAAGCCTATGCTTTTAAGATTACCCATCTCATGTTGCTTCTTAATACACGGGATCATCTGAGGATGGGATGGGGGCATATCCATCCTTAAACACAAATGTTGTCTTGGCAAACAGGTTTTTCCTTTGAGAACCAAGTGGCAGGGAGGCAGAACTGTATCTTCATTGTTGAGGAAAAGGAGTGTTTGCTTACTGACACTTTTGGGGAGCTGTAATTTTTGTACACTCTGGAGTTTGTAGCAATTTTCTTAATTCTTTGACTTGTACCAGTCAGAGCTTGCTGCTGCTCCATTCCTGCTTGCTGCTCCTTCTCATGACAGAATTATGAGCAATGCTCTGTAGTGATGTTGCAGTTTCCTTTCCTGAGCTGCTCTGTCAAGAACTAGCACCAGGTTTTTGATACTACACTGCATTATCTCTTGAAAGGGGCAGAGTTGCATGTGTGCATACTGTTAACAGTTCTACTTGAGAAGTACACTTTTTAAACTTTAGATTATAAGCCTGTAGGTAGGAATTTCTAGGTTTGAATTCATTCCCAGTGCCGAGTATCCTTTAGGCACTTTTACAATTATTATATGACAACTTAACCATTCATCATGTACAGTGCATAGTGTGCTTTAGGCACTTAAGCAAATAATAAATGACAACTTACCAACACGTCTATTGCAAATGCCAGCTGCTTCTGTCAAGCAGGGGTGAAGAACCTGTTGCCCTCACTAAATTGTTGGACTCCCACCTCCCATCTGCCTCAGCCAGTATGGCCAGTGATCAGTATCAATGAAAGTTGTCTGGCAACATCTGGAGACTGCCAGATTGGCTACCTGTTGCAGAGCTGTCTGGCTGCCAGGCATCCAGCTTCATTGATCTGAACACCTCTTTATGTGATGGGATGAATTTGAGTGCTAATTCTACTGTTGCTGTGGGAAATCGTAATCCTTTTGGCTTGTTTATAACAGCTTTAACTCTTCTTCAGTTTCTCCAGTATTGCTTTTCCTATTAGCACATCACTGTCATATTGCTACTTTGCTTTGACTCTGCCCTCCTACATCTGATGCTTCTCAGGTGTACATGAGATGGGTGGAATGAGAACATTACTGCCTACTATGAAAGCTCATAATGTAGATCTGATTCTTTTAGGACACTGAATTTGCAGTCCTAAACATATTTGCTCTAGGTAGTCAGCCCTATGAATGCAGTGGGACTGACTTCTGATTGAATGCACAGAGAAGCTGGACTGCTCTCCTCTCTGTATCTGGTCAATTCAATCTGATGTGCCTGGGTTTAAAGGAGCATACTTAATGGCTTAAGTTGGTTCTTCAGAGTTAAGCCGCAGAACTTTCCTTGGATTACCCAGTTCCTTTTTTGAATCCATCTTTATCAACATTTATGACTTTAGGCATGTCTTAAGAATCATTAATTAAAATGCATACACATGCAGAACAGATTATATATTTTACAACCTTTTGGGTGTTTACTTGGAAATAAGGCCAACTAAATGCAGTGGTAATTTCAAGGAATTGTGCATTGGATTGCACTCTTTCTCTAGCACGGGTGGTGAACCTGTAAACCTCCAGAGCTTAGATTCCCAGCCTGCATAGCCAATGGGAGTTGTAGTCCAGCAATAGAGTGCAGTAGGTTCCCTGCTCCTACTTCAATATAGCCAGCTTGTGTAACTGGGAGATCTTGCGAGAGCTGTGGTGAGGAAAAGGCCCTATACCTGACACACTTTAAGCTCAGCCCTACAGTGTGGTGAGGCAGCACATAGTAAATGCAGGTGGCATGACTTTCCTTTTTTGAAGGCCTGATCTTACATGTGAAATTAGCCTTGTGATATGGCTTGTATACACACTTTCACACAAGTTGTTTGTATGAGTTGTAGTGAGAACCCCTGGAACTAAGGGTGTGTGGGTGTGCTTCTGACAAAGAGCTTCCTGTGTGGAGTAGCCCCTGTGTGGTTGTGTCTTCAAGAAGTTTCCGCACTGCTGAAGGCATGTATTAATCTGGCCTAATAAATGCCTCCAAGTTAGCAAGTCAGACATGCTTGCCAGGAAAGGGCTTTTTCTTTGCCGGCAAGGATCCTCAGTTGTTGAAGCCCCCAAGTGGGAAGGGCTGGGCCGCTGGGATGAAGCAGTTGTTGCAATTGTGTCAGGTGGCACTGGTGCAAAACAACCTTGTATTGAATAAGCTGGTTTTATAGCCAGTGTGGCAAATCTGTGGTTCTCCAGGTGTTCTGGACTCCCAACTCCCACCAGTCACAGCCAGCATGGCCAAACGGTCAGGGATGATGGGAGTTGCAATGTAGCATGCTTGAACATCAGCAGGTCCCCCATTCCTGCTCAAGTGATGCATTCTCCCCCGGCACTACAGTGTTTTTTCTTTTTCCTTGTCAAACCGTTGGGTTCAGGGGTAAATATACAAAACTCATGGGCACTGTCCTCTCTTTTCAGCTTTCAGGGGAATGAATCTCCCTAGGAGCTTTTCTGTTCCCAGAGTGTCACTCATATTTTACTAAACAACATTGGCAGTGCTGGCCATCTCTGAAACATGCCTTTGTTTATCAAGGGAGTTGGCAGATGGCTCCCGATCCAGCGTTTTAATCTTGGAGACCTGGGTGTGGGTGTGCAGATCAAGCTATTCAGGTAGCTGCAGTTCTGAACTCCCATGTGAGAACCAAGGTTGCTTTGTGGCAATCAGCTATTGAAGCCTTCCAGTTTAAAGGGCCGGCAAACTGCAACAAAGCTAACAATAGCATAGAGACCTTTCCTGTTGTTCTAGTTACTAAAAGGTGTTTTTCAACATTCTTGGACTGTGTATGGTACTGAGCCTTTTATACTTAAGTTGTGTATGTGCTTTCTAAGGCTGTAATTTTTAATTGATTAAAAATTTAGTAAAAAGGCAATTGATCAACATATTTTCAATTTCAAACAGTATTTAGTACTGTACTTTTGTTTAAAGTAAAAGCCACATATAGGAGGCAATGTTTTGGAAGAGGCACTAACCATTTCAGTCCCTCTTCCAGGATGGTACCTGCATTCACCACAGAAAACAAAGACTGTATGTGTTTTTCCTCTTCAAAATGTTTTAGTAATATGGACACTTGCACAGATTTTATCCAATTAAATTGCATAGATACTGAGCTAGCACTGATCTAATCAAACATGTTTATTTGCCTTTCTCTCCTTCGATCAATACTCCCCCCCCCAAGTCCCCCCCTTTTTCTTCTGGAGTTGTATCTGTTTTCATTATAAATATTTGCCATTTTAAAAAGAGAAAAAAATGAATGTTCATCATCACCGTGTGACAACCCTGGGGTCTTCTTTTCTTTTTCTTTATTTACACATAAATCTGAGAACAAATGAAAATTATGCAAAAAAAAAAAATGGTGGGGCAAGAGGATAAAATGATAAAAATAAAAGAGTTGGGATGGTTTTTCCATAGTACCACCTATGATCTGGGCAGTCTGGAGGTGGTGAGTGATGCCCTGGTTTAACTGTGTGTCTCTGTGAAGGTGGACCAGGTGTCCTGGTCTGGGTGCTGGTGTTTTACATAGCACTACTTTGTGTGTGAAAACAGCTGATAGGCTTTTCTACCCAGGAGTCGTCCATGGTACTGCGCTTCCTTTTGATTCTACTTTTTGAGAACAAGTCATTCTGCCATGGGGGCAACTCACAGGAAGCATTCAAGGGACAGCATCTGCCTTCCCATAATGGTGCTTAGGAGATTTTCCCAACCCTAAATTGCCAGAAAGGGGTCACCGCTAGAAAGCTTCCTTTTGCTCTTGTTTCTTGGTACAGTGGTACCTCAGAATGTGAATGGAATCCGTTCCGGAGCCCTGTTCGCATCCTGAACATAACATAAGATGCGACAGCACGTCTGTGCGTGCCGCATTTCGCCGCGCGTGCGCGTGACGTCATTTTTGACCACCTGTGCATGTGTGAGCAGCGAAACCCGGAAGTAATGCGCTCCATTACTTCCGGGTCGCCGCGGAGCGCAACCCGAACGCGCTCAACCTGAAGCATATTTATCCCGAGGTATGACTGTATTTCATTGGATCAGCTCTTCTTCCCTTCCTGTAATTGCTATCAATGAAGAATAAATCTGAACTCAAATGAAACCCATGTTTTCATGTTATCTTGGAATTAGATCCTTTTTAAAGTCTAGCAATGAGTCTTGCACAGGCTTCCTCAACCTCAGCCCTCCATATGTTTTTGGCCTACAACTCCCATGATTCCTAGCTAGCAGGACCAGTGGTCAAGGATGATGGGAATTGTAGTCTCAAAACATCTGGAGGGCTGAGGTTGAGGAAGCCTGGTCTTGCATAATGAAATTGGAAGCTTCTGTAGTAACCCACTTATTGCTTTTAACAGAAGCATTGTTACTTCACTTTCCCGAAGGTGGTTATGTTAGCCTCTTGCAGGGAAGACAGCAAAAGGTCTAGTGATGCCTTAAAGACTAACAATAGTCTACAATGTTCCAGGGACATTGATTTCCCTTTGCTTCTGCTTTGATGCCATTGTTTTTCTCCCCCTCCAAAAAGCAAATCATTTGTCATTTAGCTTAGAGAAACATAATCAAAAGTTTTTTTAAACAAAACCTGTTTTTGAATACTCTGTAGTAGCTAATTGACTGAATTGGCCTTAAATTGAGCTGTTTACTCCCCATCTTTTTTTTACTCCCGTAGACTAGCCATCTGGAGTCAACTTTTTGAGTCCTGAGGATTCATCTCCACTATCTAGCCAGCTTGCCTCTGTCTCCTATTCTTGCATGTTGGCATCTAAGAGACTCCCATCACATTAAGCTAAAACCTGCTATGGCTTATGAGCTGTGATTTTGGGCTTCCCTACCTTGATTGTGATAGACCAAGTGCAAATCATTTTAGTGAGCAGAAGGCACTGTAGTCTTTTCCTGATTTTGTTTCTGCAGCGGGGGGAGCGGGGAAAACAGGTGTACGGTTTGCTTAAGGGTGAGCTAGATCAGTGTCTGTGCATGTCTACCTTCTTAAATTAAACCTGCCTTCTCACATCTCTTGTACTTCTTGCAAATTCTAAAGAATAATTTATATCTAGCGTGAAAACCATTCTATGATCCCTGCTCCTGATTTCCAGATATGTCTCTGCTCTGTGTCTATAATCTTTAGACTGGCATAACGTTGCAGGGAGATCTTGTGACTTTTAAACGGATACTTCCTTGTATTTTGCTTCACTTTTAAGAGCTAAAAGTCTAGATTAAGACACGCAGTGTGCTCACAACAGCTTCACAAGAACACAGTTATCTAGAGGGAAGATATCACTAGAAGTAGGAAGAATTGGGGCGGGGAGATTTCTAAATGCAAGCAAGAGGCCGTATTTTAGTGGTTATGTGCATTATATATGGAAGATCCAGGTTAAATTCACTTGGTGTAGGTGGGCAAGTCCTCAGTCTGAGGCCTTCGGTGGCCCCTGCAAGTCAGGTTGGAGAAGACTGAGTTGGGGGAACCAGTGGCCCGAGTCTGAAAAAAGCAGCTTCTTATGTTCCACGCTAGGCAAGATTTGGAAAGCTAAACTGCTGGTGACACCAGTGACACTGCAACTTGCTTCCAGAAGTTTTGCAATAGGAAATACAACCATCCATTTTGCATCACAGCCAGAGCTTTGAACGCCTGTCTTCGTCTTCTTTCCATCAAGCTCTGCAGCCAAAGTCTCCCCTCTGCGTGGTGTTGTGCTCTGTCATTGGTGCAGCTTGATCACTCAAAAATATTTGTAACGGCTTCAGCCTGCCTTGCTGATCTCTCAGCTCCCATCAGTTCAATGCTCTGGTCAGTGGTTGAAATTAACCAGTTGTCAGGCTTTTTTTGAGTGGGGGGACAGGGACTCAGGAGTGCCACCTAGCAACCAAGTTGAGATTTCCAGTCAAGTGGTTTGCAAATGATATCTCAGCAGGAGAGCCGAGGGCAACTTCTGTTCCCTTTCAGGAAGGCTTTTGATGTGCTGAGAAGAGGAAACCTTTCCATTGTTGTACAGTTGTCATAAGTAAGCAAACTGGGAAGAAGCTCTTTCACACAGTTGCAGGAGGGGAGATCTGGTTGATTTTACCCCCTCCCCTTCAGTCTTTTGCTAAAACATGCTGTGGTTTGCAAACAAGCAGTAAGGGTAAAGGGACCCCTGACCATTAGGTCCAGTTGTGACTGACTCTGGGGTTGCGGCGCTCATCTCACTTTATTGGCTGAGGGAGCCGGCGTACAGCTTCTGGGTCATGCGGCCAGCATGACTAAGCCACTTCTTGTGAACCAGAGCAGTGCACGGAAACGCCGTTTACCTTCCCGCCGGAGCGGTACCTATTTATCTACTTGCACTTTGATGTGCTTTCGAACTGCTAGGTTGGCAGGAGCAGGGACTGAGCAACGGGAGCTCACCCTGTCGCAGGGATTTGAACCTCCGACCTTCTGATCGGCAAGTCCTAGGTTCTGTGGTTTAACCCACAGCGCCACCCAAGTCCCTTGCAAACAAGCAAGCAAGCTGCAAATACTTAATGAATTGCTTCTCTCTTTTGGAGGCAGGGGAAGCAGGAGGGCTGGCTGATTATTAAGGGATCTCTCTTGGTGATCTTGCTTCTCAAAAGTGAAATGGTTCGAGCAGTAAAGCAGTGCTTCCTTTCTTGCCTTGCCTTTCATTTCTTCTAATAATATTTTTGCTGGCTGGCTTGGAAGAATAAAGGTTTACCCCTTTTATTTGGATTCTACTGCATTTTTTTTCTAGGAATGCAGGTTGAGCATGGGGGTGGAGAGAGCATGCTGCAAATTATGACAAAAAGGAGTGTGGTTTTTTGGGCGGGGTGTCTGTTCCTGTGTACCTGGCCACTCTGAAGTTTGCTTTTGTGCATCTGATGGCGTGTTTGGTATGGAGGGAGGAGTGCAAGTAGAATAAATATTCTTATATCTTGAAATATATAAGAAAACCATTCTGATCTAGTTATTGATTCCAGTCCTGCATATTTGTGACTGCCAGTGAGATTTACTGGATGTGTGTTGTCTGCTTTTTGAACCTGTCTGCAGCACGAGACAGAGCATCTTTCTAGCTCTTCCTGGAGTTGCGTTAGCAAAGTTGGCTGATGACACCAAGTTGATCAGTATAGTTTTTAACTACAAGAGGATGTGAGGCACTCCAAAAAGATCTCTCTGAACTGGATGAATGAGCATTAAAATGATAAATCTGATTCAGTGTGAGCAAGTTTTAAGTGATGCATGCTGGGGCAAAATATCCTAGCATTGCATATATGCTATTGAGGTCTGAGGTGGCAGGACTGAACAAGAACCGAGATCTTAGGGTCATAGTGGATAACTCAGTTAAGATGTTGACCCAGGTTGTGGCAGTGGTAAAAAGAGGTTAACTATATTTTAGAGATCATTAGGAAAAGGATTGAAAGTAGAGCTGGAAATATAATGGCCTTATACAAGTCTATGGTGCAGCTGCACTTGGAATGCTGCGTGCAATTCTGCTCACCACGTCTCTTAAAGGATATTATCATGCTGGAAATATTGTTTTTAGAAATGGTGGAGTATCATCACCTAACTGTAAAGGAAGTGCTTTCCTTTACATAGATTAAAAACATTAGAACTTTGGAAATAATCATGTTATGTGGGCCTGATGGACAACTCCACCCATCACAGAAGCTGTGACTTTGCAAACAGAAAGGAAATGAGAGCCCAGTGAGAGCCAGTGCGGTCTAGTGGTTAGAGTGTCAGTAGGACTAGGACCTGGGAGACCAGGGTTCGAATCCCCACTCAGCCATGAAGTTCACTAGGTGTTACTGTCCTATACATGCCTAAATTTAAGTCCTGCTGTGCTCTCTGTATTACCTGTTTTGCTGTAGCTGGTTACAAGCCTCCAAATACCACAAATCGCAAAAAGAGCCAAATAAATTCTCTATGAAAAAGTAAATGGAAAGTGCTGCTGCATTTGGGGGGGGGGGGAGAGAGAATAGCAACTAGCCCCTTGGTTTTTGTGCCCTTAACCCAGGTTCCATTTTTCTGATGTGATGGCTACCTCCTTAAGTAAGTGCAAAAACCTTATGGGGTTCCTTAGTTTTTCCCTCTTGAGTCTGCACCTATTAGCGTGCAAGGCAAAGGAATGTGCAACCCAGCCCTGTAGATGTTTACTTAGGAGTAAAGGGAGCCTCCTTATACCATTGGTCCATCTAGCTCTGCACTGCCTGCACTGACTGGCAGCATCTTGTCAGTGTTTCAGGCAAGGGACATTCCCAGTCCTGCCTGGAGATATGGGGGGTTGAACCTGGCATATTCTGCTTGCAAAACAGATCCTCTGCTATGCGTAGGTCCCTCTGGCCAACAGGAGCATCCTCCATGGTACACTTGTATCAGACCACAGCCTTCGTCACAGGTTGGCTTGCACCTGTTTCTTCTTTTCTTCTTCCTGGAGTGATTCATGAGGTTGTGCAACAACATGCTTATGCAAGGAGTGTCAGGGCTCAGGCTGTTTGCCTGCAGTTATTCATTAAACGAGAGCTTGCAGCGTGCAGATGAAAGCTGGGATGAGACTAGGTTTTTGCCCAGCACCATAGGCCTCCTCTCTCTAGACTGATTTGCAGCACACACTCTCCTCTCCCGTTGTTGCTTACAGTCTGATTCGCACTGCTTGGTCATGTGTGAGCAGTTTAATCTGATTCATTATTTGTTTGGAGGCAAGGCCAGCCACTTCCATTTTTGCATGTTTGGATTTATATGACTATTTCTAAAATATGCTGTACAGCTGTAAACAAAGCAGTTAGGAGTGAACTTTCCCCTGGGCGCTTGAGGGATGCTTCATCTAGGCATTTGTGTGGAACTTTGTCACTCAGTCTGCCCAGCCCACAAGGTGGAAAAATTTGTTGTGGTCCCATGGCAAAAGGGGTCCTGCACCACTAAATGGAAAGGGACACCACTTTCCTATCTTAGTTCTCTTTAGGCAAAAACTCTGCTCCAGGAATCCTGCATTTCCTCTCTCTCCAGATCCCTTCATTGGCTTTCCATTCTTTCCTGTATCCAGCATAAACCACTTTCAGAGTGAGTCAGAAGGTTTCTGCAACTTATCATTTGACCCTTGTTTCTTGTTCTGTTCCCATTTGTGACCTCTGCCCCTCTAACACAGTCACCCTCAGGTGATCATCTCCTGCTTCCTGAAACAATGCTTTACAGCTACAACCCCATGTCAGTTTCCTCCTCGAAACCTTGGTTTACCTTAAACTTCATTCTCTGCCCAGTTAAGCTTTAAATTAGTGTAGTGACAGTCAGTCACATTCTCCTCTCTCTATTCCTTACTATCTCTATTCTGGACAGAAAGCTCTTTGGGAGCAGTGGCCTGTCTGTTGCTTGTATAACTCTTGTAAAATCCTGTGCATTTTAAATAAAGAATAAGGAAGTATGGTCAAGAGGGCGTGTGGATTTGGTGTTTTTCTTTCACATTAGGAGTCAGTGAAGCCATTGTAGCTGGCTGGGGAGGAGGGCAAATCCCACTGTGTTTGGTTTGGGAGTGAGCAAAGAGAAAGGAAGTTCACAGGCAATTTTTACAAATAAAGTGCAGCATGCATGCATGCCCTGTCTACTGGTGTGAACATCCAACTGCACATACTTATCAGGAGTTGCCATGTGTTAAATAGCATTTCCCCCTCTTCTCTTCCAGGATCCTTCAGTCACGCAACTGGCACATGCTAACCAGGGTGGCCTGAATGAATTCAACCCCTTCTCTGAGAGCTCCCGGCTGGTAAGTGCAGCATGGGGTCAGGCCCTGTGCCAGTTAGCAAGGCTGCCTTCATGAAGGGATCTATTTGAAACTGCCAAGGATCAGCATGCTTCACTTTCTGGGCCTACAAAGCACCTCTCCCTTTCACAGCTCCCTTCTTTCAGTGCCTGTTGGCACAGGGAGAGGCTCAGTTCAGCATTTGTTTTATTATTTCACATTGACCACGTGCTGTCACAGAAATGCAGAAAATACAACCCAATGTATATTAATCATGTATATTTGGAATTTTGTGTGAATTGGTTTCTAATAGTAAGTTAACCAATGTTTGTTGTCATCACAGCGGTCTTGGGGACAGTTCACAAAGATTTCGTACAAGTAGCACAAAACAGAGATAATGTTAAGGTGTAAGTTGCAGGCTTGAGTCATAATCCTTGGCTTCTGTTTGCCAGTAAGTCAGTCTTGCTAATAAAAGTTCCCCTAGATTGACAGTAGCTTGGAAAAAGATTTGTTTCTAACTGATTCTCTTTGAAAAGGTAATACATGGTATCCCTGGATTCTCCTGGGCCACGGAAACATAGATGGGCATCGTATGGAAGTCAGACAAATCTCCTTTCCAAAACAGCTGTTGGCATCAGATTAAGCCCAGCTTTCATTCAACAGCAGTGCACCTGGTAGCTCCTTCAGGCTACCATATGTAGGTAGACTGAATGTGCTGGCAGAGGGGAGGTGGATTGCTCTGTCCCTCCTCCATGGCCTGCATGGAAACTAAGCAGGTTGGCAGAAGAGGGACAGAACACACTTCCCCTCCTCCAGCAGTGCATTTGACAGAAGACAATTCTTTAGCCTGTGTTTCATGGCTGGCAGCAGAGCCAAGAGCTTCCCAGGCAGCATGACTAGCAGGCTAGTAAAACAACAACAGCAATATGTTCATGGTAGTATCTTTTCTGGTCTTAGTAATAAGGTTGGACTGAACTTTGGAGTAAGTTCCTTTCTGGGGCACATTTGCACTATACAAGCAGTATCATACTACTTTAAACGATCATGGCATCCCTCAAGTAATCCTGGGGTGCTGAGATTTGTTAGGGGACCCCCACATTCCCTGGGAAGAGGGGTGGGCTGTCTGCCCGGTGCTTCCACAGCAGTAAAGCCAGAAGCCCTTCCAGCTCATCCCTCACAGCCTTCTGATGTTTTCCTTTCTCTTGACTCAGACGAATGTGGCTCAGACAGTTCCAGCTGCTCAGCCTACTGCGCCTTCGCAACCTGCTGTGCTGCAGCCTTCGGTGGAACCCACCCCACAGGTAAAGACCTCCCACCACACCTGGGTGGTGCCCTGAGGGCTGATTGATCACTAGGAAATGTATCCCTTCAGCTCTCCTCTTATTGGGATGCACCCATCTCCCTCTTGGCAAGGACTGGGGTGGAGTGTGCTTTACAAACATGTTCCCTGTGACCCAAGATCCAAATTAAAGACTTCCAAATTCCTATCACCTGTGACACCCCCTTGACTAGAATGGCCCAGACTTTAAAGCTCCCCTCCTGCCCCATGCTTTTCTGCTAGTGGCACACTGATCAGGGTTTATGGGAGCTGTAGTCCAGATGAGCACTAGGAGAGCCACAGGGTCACTAGCCCTGGCCCTTGTGACTCTTTGTGTGTGTCTTTGTGTCTTTGTTTGTGCATGTGTGAGAGAGCGCACACACGGCGGCTCTCCTTCTGCCCCCATCCCACCTGTCCTTCCATTTTTGTGTGTCTCATAATCTAACTTGTTAAAGAGCCTTAGTGCCTTAGTTCCAGTGAGTGATCAGGCCAGACCCACCCAGTGAGTTTAGACCCAGCCTAGTTGTGTGTTGCAGCTGCTGCTTAGACAGGCCAGCAAGTACCTGACTCCTAAGTTCATCTCGGCAAGCTCAGAAGGCTCAGAGAGGCAGAGGTTACTTGGAGAAGACGGCAGCTCTCAGGGTAAACATCAGGTAAAAAGGGAGGGCAGGGAAACCCACAGGAAGGTGAGATGTCTCCCCAATATATCGATCCTTTTCTGATCACAGAGTCCACACCCACACATTTAAAGCACTTTAAAAGTCATGGGTTTTCCCTAAAGAATCCCGGGAACTAGTATTCTTTGGGTGAAGCCATGTGTTTTACATGTGCACAGTGAGCGTGGCCAAAATCATACAGAGTTGGAAGAGACCTCAGGTGCCATCTAGTCCTTCCCTCTGTGGAAGAAGGGAATGGTGTTTAATGTTGCTTGGAATGGTCCTTAAAATGTAGGAGGTCCCTTGCATGGAGAAGACGGAGAAATGCTATTGGGTGACAGAGAGAAGCCGGAACTGCTCAACACCTACTTGCCTCTGACTTCACCCACAAGGAAAGCAGTGCTCAGCCTGGTGATAACAGAATAAATGATGCAAGGAGGGAGCTGCAGCCCAATATAGAAAAAGAGATAGTAAGGGAACACCCAGCTGCTTTAAACGAACTCACATCTCTAGGGCCTGGTGAGCTGCATCAAAGGGTACTAAAGGAGAACAGGTGAGGTCCCTGCAGTCTGGAGTCGGGCAACTGTCCCCATCTTCAAAAGGGGGGGGGGGAGAAAACCCAGGTAACGACTGACTGGTGAGCTTGATGTTACCAGGAAAGGTCCTAATTAAACTGTCAGTCTGTGAGCACATAGAAAGGGTTACTGTGATTACTAAGACATGGGTTTCTCAAAAACAAGTTGTGCCAGACAAATCTCATTTCTTTTTTTGATAAAGTTACAAGCTTACTGGATCAGGGGAATGCTATGAATGTATTGTATCTTGATTTCAGAAAGGCTTTTGACAAAGTGCCCTAGATTTCCTTGTGGAGTAGCTGGCAAAACGTGGCCTGAACAAGCTAACAGTTAGGTGGCTTTGTAGCTGGTTCACTAATGTTTCCTCATTATCCTTGAAGCAAGGGACAAGTGGGGTGCTGCAGGGTTCTGTCCTGGGCCGGTTGTTACTCAACATCTTTATAAATGACTTGGGTGATGGAATTGAGGGGATGCTCATCCATTTTGCAGGTGACACCAAACTTGAGTGAGTAGCTAATGCTGCAGAAGACACAATTGTGATTCGAGATGACACCTGGTTTGCCAGTAGTATGTGTGAAAAGGATCTAGGGGTCTTAGTAGACCACAAGCTGAAGATGAGTCAACCGGGTGATGCAGCAGGGAAAAAAGCTAATGCTGTTCTAGGCTGCATCAACAGCAGTCTAGTGTCCAGATCAAGAGAAGTAATAGTCGTGCTCTATTCTGCCTTAGTTAGCCCATGCCTAGAATACTGTGTCCTGTTCTGGACAGCACAATTTAAGAAGGATATTGACAAGCTAGAACATGTGCAGAAGACGGCAACCAAGATGACCAAGGGTTTGGAAACCAAGCCTTATGAGGAATGGTTGAAGGAGTTAGGTATGTTTAGCCTAGGAAAGAGGAAACTGAGAGGAGATATGATAGCCATCTTCTGATATCTAAAGGGCTTTCACATGGAGGATAGAGCAAACTTGCTTTCTCCTGCTCTGGAGGGTGGTATTCAAATCAATGGCTTCAAGTTACAAGAAAGGAGATTCGGACTAAATATCAGGAATAATTTTCTGACAGCAGGAGCTGTTCAACACCGGAACAGACTCCCACGAGAGGGTGTGAACTCTCATTCCTTGGAGGTTGTAAAGCAGAAGTTGAAGGGCCATCTGTCACGTATGTTTTAGTTATGATTCCTTCATCACGGGGTTAGCCTAGATGACCCTTGGGGTCCCTTCCAACTCTACAATTCTGTGAGTAAGCAGAAAAACATAATTAAGGGAGATATTTTGCAGGGCATGGGGAATGGCATGTTTTCCAAGAGAGGGTAAAATGTTGATGAAAGCTCCCATTTATGCAGCTCTAATATGTTTTGTTGCATCCATAAGCTGATGGTTCTTAGAAGGAACCTGGGTGCAGTGTCATCAAAAATCATCCATCCATCCTTGAATAAACTCATTGCACTCAGAGATAGTGAACTTTATTGGTTTCTAGGAAAATTCAGAAAACCTATGATCAGAAAATTAAAAACCAGGAAGGGTTTAACTCTGCTACTTCAGACCACTCTGCAGAGCGAAAGTGCAGGATCTGTATAACCAGCCACTGTGCATGGCTTTGGGGGGCTGGTTTTTTTGGTCATGTAGTGAGACCTCCCAAGCATTGCTTACATTTCATACGACGCTCCCTCTCAATGTCAATATACCGTATTTTTCGCTCTATAAGATGCACCAGACCACAAGACGCACCTAGTTTTTGGAGGAGGAAAACAAGGGGGGGGGGGAAATCTGAATCTCAGAAGCCAGAACAGCAAGAGGGATCGCTGTGCAGTGAAAGCAACAATCCCTCTTGCTGTTCTGGCTTCTGGGATAGCTGCGCAGCCTGCATTCGCTCCATAAGACGCACACACATTTCCCCTTACTTTTTAGGAGGGAAAAAGTGAGTCTTATAGAGCAAAAAATACGGTATTTGGAGCCTCGGTTTTCTTTTTAGAGACTCTCACTGTCTTTGCCTTGAACCTTGTGTTCTTCATTTCCCCTGATGATTGTTACTATTCTTGTTTCCTTCCACTCAGGCTGTGGCCTCAGCAGCTCAGGCTGGGCTCCTTCAGCAGCAGGAGGAGCTAGAGAGGAAAGCAGCAGAGTTGGACAGGAAGGAGCGTGAGCTGCAGAACAGTGCAGCAGGATTCAATCGTGAGTCTTCATTTAACATTTTCTTAAAGCTCTTCTGTGCCTCCCTTCTGTTGTTGTTTCACCTGAAGTCAAAATTCTTCCAAGCAGTACAGGTGTGCAAATCCAGCAGGCTGCCAAGCAGCAGAGGCAGCTGCCTTATTCCAGGTCATAAGAACATAAGCAGAGCTGGTTGGATCAGGTCTTTTCATGCCCATGTCTTGTCGTGTTTTGTAACCCACAGAGCTCATTGAAACAAGTCAAACATGTTGGAGTAACTGGACACCAGAAGGGGTTGATTTCCTTCATGAGTGTAAATTACTCTGTGGCTGAGCTAATCGTAGGTGCAATGGCAGCCAAGCCAGTTGCTATGGCAACGGTCCAATGCCCTGACTATATCTGTGATTAATGCATGTAGGCTCCGTGATGCGTGTCTGCTAGTCTGCAGTTTGTCTGTCTGACTGGTAGTCAGTTAACCAGTTGGTGTTACTTGTCCGGTCTTGAATTGCTGAACTTGTTTAGAGCAACGGAGATACTTGATATTTGTAGGTATCTGTCTATTTGTAAAAGCCTCAAAGCTAATATATAGTACCTACGTCCAGAACTATTTTACTGAGCCTTATCTTCTGCAATAGTAAAATATCAGAACCTTTCTCTGCTTCCATGTGGTGACTGGTACTGGGAGCAACTTCTACGGTGTGGGTATCTCACCTGAGATTCCCATTAAACACCTGAAATTCCTTTTTTTTAAAGAAATATTCCAAATAAGAAATAATCAATGCAAAATTAAGTTCAGTGTGTTTAGTGTTTGCTTTTCTTCTTTTCTTGGCAGCAGAATTAGCTTCCTGTAGAATCATATAACTGTGTTATTACAGGCGGTGACCATTTTGTGTGGGGGTTCCATTCCTTAAAGCGCACATAAGCCCGTTGCGCTCCCTCTTCCATGTCCGAAAGGACCTGTGCGTCAGCAGTTGCGCATCATTTGCTGTAAAATGGTTGCCTACATAATGTGAACCCTCCACTTTCCCCATATCACTGTGCGAAACCTCCCTCTGCCCTTGCAGCGAAACAGAACAACTGGCCTCCACTTCCCAAAAGCTGCCCGGTCAAGCCATGTTTCTACCAAGACTTCTCTGCGGATATCCCAGCCGACTACCAGCGGACTTGCAAGATGCTATATTACCTGTGGATGTGTGAGTAAAACAGGCGATGGCGGCTGGGAAGCTCTGCTCAGGAGAGTGGGCGATTGTCACAGCACAGCCTTTTGACTCTGGAAGTGCTACAGTAATTAGAATGGATCCCAGTACCCAGAATGGCACGTCCTTTTAAACTAGACATGATGTTGTTCATGTCTTTAGTCGTCTGTGGCTGTTGTGCTTTGTTTTTAAACTTGAAACAGTAACACAGTTTCCCAGTGCGGACTTAATGGAGAAACCTTGGTTATCTAAAGGTTTCCTGGCTTATCACAGCATGCAGAAGAGTGGAAGGGGTTTCTGAAGGACAGAGCATGCCAAGAAGTGGTGGTGGGGATGGGAAACTGCATGTATGCGAAGCCAATATTGGGTTGTCTGAACCAGACTCCAGGCTGTTGGAATGAGCTGTGCCAAGGAAGTGAATCAGTCTTGTTTGGCACAATGAGCGCCGAACTGGGAGGTTGATGCAGTTGGTTTTGGTACAGGGTGAGCGCGCACACGCATACACAATGTCCTGGATCTGCTTTCATAGACACCTCACTCTTTACAAAGGTCGCTTACTCACTGATCAACTTTGCTGCTTTTGTTTTATCCCGGACAGTCCACTCAGTTACACTGCTGCTGAACCTGCTGGCCTGCCTGGCGTGGTTCACAGACAGAAGCGAAAGAGGGGTAGACTTCGGCCTTTCCATCCTGTGGTTTATCATATTCACCCCCTGCGCTTTCCTCTGTTGGTATCGGCCAGCCTACAAGGCTTTCAGGCAAGTACCACATCCCAGATTGGGAAATTGATCTTCAGTCTACATGGTTGATCATAATTTTCCTTGGGAGAACTTTGCATGTTTGTAATTTTATTGATGAAAGTATTTCTGTACTGCAGTATCAGGGTGATGCATTCTGGAAGCTTAGGATCCGCTTCTGAATGTGTGTGTCAGACATGTTTCAAAGCAAGTTGTCTTGAAAACTTTGGAATTATATTTTTTGTTGAACATTATATACACTAAAGGTTGAGGAGAGATTTTAGCGGTCACATGCTTACCTGAGTTGTCTCTCACTCTTTGGCCAAGGATTTCAGAGTATGGTAGTCCCTCAGCCGCAGCAACCTTGTGAGGTTGGTTAGGGTTAAGGCATCTTTCCACAACCTGATTCCCTCCGTATGTTTTGGACTAGAGCCAGAACTAGAACAGAGCCAATCTGGCAAAGCCCTGTATGCAGGTGTCAACCCCTTGCCTTAGTGGCACAGCTGGCCAGAGGCTTCTTCACTGGCACAGATAATGGGCAAGTTGCTCCCTTCCATCAATAAGCTTTGCGACACCATAAATCTATAGGGCCAGCCATAGTCTTGGTGAGTAAACTGGTAGGTTGGGTGGGGCATGTGGAAAGGGAGGTGATGTTTGGCGTGCAGAAGAAGGGTTGGCCTCTTGCCCCAGTGCCTGGCTCTAGGTTGGCTAAGCTGAGACACTCACTCTCATTGCTAGCAGAAACAGTTTCCTTCAGTGACAGAATCCCTGTGTCTCTTCCAGTCACTATACAGGATCTGGAGGTTTGCAACGGCTTGGCTCAGCACCCTAGCTAAGAAACATCCCATAGTTCCTCTTGTGCACCTCTGATGATATTTGGCTTGACATCACCTGTTCTTTCTCTTTGCAGGTCTGACAGTTCCTTCAGTTTCTTTGTCTTCTTCTTCGTATTTTTTTGCCAGATTGCCATCTACATCATCCAGACCGTTGGCATTCCTAACTGGGGCGTCAGGTAGGTCTGAATTGCTGCCGCCCTGGATGAGAGGCAGTCCTGGGCAACAAAGGGCCTCTTTGGATCCAGGCACACAGTTGCCTGTGAGGCCTCTGTAGCTGTGCTCTTCTAAAGCTTCTCTCTTCTATTCTGCGGCTTCCACAGATCCCAGCTGAAGCGCCTCTAACTCCAATGCTTCCTGCTCTTAAGTCCTTCGCCTGAAAGGCACGTATCTCCTCTAACCTTTCCTAATGCATCCTCGTCTTGCCGTCATTTCCCTTGCATGCTCTCCTATGCCTGCCTGCCTTCAGCAGTCCCTCTTCTCTGTTTTCTTGCCTGGCAGAGACCTCTCTCCCCACCCTTCACCGCCTTGCCTGCTCTCACTTGTTCAGCCCAGCACCACGTTGGTGAGATGCAACAGCAGTATCTACCTCCTCAAGAGATGCACAATCAAAATGAACTCTGCTGGTGGGGAAGGAGAGAGAAAAGATGGGCATGTAGGCTCTGCAGGAGAGGAGGGGAACACACGTGCCGTTCCAGATAGAGCGGTAGACTCGTAATCTGGTGAACCGGGTTTGCTTCCCCGCTCCTCCACATGCAGCTGCTGGGTGACCTTGGGCTAGTCACACTTCTCTGAAGTCTCTCAGCCCCACTCACCTCACAGAGTGTTTGTTGTGGGGAAGGAAGCCGCTTTGAGACTCCTTCGGGTAGTGATAAAGCGGGATATCAAATCCAAACTTCTTCTTCTTCTTGCCGAAGAGCAGCTCCCATCAGCCCCAGCCACATGGCCTGGGAGGAGGGGGAACTAAATCAGGAGGGCCACAGGTTCCCTACTTGCCAGTCTATGGGGTGTCTTTCTGGGCTCAAAGAAGGAACCCCATGCAAAGGGAGGAAACTTTGTCCATATATTGGCATGGCTCCACCATTGCCCTCTGCTATTCCCAGATGTTGCTGGACTACAACACTCCCCTCACCCCTGACTACCAGCCATGCTGGCTGGGGCTTATGGGAGTTGTAGTTTAGCAAGATCTGAAGAGCCACAGATGGAAAATAGGCCAGTGGGAAGTGACGAGGGACTTGCAGAAGTGGCAAGTGAAATACGGGCGGCAGCTATTTTGCACGGGGGTTCCCTGCCTGGCCTCCACACACATTGGTGGATCATGCATAAGCCTGCCCCATTCTGCCCCTGTTCTGCCCTCTTCTGGGTCCAAAAGGACCTGTGCGTCGGCAGTTGCACGTCAAGTGGATGCGTGCAAAATGGTCCCCGCCTCTTCTTAAGAGAGGTGTTGTGACTTCAGCTCTTGTTGCTTAGACGCCACTTCATCAAATGCTCAGGTATGTACAACTCTGAAGATAAGTGAAGTGGGATCTCTTTCATTTCATGGTCTTCTGTTTCCTGTATTTACTACTTTCTCTCCCACATGTGTGGGTGTGTTTGAATGGGAGAGAGTGAGCTCAGCTGAAGGCAACATTTCATGCATCTGATGACATGGGCTCTTTTCCACATGAGCTTCTGCCACAATAAATTGCACTTCATTAAGAGGCCACAGGACTCCCATGTTGATTCTGTTGCAACAGAATGACCCAGCTTCCCCTCTGAAAGTTGTCTTAAGGGGACATGCAGAGAAGGGGCAGCCTATACTTGTCCCTGGGATGGATTCCAGGGAATGGTCTATGTCTCCCCAAACTTTGCACGATGCTAACCTAGTTTCAAAAGGCAGAGTCCCAGCAATCCATGTGCTACATATTTAAGCTCTGGTCAATGAAAGAGACAAAATAAGGCCCCAAAGTAATCCAGAAAGTTGCTTCAGAGTCTTCTCTCTCTCTATATATATATATATTTGACATATCTTTGAATAATCTTCAGTATTGTATGTGGCAGTATTAGCTTCAGGGGCCCTTTCAGGTCAGACTTGGTGTTTATTTTTCTATGTAGCCTGGAGAAAGTCCTCTGGGCTTTGCCATATTCCAGCCATCCCTGACTATCACATTTAGTCATGCTCAAAACTTTCTTTCTTTCTTTCTTTCTTTCTTTCTTTCTTTCTTTCTTTCTTTCTGCCTGCTTGACTTTAGAGAGTTGGTTGCTTTTATGATTTTAACCAAATCCGATCCTGAATAGCAAATAATTTTCCCTGTTGGCCTATTCTCATGATTTCCTCAGAGGAGCAAAGAGAAGATGGCTAATGAAACAAGAGAAGGTCTTCATCTCCTTCAGTTGTAGCCCAAATTATGAAATTCGGATTAACTACTAAATGTTTGCGGTTGCTTGTAGGCTTTATAAGCTGGCTTGGGTTTCCAAAAGGCAGTGACAGGGTATTTGTATAAATAAAATATAATTTTGGCATTACATTTTAGTCTACAGTCTTATAGGGACATTTCTTTGCACATACATTCACACTTTCCTGGAAGTAAGTTGGACACAATAGGATTCTTACCTGGTAAACATACAACAGTTCACATCCATGTAAAGTGGTGGTTTCACATTTGTACAGGAGAGTATTTGTACTTTTTTATATATAAAAAAAGTCCTTAATAGACGGTGTGTATTCTAGCAAATCTTGGTTAGTCTTGAACTCTGTATGATATTGGCATTGGGCACAATGGAAAGGCAAGATCTATGTGAATGTTTGTAGATAGCTGCTGCCTCAAAGAAGCTTGGATTCAGGGGACGGCCATAGCTCAGTGGTAAGCGCATTGGGTTTGCATGGAAAAGGTCCTGTGGTCAGTGCTCCAGTGTCGGCAGTGCTGAGCCAGATGAGCCCCACGGCCTGATTTTGTATAAAGCAGCTGCCTATGATATTTTTCCTTCTCTTTGTCTTTGGTCATTGCAGACAATGATAGACATCCAGGACTTTCCAAAATTCAAGGTTCAGAGAAGCTAAAGCAAAACACATTGATGTGCAGAATATGGGCTCCCACGCAGAATTTCCTTTCCTTAGAAAATAAATTTGGTTTATTTAAGACACGGTTTCTCGATTAAAATCAGTTCAATATATTTCTCATATCTGAGTAATGTACTTTTAAAGGACTGAACTGCAAACAAAGTATTTGTGGCTAAGGGTGAAAAATAATAAAATTTATTAACTAAAATGTGCAGCTGAGTTTATAAAAGCATAAAGATCGTGGATATGGAATTTGTGGGGCAGCAGAAAGTTTCCAGCTGGGTCCCATCTGGAACTGTCCAGCCATAATAGAAACTCCCTACTCAAGACGCAGTATATTCAGACCTATGAGTTGCTGGGGGCAATGGCTGGAAAGGACCATTCTGCCCCTGCCTGCTTCTAGGTTTCCCATCAACATGGTCAGTCACCCAGGTAAGCAGAATGCTGGACGAGGTGGGCCTTTGGTCTGATTCAGAAGGGCTCTTTTCCAATTTACGCCCGCAGAGTTTGTCCCCCTAACCACCACCCACAGTCTTCTTGCTCCTTTCCTTGCTCACCCGGGTTTTTATCTCACTCTGTTCCAGTGGCTGGATTGCAGCTCTCTCGGAGACTGGGCATAACTTGGCAGTGGCAATCATCATGCTGGTGGTGGCTGTGTTCTTCACCGTCTGTTCCGTTCTCTCTCTCTTCCTCTTGAAGCAGGTGAGTTGGGGACCAGACGGAAATGCTGCTCGCTGAGTCCAGGGCTGCAGCCCTTGCCATGCTGCTTTACAGAAGGGAACCAAGAGCAGGAGTTTTGTCCTCGCTCATGCATCCTGTCTCTCCTCAGTGTCTTCAGTGCCTACTGCTGATGGGGCTGATCAGCAGCTTCTGCGGTGGATCAGTAACATATTATAACCTGACATTTGAGAATTGCTATTTAGAACCTCAGAGATTGCCTCAACACCTTGAACTTGGTCTGGAGACAAATTGGTGGCCTGTGCAGATGTTTCAAAGTATATGCTATGGGAAAGAGTGAATGTTGGACAACTAAGCCTTCCCTGACCCTGGCGCTCTCCAGATGTTGTTAGATTCCAACCCTCATCAGCCCTAGCCAGCATAGCCAGTGGTTGGGGGGTGGGAACTGTAGGGCTGTCAGTTCACCCCCTTCAGTGTCACCAGGAGGAGTGCTGCCTGGACCCTGTGGTGAGGAAAATGTGCCGCACTCAACACTGATATTGCTGGACCACAGCTGCCACATCCCTGACCATGGGCCATGCTGGCTGGGGCTGGTGGGATTTGGAGGACCACAGGTTCCCTGTCCCTGCCCTAAACGAATTCCAGTTGCTCTGCCAAGGCATCTATTTAATTCAGGCTTGGAGACCCGCAGCCTAGAATACCTTCCATGTAAATGTTGTGTGACACCCTGCAAAAGAGTCAGTTCGAAACATTCTGGAAACACATCTGACGCAGAAGAGCTGCTGTGAGGTGCGATTTGGGTGTTGGATCAGGAAACCCAGATTTAAATCCCTGCTCATTCACAAAGCTGACTAGAGGACCTTGGGCCTCACCAACTTCCCCATGGGTGGTTCTAAGTATAAAGGGCTGGGGGTGACTCTGTATGCTGTGAGCTATTTTGAGGAAAGGCGGGGATAACCTCCCCCCAAGTTTAGTGTAAGCTCTCTTGGGAGAGTTCCACCTCAAATTGGGGGTGGCATATTCAAATGTTTTCCCAAGGAAAACAGTGGCCTGCGTAAGGAAAACTAGCATCCTGAGAAGTAGATCATTTTCTCACCTGGTCACCTCACTGAAATGCTAGTTTCTTACATGCTTTGCTTTTTGATTTGATTCAGGCATGATCCTTCACCTGCCTTTTGTGTGTGTACGTACACACACACACACACACACACACACACACACAGCCCCTTTGGTGTTCCAAATAGGTAACAAGATATCCAAGGACTGTGGCTCTCGCTGCTCCTGGCCTTTGGTCTCTGGGTGGCAGATGGGAGGTGCGGCAAGTAGTGCTCCACACCGGCTGCAGAAGCAGGGAAGTGGCCCTGCTGACGCCTTGTCTCTTCTGCTCCTCAGGTCCACTCTCAGTATCGCCGGACGGGCGCCAGCTTCCAGAGGGCCCAGGAGGAGTTCTCGCAAGGCATCCTCACCAACCGGACCGTCCAGAATGCTGCTGCCGGGGCCGCCTCAACTGCTGCCCAGAGCGCTTTCCGGGGGAACTGAAGTCCCCCAGACAGGGCCAGCGTCTTGCTCTCTTCCACACTTGCTCTCACCACTCCCTGGTCTTCCACAGTTCAGGAGGCTCTCTCCATGGGTACCAGTCTTGGCACCAAGATACTTGCTGGAAGAGGCGTATCTTGAGCTTTGTCCTGCCTGCATCTGTGTCTCTTCGGTGGGAAGGGCCAGGGCAGTGTATGGTGTTCTCTTCCCCAACCCCAATCTCATAAATCAAATATATTTCCCCATTTAGACCTGGGTGTGTACATTTCCTTCACTCCTTCCTTCTATTGCAGGGGTTTGGGGGAAGCCAGATTTGCACTTTTCAATTTCTCTTCCACTAGACCCCGCCATGAGGAATGGACTTTTTCCTTCCTAACATCAGCCCTTGGGGTGCTATCAGAAGTCGCTGCACTTCTTGCTTTTTGGTTTTAATTAGTTGCTGATCTTTCACCGCCATGGTAAGGGATGTTTGGGGCAAGTTTTGGTGTACGCGTCTACTCTGTGATCCAAGGGAGTGCAAGTGGAGGAACAACCTGCCTTCTTGGTTAATTCTGCCCTGCTGCCCCGTTAAAGGTAACTTGACTGGTAGAGCATAAAATCCCTTCAGCCCCACCCTCGGCAAAAGGTGGCTTCCTGTGGATTCTTGTGGGCGCATCCTTCACCCTAGCCTTAATTTTTTGTGTGTTGGGGCCACCCTGGAGGTTCCTTGCTTGCAACACTGGTTTTTGGATCCAGGGATGGAGTCTGAGTCATCAAATCAGCTTTGAGGGGAAGGGGCAATCTTCTCTCAGCAGTTTTTTCACTATTTGTTGTGATCCTGTCCTGATCTCAGTTGATATCCCAACTTCTGCCCCAAGGTGTTCTCCTCTTCTCCAGCCAGCCGCTCTCTCAGCACTCCAGGGAATGAGGAACTCCAGGAGGCAAACGAGAGTTGTCAAGAGAAAGGGCAAGATTAGCCGAAGAGCCTGTTTGCCTAAGGGGGGGCTTAACATAACCATTGCCTGGCTGGATGTGTGACATGGCTCCTAGTTGTGATCCATTCAAAGAGCCTTCATTGGCTGTGATTTTGGTATAGCAAATGAATGGCTATTTTCACCATACTTCCATGTTTTTCTACCCCAGGGGAAGAACCCCATTATCCTGAGAAGCTTCTCTCTTTCTCTCCCTCTCCCTCTCCCTCTCTCTCTCTCTCTCTCACACACACACACACACACTAAGGGAATCCCTAGTTTTTGTTTGCTTGTCTCCTTGAGCACAAGCTGTGAAGAATACTCATTCCCTTAAGCTTCACTTGAGTGAATTGGAACTGCAGGTTATGCCTTGGAGTCTGTTTGAATGGGTGGTGCAAACTGTGAACCTCGTAACTCCCATGGACTGAAAGGGGCAGGATTGCGAGGGGGGGCGGTAATTTGACCAGGGGCAGAGAAAGGAGCACGTGTGAGACCCAGGAACTGAACTTGGGCTTCAGAAATGCCTTGAGATATGCTGGGTGTGTAACTGGAAGCACTATTTTAGCCTGTGTGAACAAAGGGGTGCAGAAGCAAGAACCAGCCACACCTACCACCACCTAAACTGCATGCTTGCTTGCTTTGACTCTTGTCTCCAAGAGGTGTGCTTTGTCTTGGGGAGATGTAGATGACCAGGAATAGTGCTCTTAAGTCACTAAAAGATCTGTCACTCATGGCTGTTTCTCTTAACACTTTGGCTTAGCTGATCTGAAATGCATATGGGGCTCCATGAGCTGAGCTGCCTGCAGGCTGCTTTCAGTGGAAGCACAAGGGAATGTTCAGAGGAGTAAGACACTGGAAGTCTTGCTGACGGTTTTTCTTTGCTTTTGCTTGTTTTCACGATCTCAGTGTCTTTTCCGAAATAGTTCCTTTGATTGTTTCCAAACCTCTCTCCTGGAGGGTTAACACAGCCCATCACATCCCAGAAAAGTATCTGCTGATGTCTGTTTTCTTCCCTTTCCCTCCCCACCTCCCCCTTTTGAGTAAAAGTAATGATGGCAGAAATGAGATTTTTAAAATGTCTTCCCTTCCTGGGTGTATTTTCCAGCGCTCTGATCTTTTTCATGTAAAAATGTATATGTCGAAACTTTTTGTGCTCAGATACAAAAATAAAAATGTCAAGACTGTGTTAGTACATGCTTGTGAATCAGACTGCTTTTGAAGATCCATGTGTCTGCCATTTAAGCCAAAGGGTCGGCAGCCAGTGGGTATCCAGATGTTGGACCCCAGTCAAGCCCATTTTATTGCTTTCTCTCTTTTAGGGGCAAGGGCCACAGGTTGCACATGTCTGCTGTAGGGGCTGACACTTGTCTGATTAAACAATATGGGACTAGACATGACCTCAAGTTATGTTTAACGCAAGTCTAGCCAAGGAGCCTTTCAACATCTGGAAGAGACCAGAGCTCCCATCAGCCCCAGTCAGCCTGGCGCACTGGTCAGGGGTAGGGAGAGGACCCTGGTTGAACACTTCAGCTGACCAGCAGTTTCATGCATTGCTCAACAGCAGCTGGGCACCCTGAGAGCAAGTGAGAATACAGGGAATAGCCATAGCTCAGCCCCAGCAGTGGGTAGATGCTCCAGGGACTGGATGTGGCCCAAACAACGCGATAGATAGAAGAGGATTTTTTATTTTTAATGAAATATTCACTGTAACACAAGTTACGCAACTGAGCCTTTTGCAGAGAGCGAGAGTTGGGTGTCCCCAAAGGGGGATTGGTGGTGCTGCGTTAAGTATTGCTTTCCAAATCAAATTTTTGTTTTGTGATTATTGTAAGTTGTCTGGAAATGCACATGCAGAGCTAATGCACTGTTAATATTGGGGAATTTCAAAGGACGAAGCAGGTTTTGGCCAATGCAATTTTATTGCAACAACTATGGCAAACCCAGCATTCTGCTTGTTCTTAAGACAACTTCTAGAAGCCCAGCACTTTTCAACATTTTATTTAAAAACGTGTAGAATACAGTTGCCCACAGGAACATGCTAAAAAACACCGATCAAGAGCCACTCTTAAAATTAAAAGTTTAGTACCAAAGAACCGATCACAGCAGAGGACGGGAGCCTGAAGCCGCGTCGAGATCGAGGGCCACGGACTTTCTTGCCATCATTCGCAGGGCTGAGCTTGCGTCCAATCCTCTTCCATTTTTTTACTAAAGGGGCGCGCTTTCCAAAAGGGGAGTTCAGCATTTCGGAGCGAGGCTTATTCGGGCCAGAGCTGCTCAGCTTCTGCTGACGCTTCTATCCTCCGTCGACCAGATGCGAATCGGGGGCCGATCCAGGTCTCGCTTCTCCTCTTCCCCGCCCCGCTTTGCAGACGCGCGACCGCGGAGGCGGAGTTCCCACGAGCGCCGCCCCGCCTCGCCTCTCCCGCGGGTTGCCGCGAGGGGGCGCCCGAAGGTGCGCTTCTGCCGGCGCTGCTCCGCCTCCCGCGCCGCCGTTCCGGGAAGCCCGGCGCCCCCGCGGGGTCCCAGAGAGGGCCGGGTTCCGCTCGCCAGCCTCCGGGGGCCGCATGGGGTGGTCGCCGGGATGGCCGGCTGGGCGCCGCCGCAGCTGGAGGACTTCATCCTGACCGAGAGGCTGGGCAGCGGCACCTACGCCACTGTCTTCAAAGCCTACAGGAAGGTAGGGAGGGGAAGGGCCCCGGTTGGGGGGCGCAAATGCACCAGGCGCAGGGAATCCGCCCCCCTGACCCAGAGGCCGCGGCGCGGAGCCTCCACGCCCGGGAGCAGCCTACCTGGGAGCAGCCGCGGCAGGGAGAGGACTTTCCCGGAAGCAGTTTGGCTGTCCGCTGTCGGAGGCAGGACGCAGGGGGGTCGATATTGGGCGTAGCACTAAAAGGAGACACCCGGAGTCAGGGGTCGGGAGAACCTCTGGCGCGCAGGATGTTGCTGAACTTCGGCTCCCAGCGTCCCTGGCCCTTGGCCGTGCTTGCTGGGGCTGATGGGAGTTGGAGTCCAACAGCAGCAGGAGGGCCGAAGCGTCCCCCATCGCTGCCCTGCATGGTTTGGGTCCCAGGTGTAACTTGACTGGTAGAGCATAAAATCCCTTCAGCAAAAGGTGGATTCTTGTGGGCGCATCCTTCACCCTAGCCTTAATTTTTTGGGTGTTGGGGACTGTTCACCCACTCCATGGCCATCCTGGAGGTTCCTTGCTTGCAACACTGGTTATTGGATCCAGGGATGGAGTCTGAGTCATCAAATCAGCTTTGCGGGGAAGGGGCAATCATCTCAGCAGTCTTTTAAGTATTTGCTGTGATCCTGTCCTGATCTCAGTTGATATCCCAATTTCTGCCCCAAGATATTCTCCTCTTCTCCAGCCTGTCGCGCTCTCAGCACTCAGATATGGCCCTTCAGGCTTAAGGGCTTCCTCCAGCCCCCAGCCCTCAGTGACCCTCCTTAGCCCTCTCCTTAAATGTTTTCACCTGCCTGGAGTGAGCGTCCTTGTACCTCTTGCTCCCTTGGGTGGAGGGTGAAGATCAAGGGAATGTAGAAACTGCCCTGTCACACAAACCTGTGTTTGTTGCCCTGCCTGCTTTGGCCTCTGGCCTTGCCCATTAGTGGCCCGTGGCCTCCAGAAGCCTCTTCAGAAGGGAAGGCGGTCCCTGATGTGGAAAAGACATCCCCTCTCCTGATCTGAAGGAATGCCCATCTCCATATCAACTTCCCTGGACCTCGCAAGACCTTCCCTGAGATTTCCACCGTCAGGTGCTTGTGTTGCTGACGTTCGTTTGCGTGGTGTTGCGTGTTCTTTTCCTGGCTAGAAGGACGTCCGGGAGGTTGTGGCCATCAAGTGCGTCAGCAAGAAGAGCTTGAACAAGGCGTCTGTGGAGAACCTCTTGACAGAAATCGAGATCCTCAAGACCATCCGCCATCCGCACATTGTGGAGCTGAAGGACTTTCAGGTGGGGAGGGGAGACTGGGCTGGGCTGGGGTGTCAGCCAGGAAGACTCTGGAGCCTCCAGCTGGAAAACTGGGGAGCTTTTATTCCTCGGATGTGTGACTCATCCGATAAGGTGGGGAACCTTTGGTGCTCTGGATGTTGTTGAAATTTGTGTACCACCATATCATACAGAAAACAATACCAAAGCAGTTTACAATAATCTCACTATATAAGAAAAACACATTAAAAATATGAAATCAGAGACTGTCAACTAACTATTATGGAAAGATGTATTCTGTATTTCATGCATGAGCCTGGCAGAATAGCAAAGATTTCAGCAAGCGCTTAAAGGCTGAAATGGAAGGCAGTCCTTAGCTTGGTTTAACAACCGACCTCTGGGAATTGTAGCTCCAAGAGAGAAATAGGGGTCTCCTAACAACGGGGTGTGGGTGGTGCTGTGATCTAAACCACTGAGCCTAGGGCTTGCCGATCAGAAGGTCGGCAGTTTGAATCCCTGCGATGGGGTGAGCTCCCGTTCATCAGTCCCTGCTCCTGCCAACCTAGCAGTTCGAAAGCACATCAAAGTGCAAGTAGATTAATAGGTACCACTCCGGCGGGAAGGTAAACGGTGTTTTCGTGTGCTGCTCTGGTTCGCCAGAAGCGGCTTAGTCATGCTGGCCACATGACCGTACACCGGCTCCCTCGGCCAATAAAGCGAGATGAGTGCCGCAACCCCAGAGTTAGCCACGACTGGACCTAATGGTCAAGGGTCCCTTTACCTTTACCTTTACCTAGCGCCCCTTAAACTACAGTTCCCAGGATTGCAGGGGGGGGGGAGAGGGAAACCGTGACTGTTTAAAATGGTAGGATATTGCTTCAAATGCCACCTCCAAAAGTCAATTCCAATTATGATCCTCACACCTGGAAAATAAAAATGCCTCTGCCCTTTGTTTGCATGTGTCTACTATGGGGGTAAACTGAATGTCTCCTGGTGGGGGAGTTCCATGAGCCACAAGAATGCTTGCTTTGTGTCGCCTCCTTCCTGAGGATTGCAGTAGATGAGACACGTAGCAAGGGTGATAGATGCTCTGAACAATTAAAGCCATTTATGTATTAATACTGATTTGAGGCACCCACTTTGCTGACTCTTGAGATTGACAGTGCAGTTCTATTTGTGCTTACTCAAAAGTAAATTCCGGAGTTTTCAATAGGGCATATTCCCAGGTTGCTGTGCATAGGATTGCACTTAATGGCATCACCCAGCTGCTTCCACATTTGTGTTGCATTCATAAGGACTAGGAACTTGCAGACAGAGGAATGAACTTGATGGAGATAGGACAGGGTTTGTCTTTCTAGAAGCCTGATAGCGCCTGTCTGCCTTTTAGTGGAACAAGGACTACATCTACCTGATCATGGAATTTTGTGCTGGGGGTGACCTGTCTCGCTTTATCCACGCACGGAGGATCCTGCCGGAGAAGGTGGCTCGCATTTTCCTACAGCAACTGGGTAAGGAATTAAAGGGGAAAGGAAAAGAAGGGGGGGGGAGATCATAGGTAGAGCATCCCGTTTGTGCGCAGGAAGTCCCAGGGTTAATTCCTGGCATCTCCACTTTCAAAAATCTCAGCCATGGGGTTTGGATTCAAACTGTGCTCACAAACAGACCTATTTCGTCTGCAGAACGGCAAAACCATTTGCAAAGAGAAAACATCTATTTGTGGGTGCAGCTCAAACTGTGCCTGCAAACTTTATTTGGTTGGAGAACCATGTTGCAAAATGCAAAGAAGCAGGGATTTTCAAAGGACCGCCGTTTCCCTTTACATCTTGGCTCGAGATGTGTGAAAGGAGGGAGTTGCATTTTCTCCCCTATCTCTGTGCCAGAGAAAGGAAAGGAAATCTTGGAGACAGAAGAGTCTGTTTTTTTGGGGAGGAGACTGCTGGCTGGAGAGGGATGCCCTGCCACCTGCAACACCACTGCTCTCTCCTGTTTGTCCCAACAGCCTGTGCCTTAAAGTTCCTCCACGACAAGAATATTTCCCACTTGGATCTGAAGCCTCAGAACATTCTGCTGAGCTCCTTGGATAAGCCTCACCTCAAACTGGCAGGTTGGTGTGGGGCGGGGCGGGGCAGGGCTTGCCCCCCAGGCTCAGGGGGGCTTCTTTTGGGCTTTCAGGCCAGCGGGCTTAGGTGCTCCTCGCTCCCCACATTATTTTTTTCGTTCATGTGCCAATCTTTTATTTCAACCAGTCAATCCCAAAGGCTAGTATTATAGCCACACAGAGAGTCAGAGGTTCCCCGTGCCTTCTTTAGCCATTTCGGTACACCTTTTGGAGATATTTTTAATGTATAGAAATAGTTGGGATAAATCATAATAGATACAGTGGTACCTTGGGTTAAGAACTTAATTCGTTCCGGAGGTCCGTTCTTAACCTGAAACTGTTCTTAACCTGAAGTACCACTTTAGCTAATGGGGCCTCCTGCTGCTGCCACACCGCTGCTGCACGATTTCTGTTCTCATCCTGAAACAAAGTTCTTAACCCAAGGTACTATTTCTGGGTTAACGGAGTCTGTAACCTGAAGCGTATGTAACCCGAGGTACCACTGTAATGATAAAAAATTAAAAATACCAAATGCAACAAAGTAGAAAGCTATAGCAATACAGTCGCTGATAACTGTAACGTACAATAGGCTTGAGTAGGGCTAGCTTTCCTCACTCTGCAGCCAGCAGAAAATCCTAGGGAGATCTACTTTCTTTCACCAGCCTGTTCAATCCCCAGTGTGGGATTTCTTTTTTTTTTTTTTAATAATATTTATTAAAGTTTCAAAAGAAGAAAAATCACATTAATAAAAAAATTAACAATAAAAAGGAAAAATACAAAGTAGAATAAGAAAAAAAAAATTAAAAACAATTCCATCTTTCCTTCACTTCTTTTACGTTTACTTGTTTCCCGGACCTCCTCATACCTCCCTCTTTTGTATTCCAATTCAATTTGTTAATCCAGCAATTCCTTTCCCTCCTTTTTAATCCTAATCTTTAATCTTGATATATTATAACATTAAATTTTTACATATTAAAAACCAATTTTACCATATTCTTTTGTACCTATACCGCTAGAAACCACTTAATTTCAATCCAACATCATTCTAACATTCATTAATTTTGCAATATTTCTGTAAATAGTCTTTAAATTTCTTCCAATCTTGTTCCACCCCCAGTGTGGGATTTCTGGTTGCCTATGGATACCAGGCCAGTTGATAAATGCAAGGTTACTATGTCATGCCCGATGACAGTTTTTCTGGGTCACCTTCCCCCTACCCCCCCCCCATGCCAGATTTCGGATTTGCCCAGCACATGTCCCCAAGAGATGAGAAGCACGTGCTGCGGGGCTCTCCCCTTTACATGGCCCCCGAGATGGTGTGCAGCCGGCAATATGACGCCCGCGTGGATTTGTGGTCCGTGGGGGTGATTCTCTACGGTAAGTCCACCCTTCGGTTTTGAGGGGAGGTTGGGGCTCCGTCTTGACTTCCCAGGCGCTGGCTAAGCTCCATGCTGGAGCTGAGAGGCTGCGCAAAATGAATTGGGAGGACTGAATAATAGAAACACAGAATTATGGAGCTGGAAGGGACCCCGAGGGTCATCTAGCCCAACCCTCTGTAGTGCAGGAATCACAGAATCCCTGACAGGTGGCCATCTAACCTCTGCTTTAAAACCTCTAACGGAGATTGAAATACCTATTCTAAAAAACCCACACATTGCATATTCTTATGTTCTGGATAAGGTGTAATGGGAATAAAATGGCAGAAAGTGCTGCGTGTAGCTGTGATCTCCAATGGGCTGGAATTTCAATTGCTCTTTTGAAGTCCAAAGTATACAAAGCCCTGCCTGTATCAGGGTTCTCTATTCCCCCTTTGCCAGCATTGAGGGCTAGAAACTTAGCTCATTTTTAAAAGAGAGAGAAGCAAGCGTCTAGTTCTGCCTGCAGTTGCTCTTGCCTAATCTTACATCCGCCTCCCTGCCCAGTTTCTGACTAATAATAATAATAAAAAAACTTTTTTATTTATATCCCAGCCGAAGCTGGGCTCAGGGCGGCTAACAACAATAAAATAATACAACATTCTAAAATCATTTCATTAAAATTAATTCAACTCAAATTGATGGCAACCATTAGACTAAAGTTCTGTAAAGATTGCCAAAGGAGGGAGTCAGGCTGTGCCCTGACCAAAGGCCAGCTGGAACAGATCTGTCTTGCAGGCCCTGCGGAAAGATGTCAAGTCCCGCAGGGCCCTAGTCTCTTGGGACAGAGCATTCCACCAGATTGGAGCCACAGCCGAAAAAGCCCTGGCTCTGGTTGAGGCCAGCCTAACCTCTCTGTGGCCTGGGACCTTCAGGATGTTTTTTTTTGAAGACCGTAAGTTCCTCTCTGGGACATACCAGGAGAGGCAGTCCCATAGGTACGAGGGTCCTAGGCCGTATAGGGCTTTAAAGGTTAAAACCAGCACCTTAAACCTGATCCTGTACCCCTGTGCCCCTTCCTGCCTTCACTGGCCCCAAACGCTTCCATTTTTGTGGATGCTGGTGTCAGTAACTATAAAGCTGACTCTGGTATCCGTGGCTACTCGCCACAATGGCCTTTTCCCCTCTCCTCCATCGGAGGCTGTCTTGGGTTCTTGTGACAGTTGAGTGCTGCTGAGCATTGGGGCTGCTGGGTGGTGGTGATTCAGCCTAGCATGCGACACACATGTGGCTCCCTGTCTTATTTGGGGATGGGGGCTTATTTCCCTTCTCAGAGGCTGTGTTTGGCCGGCCACCTTTTGCCTCCAAGTCCTTCACTGAGCTGGAGGAGAAGATCCGCAGCAACCAACCCATCGAGGTAACCTCGTGGCTCCTGGGGGTGTTGGTATTTGTGCACTCCTGGGGAGGGACTGAAAGGAGGTTGCTTTCCCTGCCCTGCCATCCTGACCCCAACTCCACCACCACCTGCCACCAGCTATTTAAAGATTCCCATCACAGTTCTTCCAACGTCCTGCCAAGATCGGTCCAACTTGACACACCTGTGGGGTTCAGTTTGCAGGCAGAGATTAATGTAACTTGGTCTGATCATCTCAAAAACGTCATTCAGCGGCTTGGCCTGGTTCAATCCAGACCCGGGGGAGGGGGGGGGACTGCTGTCAGGTAGAGTGTGAGGGATTCTGCCTCCCCCTGCCCCTAATTGGTCCTCAAACTTCTTGGGACTACTCCCTCCCCCCCTTGGTTCCACAGACTCACCCCCAGTGCCCTCGACCCCACCCTATAAAAAGCAGTATTCAGAATAGCCGTTTGCATGACCCACTAAGGAACGCAATAATACAAGAAAATTCAAAACAGCAATCGCTAATTGCACATATATCTAAAATCCAATTAAAATAGTTTAGTTTAATTAATTCAACAAATCTGGCAGTCATTTACACCTCCAGGGTCCCCCTAGGGAATCCCACTGCCTGGATTAGACTGTAAGCTCCTTGGGGCAAGCACCTTCCTTTTCTCCTTTTGAAAATACATGTTATTCTCTAGAGAGCCTCGCGGCTATGAAAGTACCACCGTGTGCCAGTGGGCCCACAATCCTTTGCGTGGCACTCCTGCGTCCATGAAGGGATTGCTTCCCCCGTCCCGTTTCCAGCTCAGCGCTGCTGGTGCCCCGAGGTGAGGTGAGGTTGGGAGCTTCTCTACCTGTGTCTCAGCCTTCTGCCTTGCCCCCCACAGCTCCCCAGCCGCCCCCGCCTCTCGCTGGAGTGCCGGGACCTCCTCCAGCGCCTGCTGAAGAGGGACCCCCAGCAGCGCCTCTCTTTCCAGGAGTTCTTTGCCCACCCCTTTGTGGACATGGAGCACATGCCCGGCTTGGAGAGCCTGGGCAAAGCGGTAAGAGGGCTAGAGAGAGCCTGCGGGGGGGGGGGATTTGCAGGATGTGGGTCTGGGTTACCAGTTGGGCACTGGAGCTGGTGAGGTGGGGGGCTGCCCTCTCCTCTGTAGGCATGAGGGCAGCCATCTGGCGACATAGAGGGGAACCATCTTCTGAATGTGGGCATAGAAATGGGTCCATTTCCCCATCAGCCCAAACATTACTCCCTGTCTCTCTTTGGGGGCAAGATCTTGTTGAGAATGCTGATTCACAGAGGCAAGAGTTCCTGAACACAGAGGGACGCGCCTGTGCAATTCCCTCCTCCAGACACTTAACACAGAGGAAGGGGGCCCGAGGGCCACATTGCCTTCTGGGCAGCTTTCCAGGGGCCGCATGCTGGCAGTAGGCAGCAGGTGGGACCCTCGGCTTTGGCTCACACCTGAATTCACCTGTTATTTTACATACCTCTCTATCCAGGCAAGCAAGAGGCGTCAGCTCCAAGTCCAAGGACGCTTTCCAGCCAAGCAGAAGCATGGGGAGAGTGTGGGGCAGGACCAGGGAGTGGGGTGGCCTGGAGAGGGCCCTGAGAGCCTGATGGAGAGGCTTGGAGGGCCACATGTGGCCCCCAGGCCTAAGGTTGTCCATCCTCCGCTTGGCCCAAGCTGAGCCTGCGCTTGGTCATTGAACCAATTCCCCTCTTCCATTCCTCCTCTCCCGCTTTTCTCCATCCTGTGCCTCTTCCCTTTGCAGTCGTCTCTCGTGACGGAAGCGATAAAGAAGGACCAGGAAGGCGACGCTGCCGCCGCCCTCTCTCTCTACAGCAGGGCCCTGGAGTACTTCGTCCCCGCCTTGCGCTGTGAGTGGCCCAGAGGCTTTTATTGTTCCCCTCTTTGCGAACCTGCCTTGCCCCACAAGTGCCGCTCGGCTGCTTAGATTGGCAGAAGCAGCTTTGTTACAGGGGCCACAAAATTTCCATTCCGTATTTGTAATAAATTGAACTTTTTATGGTGGCAACTCCTACACTTTGGAACTCCCTGCCTGTTGACGTCAGGCAGGCACCTTCAGTCTACTCTTTTTGGCACCTGCTAAAAACATTCTTGTTTAGACAAGGCTGCCCAGATGCTTAGAAAGGTGGTGCAAGTAAATCTGGGTTTAGTTTATTGTTGATTTTAATTTTTTGAAAGTTTTAAATTATTGTTGTTAAATCTTCTTATTGGTCATTTTATCACCCTTTTTGTAAACTCCTTTGAGTTTGATTTTTATTTTTATTTACAATCAAGTGGTACAGTGGTACCTCTGGTTACATACTTAATTCGTTCTTAACCTGAAACTGTTCTTAACCTGAAGCACCACTTTAGCTAATGGGGCCTCCTGCTGCTGCCGCGCTGCCATCGCACAATTTCTGTTCTCATCCTGAAGCAAAGTTCTTAACCCGAGGTACTATTTCTGGGTTAGTGGAGACTGTAACCTGAAGCATATGTAACCCGAGGTACCACTGTATATACATTTTATGAAATAAATTAAATGAGAACAGCATATCTGTTTTCATATCCGGAGCTGCCTGCGTCGCCTGTCCCAAAGTCCACTTCTAAGAGGGGCATCTCTTGCCCACGGCAGGTTGCATTCCTGGCCCTGCCTTGCTCTTCTTCTGTCTTTGGTAAGCAAGCAGGACGAATCACAGACCTCCATCCGTCTTAATCCCGTTAGGACCTAAAATGAATTGATTTCAAAGGGGAAGAAGGGGGAAGACAGGTGTGGTCTTATGCCCCATCCTTGACCATATCCATGGGGCAGGACCCATGACAGGGGATCGTGGCTCAATTGGCAGTGGGTCCATCACCTGGTGAGACTGAAGACAGCTGCCCCACTGTGCAAGGGCTTCGTGGATCGCAGGGGAGATGGGCACATGCCCAAAGGGGAAGGGGCTGGGCCAGCTGGCTCGCCAGAAGTGGGCTGTCCCCAGGAATTCCCTGTAGGAGTGCACATGTCCAGAGTGTTGAGGCGCTCCCAAAGCAAAGGAAGGATTAGACTCTGATAATGAAAATACACACAGAGGCTTGAACCAGCAAGACTCTGGGAGGAGTGCGTATAATAAGAATTCCTGCCCACCCTCCGGCCCAGGTCGTTTTATTCACAAAAGAACTTTTTTACACAGTGTTCGTAAGAACCAATCAGATTTCCTCTGAGCATTTCAAAAAACCCCACGTGGGACAAAGTTAGATCAGAAGAAATTCTTTTAACTACAAAGAAACTATTTCCTACTTGAGCATGCATATGTAGTTCAGAGTAAATAAAATAGGAAGCGAAGAGGAATGCTTTTAGGAAGGTCATAAACAGGAGTAAACAGTATTTACCATCTCCTTGTGAACTCTTCCTGGTCCTAAGATTAACAAAACTAACAATAGCTACATCAAAGAAACTGCCTACTATCTTTTATGGCTCAGGATGCCTGATGAAGCAACTGGAACTGGGCTGTGTACGTGACTTGTCAAGCAGAGAGAAATGGACAGTAGAGGAAATGGCCAGAGATGCAGAGGGTTGTGGGATTTGATCAGAAATTACTGTCAATGAATCGAACCCAGTCGACGCCAAGCTTTCATAGCAGACACAATGGCTTGATGCATATTTTATAATTCCTCATAGTAATCCCATCTGATCCCCACACTCTGGACATGTATACTCCTACAGTTCCCCTCCCCAGGATCTTTGCAAGGCCTCTGAAACATGGGGGAGTCTCTCCATCTCTGAGTCTGGGAGGAGGGACTCTGCTCTGAGCAGGAGGGGCTTCTGCTTGCTTTGCCTACTCCAACCCCCTTCAGACACGGAGGCTGGTTGATGTCCGTCCGTCTCCCTGATGCAGCTCAGAGCTGACGATGGGAAACAGGGAGTTGTACTGGGACAGTTTCCCATTTTCTTCGCTCACTCCATGGACTTTCCCCTTCTCCCTAACCTGCCTCTGTCTTGCCACCCTCAGACGAAGTCGATGTCCGCAGGAAGGAGGCGATCCGATCCAAGGTCAGTCCTCCTTTTCAACCAGTGGGAAAGCTGTGAATTGGGGCACCTTTGGGCCGAACTGTAAATATTGGGTGGGTGCATGAGGTCATGGTCAGGGTTCAGCCAATGAGGGAGCAGAGCAGTGGCGGCTGGTGCTCATTGGGCAGAAGGCTGGGCGGTCAACGGTAGGCGGAGCCCATGACAGGCGGAGATTTGTTCTCGTTTTGACAGACTTAGCCCAAGGGCTGCTCAGAAGAGCCGGAATTCAGTCTGATGCCTTGGAATCCATGTCAAGCCCAGGCTTGCAGGCCTTCCTGAGATGTCACACCAACAGAACATAAGCAGAGCCCTTATGCTGGATCCGGCCAGTGGTCCATCTAGTCCAGCATCCTCTTCTTGCAGTGGCCTGCCAGAAGCCCCCAAGCTGGACCTGAGCCCAGCAGCACCTCTCCCTGCTTGTGGCTCCAGCAACTGGCCCCCAGGAACAAGCTGCCTTGGGCAGTGAAGGTAGAAGATAACCTTCATGGCTGGGAGCCGCAGGGCTGGTGCCACAAACAAGAAGGCCCTGGCAATGCCTGCTTTTCTCTTGTACCACTGAGAATGAAATTTCGTGACTGTGTCGTGTTGTTTCCTTGTGCTTAGGTGAGCGAATACATTTCCCGAGCAGAGCAGCTCAAAGCACTGGTTGCTTCCAACAACAAGGCCCTCCTTCAGCAGGGCTGCCCTGCCAGGGACATCTTGAAAGGTAATTTCCAGAGCAGAGAGCCGAGTGGGGCACAGGGGGCGGGGGGCAGGGGTCTTGTTTTTGAGAACAGCAGCCAAGAGCACTCTGCACTTTTTAACATGTTTTTGTTAGGAAATAGGAGTCAAACCAAAAGGCCCGATAGCTCCTTCACTTCAGGAATATATGAAAAAATATGGTTCTGGAACTGGAATATTAATAGATACCGTATTTTTTGCACCATAACACTCACTTTTTTCCTCCTAGAAAGTAAGGGGAAATGTTTGTGCGTGTTATGGAGGAAATGCCTACAGGTGGCATGCCTACGGATTTTCCTCCTCTAAAAACTACATGCGTGTTATGGTCGGGTGCGTGTTATAGAGCGAAAAATACGGTAACGTGTAAAACGTGCAGGGGTAAGCAAGGAAATAATAAAAGAATCAGCTGAACAATGATTATATTATAACAACACGACAAGACGGAAGAAGAAGAAAAAAGAGATCACACATGGGTGAAGGGGAACAGGGGGTATAGGGGAATTTGAAATTTATAATATAAAAGCTTTAATATAAAATTTCTAACTGCGTTGTATTTGTTTACAGCAAAGAGAAGTTTAGAGTAATTAGCTATATTTTAATTTAGTTAATTATGTAATAGGTTTATGTTAGAAAATGAATATGGATGTTGATTTTGATGTTTGTAATTTTTCTTTTTTGGAAATAAAAAATAAACGTAAAAAAAAAAAAGGCCTGATGGCTCATTGGCAAGTCAGTGCCTGACATCCTGGAGAGTCATTGCTGCTAGGCAGTTTAGATAATACTGAACTGGATGGAGCAATGGTCAGACTCAGCATAAGGCAGCTTCCTGGTTCCTAAAATGTCGCGCTGCTGAGTGTTCCTGTTCCCGATCCTCAGCCTTGTACTCCAGTCTGTTCTTCCTGCAGCCAAGTTTTCACTCCTCCACCCCAAGTCAATATTTTGTGTCCGCTGAACGTATTCGGTCCCCGCTGGGCTGTTAATGGGGTTTCCTTTTCCCAAAGGTTTATTTTATATATTCCTGCAGGAATCTGAGGATTCGCATCAGCCTGCTGGTTCTCCCTCCTTGGCACAGCTGCTGTTGTTTCAGCTGATAAGAACTGGCAGTGAAAAAATTGAGGTCGCTATCGGTAGATATCAGGTGCAGGGAATATTTGACCCTGCAAATGTTGCTGAGCTGCAACTCCCGTGAGCTGCAGCCAGGCCCAGCCACGGCCAGGGATAATTAGAGTTGTAGCTCAACAACATCTGGAAGGCCAAAGGTTCCCTCACCTGGTAAATGTGACGATAATGCCCCACGTGTGCATCACATGTAAAAGAAGAAGAAGAGCAAAGTCCCTTCCCCCTGTAGTGCTTGCAGTTTAAAATTTGGCATGGGGAAGAGAACCAAAGTTGTGGGGAGCGAGATGGAGGCGAGGTTAAGCGGAAATAAGTAGTAAATTCAGCAGTAGGTAGCTGGGCTTCCTTTCAGTCAGGGATTGTGGCTAAGGCAAGGAAGAGGCTTCCAGGTATGTTTCTAGACTCCAACTCCCATCATCCCTGATCATTGTTCATGCTGGCGGGGCTGATGGGAGTTGGGGAGGGCGTAGTTCTCCCATTCCGGTGCTCTCTTCTCTGAAAGTTTTATGGGCTACTAGGGAATGCTGTCCAAAGTCAGTCTGTGAATGCCTTTTGTCTTTACATACATGCTGTAGAAGCAGAGCCACACCTATGCTACGGCCATCAGCAATTTCCTATGGCTACAGCCATCAGCAATATTTTGCTGCTGTTTCTAACAGCTAAGAAGCCTTCCCTTTCCAATCTCTTAACTGCATGTGCTCATTGAGTTGTTTGCTTGCCTCTTCTTGTTGCGCTCTCACTTGCCAGGCACTTCCAGCCCTGGTCTCATCCTTCCTGTAGGACACACAGCTGCTGGTCTCATTTTACAGATGGGCAAGTTGAGGCAACCTGTGGCTTAACTGTGTTGCAAACTACTTAGAGATTTTCTTTGAAATATGAAGTAGTATAGCGAACCAGGACCACACCAGTGAGCAGGCACCTGGACTGGAACCTCTTCCTGTTAGGTTTTTTACTTGCAGGCGGGTGTGTTTGAGGGGCTGTTGTGACTTGCAGAAGTTTCGAAAGTGCTGCCCTCTCCTCTGCTTGCAGCCCGAAGTGGTACAGCCTGCTCCATCCTCACAGGACTCTACCACCTTGCTTTGTTGCATCTGGATACCGCTTGGCCTTGCACATGCTGGGTCGCACCCCTTTTAATTTAATTTATTTTTTCTGCAGAGATGTCCAGGGATAAGCCTCGCCTCTACGCTGCTCTGGAGGTGGCGTCGGCCGCTGTTGCTAAGGTCAGTCACCAGAGGGGAGCAGAGAGTTGCTGATTTGTCATTGACCCCCAACCTCTGTCCTGAAATGAAAACTGGAGTCTAACATTGCATTGCCTTCCCCGTCTTTGGAGGCAAGGGAGTGTACCTGTCCCTGGGGAGGGACGGCATGGAGGAGAGGGCAGTTGATGGCTGCTGCCTCCACGGTCAGAGGCAGCGATACTTATGAGTCTCAGTGGCTGGAACCCACAGGAGGGGAGAGAGCTGCTCTTGTGCATGATTCCTGCTTGCACATTTCCCACAGACATCTGGCTGACCAGGGCGAGAGCAGGGTGCTGGAATAGATGGGCCTCCACTGACCTGATCCAGTTCTCGCATTACATTTGTTAGGGGGAAGATGGCTGTTTGCTCCTTTTTGAGCACTGAGGCCTGACGGAGCTGCTCTGTGTTTGTCTTCCAGGAGGAGGAGGGCAAAGATGACAGTGAAACCCTTGATCTCTACCAGCAGAGCCTGGGGGAGCTGCTGCTCATGTTAGCTGGTAAGGAGGGGGCAGCTTGTGGTGGGTGGGGGCTTAATGGGGGTGTAATACAGGTAGCAAGGGACGCGGGTGGCGCTGTGAGTTAAACCACAGAGCCTAGGACTTGCCGATCAGAAGGTCAGCGGTTCGAATCCCTGCAATGGGATGAGCTCCCGTTGCTCGGTCCCTGCTCCTGCCAACCTAGCAGTTTGAAAGCACGTCAAAGTGCAAGTAGATAAATAGGTACCGCTCCGGCGGGAAGATAAACGGCGTTTCCATGCGCTGCTCTGGTTTCGCCAGAAGCGGCCTAGTCATGCTGGCCACATGAACCGGAAGCTGTACGCCGGCTCCCTCGGCCAGTAAAGCGAGATGAGCGCCACAACCCCAGAGTCGGCCATGACTGGACCTAATAGTCAGGGGTCCCTTTACCTTTAATACAGGTAGCAAAACCAACCCTGCTCTAGTAAAAGCCCTTTCCTTTAAATAAGGATTCCGTTCCCCAAAGCCTGCAGGAATAAAACTAATTTCACCTGTTGGCGGGAGGACATCAAGGAGGGAGCCAGTCCGGCTCCTCTAGGGAGGGAGTTCCAACGTTGTCTAGCAGCAGCCACCACCAAGAAGGCCCTTTCCCACATCCCCACCAAGCGTGCCAGGGGACGACGACGAGAGAAGGGCCTCTGCGTGAGATCTCTGGGCGAGGCTACATGTGGGAGAAGACAGTCCTTCAGAGAGCCTGGGGCTAAGCCAGAGAGGGATGTGTAAGGTCTCCTGTGCAGTCTAACCCCACCTTCCAGGATTGATTGATCGATTGCACTTCTCTGCCACTTTCCATTCAGTCAAATCCTAAAGTAGCTTATCATGTACAACGTAAGTCATATTAAAGACTTAACAAATCATCAGCAAAAGCAACTACAGTCCATAAAACACCATGAGCAAAAACATGCTAAACATCACAGTTACAGCATAAATCATATTCTATGGTTTCCTTTCCTTCCTGCTTCCAGCTGAGCCTGCGGGAAGGAGACGGGAGTTGCTTCATGCTGAGGTCTGTATCCACCTGGTCCCTGGAGCTGTGCTTGGTCCCTTTGCTGCTGCTGTTATTTAGAAGTGGGGGAGCCCTGCAGGATGTATTTGGGGAGCCAGGGTGCCCAGCAGGGGGCACTAAAGGGCGCAGGCAGCAGAATGGACGTGGCTCAGCTGTTGTGGACCTGCAGCAAAATGTTGCAGCGTGGGACACTCCCGGTCTAAGATTCTAGTCGCTCCATTCTACCCCCTGCAAACTTCAGTCAGCAATCTGTCACTTCTGAGCCCCCGTTGAGCTTTTTTGGGGTTCCGCACCATCAGGGCATGTTTGCCCTGCGTTTATACTTCTGCAAGCCTTGGGGAAGCCTGCTGCCACAGTTCCTCGCGATTAGTGCCAGTTTGGCTACATAAATGATTGGCACTCACAGCTTGGACATTGGAAATAGAAGGAATTGTTATATGTATGTTGCACCACCTTTTCTTCCGTGGGATTCGAGGTGCCTTGCAGGAGGGTTTCCATGTGGTTTGCCTTCCTGCGTGACCCTCCTTTGAACTGTGGCTCCTTCTTCTTCTTTCCTCCTAATCTGACCGAGTGAATGACTGTTTGCAGATCCAGACACTGATGGGCCGAGCGGAATACCTGAAAGAGCAGATCAAGGTACAGGAGGGCACTTTGCGTTCTGTGGGGGCTGCAGTGAGGGCACACCTGGGCATCACGGGGCTGGCAGAGGAGGCTTGGCTGCGGCAGGGCATGGAAAAATAGATTTGGGTGGTTTATTGTTTCATAAGGTTTATACACTGCTTAATTGATTTTAAAAGCAACACAAACCCAGACTCAAAGCAAAGATAATATTTTCTGAAGATTGGCTGAGTCACTGTAGGCTCTTAAGTGCCATAGAGTTGGAAGACCCCTCCTAATGCTGGAATCTCAAGTAAAGCATCCTTTGCAGAATCCGTGCTGTGGGAGCAAGGTGGCCTTTGGGGCTCCGTTCCTGCCTGGCGTGTGCTTGGTCCCTGGGCTCGCTTCCCAGAGAAGCTCACTGCCTTTGGAAGAAGGGCCTCCTTGGAAGCCCCTCTTGGCCTGGTGCAGGGGGAGGGGGTTGACATTCGCCTTGTTAGCTGGTGGGAGTTGGGTGTCCCCAGAGGGCCACCTGCCCCCTACCTGTCACCTTCTGGAGATCCAATTCCGGAGCCCATTTCTTTGCGTGTTCAGAGGCAGCAGGCCATTGGCTGACAGCTCTGGAAGGAGGAAGGAGGCAGGGATTGGGAGCAGGAAAGCACTGTTGCCTTCACATCCTTCTTCAGAGAGCCAGTGTGGTGTAGTGGTTAAGAGCAGTGGACTCGCAATCTGGTGAACCGGGTTCGCTTCCCCGCTTCTCCACATGCAGCTGCTGGGTGACCTTGGGCCAGTCACACTTCTCTGAAGTCTCTCAGTCTCACTCACCTCACAGAGTGTTTGTTGTGGGGGAGGAAGGGAAAGGAGATTGTTAGCTGCTTTGAGACTCCTTCGGGTAGTGATAAAGCAGGATATCAAATCCAAACTCTTCTTCAAGAATATGCAGGTCCTTTTGAAATACTTTAAATAAATAAAATCTTCCCGGCTTCCTGGCTCATTGGGCCGGCTGCTGCATGTGGGGCAGAATAGTGGCCCCTGTGGACTTTGGGGTCTCACCCAGCAGGATTCTTCCTCTAGCCCTGCTGTCTAAGTGGAGTTTCCATATGCAGAAGCAGCCTACCTCTGAATGTTAGTTGCTCTCTCTGTGTCTGTATGGTACTCCAGTGGGGGAGAGCTGTTGCCTTCCTGTTCTCCTCATGGACATCTCAGAGGCCCCAATGGAAACATGATCCTGGTCTTAGATGGGCCCTTTCTCTGATCCAGCCAGGCCCCTCTCGCGCCCTCATGGAGATCAGAGGAGATGACCCACCTCACTCCTCTCCCTCTCTTCCTTCTCCTTTTCCTCCAGATGAAGGAGTCGCAGTGGGAAGCGGAAGCCATTGGCAAGGAGGGGATGCTGGACTCTGTGAGAAGCTGTGAGTGCCCGTTCACTTCCTTACCAAGTCTTGGCTGGGTTCTGTTGGCGTTCTTTATTCATAGACTCATAGAACTGTGGGTCCCCGAAGGGGTGTCTAGTCCAACCCCTGCAGTGCAGGAGTCTCAGCTAAACAATCCCTTACTGTATTTCATAGAATCCTAGAATGGTAGAGTTGGAAGGGAGCACAAGGGTCATCTAGTCCAACCCCCTGCAGTGCAGGAATCTTTCACTCAACCTGGGGTGCAAACCCATGATCCTGGGATTAGGAGTCTCGTGCTTTACCGACTGAGCTCTTCCTCAGGGTTATCATAAAATTCTTGCCTCCCAAAGCATTTCACAGCAGATATTTATACTTTAAAAACCAGAAAGTGACCATCCATGGCTACTAACCCTGACGGCTTTGTTCTGCCTCCTGCTGGCTACCTTTTACCTCCACGCCCAGAGGCAGGAAACACTTCTGAATCCTAATTGTTGGAAACTGCAGGAGAGGAAAGTTGCCCTTGTGCTCAGATCCTGCTCGTGGTCTCCCCACGGGAATCTGGCTGACCCCTGTGAGAGCAGGATGCTGGCCTCAGTGACGGGACACGGGTCAGATCCAGATGTAGGTCTCTTCTTGCATACTTTCATGCAGGACCAATTTTCATTTTTGTATAGCTGTTCCCGAAAGCAAGCCAGAACGAAGGCTCAGTAAAGGCCAGGCATCCTCTCGCCTCCCTGGGAGATTTGTACAAGCAAATTGGGGCGAATGCTGGACTGAGCAGGCCTGGCGCCCGCTGGGACTTGCAGGGAGGCAGCCAGAGTTCATGAGAGGTGGAGCTGGCTAATTCTAGCTTTGAGTCTACAAGGGGCAGCACTCATAGAGTTGTAGCATTGTAGCTGTAGCATCACAAGTGAAACATCCTGGACAGCAGGCCACTGAGACTAAAGAGGAGGCTGACCACCATGGCCACGTACCTGGGCTAGTTGGAAAGTAAGAAAAGAGGCAGGTGTAGGCTGACCGAGAGTGGCGAGGCAGTGTGCCCTTCGCCCAAATGGCCTCCGCCGAGCAGGTGAGCCCTGGGGGAGCCCAGAGAGACACAGAGCTGCAATCCTGCAGCCCAGCCCAGTCTCCCCACTTCCGGGTTCTGGCCCTGCCTGCCTCCTGGTGCCTGCGACCACCGACGCCTGCCCTCCCAAGCGAATCTGCAGGCCGGTTTCGAAAAACAAAGTTCCCCCATCCCTGCTGCAGGTCATCTGGGGTGAACAGTTTGCACATGCGCACATGTGCTATTTTGAGTGGAAGGGAATGGGGTCAAGCGCCTCGTGCAGGTGTGCAAACGATACTTTTATTTTGCTTAAAGTCTCAGTTGAGGGTTGAGTCTGCAGACTTCATAAGATGAAAGCAGGGGTTGCCCAGCCCCCCCCCCAGTAAGCAGGACTAATTTTTCCATTGCAGGGGGGCTGGGTGTGTGGAGAGGGAGAGTAGGGTGGGCAGATTGTGTGTGGGGGTGTATGTGTGTTACTATATAGACAAAAACTATAGGAATGGCAGAGCCCCCATTTCAGTGTTCTGCTGTGCTAAGTGGAGTGGAGCAAAATCCTCATGGGGGAGCAGATCAGACACAGCAGGGCTGTCTGTGAGGTTTCGGGGGGGGGGGAGGTGGCCGCATAGTTCCTCCTTCCCAGGGAGGCAGGAGATCTTTATGTGTGTCTCCTTCCAGCTTGGGTGGGGTCTGCAAGTCACCCCTCCCCTCTTCCCCTTTTGAGCTTGGCTGGTTAATTGGAATTAACTGCCCTGTTGGTCCTCTCTCCCCACACTTTCTTTCCCGCAGCTGGGCCTCAGGAGCATTGGTCGTCCCCAGGGGAAGAAGGGGCAAAGAGACCTTTTCTTCTCCCTGCCAAATGGCCTGGAAACTATAAAGCCTGGGAGCAGGGGCCGTGTCTGTCCACCCAGGCATTTGCACGCTTATTGAATCCGGGGGGCGGGGGGGGCGGGGAGTCCTCACTCTGTTTTGCCCAGGGGGGTGGGGGGCAGGCAGGTGTCCAGAAGGACCCAGAGAGACAATCCTTTGAAGTGGGGGGGGGGGAGGAGGAGAGGGGAAATGCTTTCCCCAGGAGCAGCCACCATGCTAGGCAAGCAACAGTAGTGGGGATTTGCTTTTGTTATTATTTCTATCAAAGCAAAATGCATTTTAGTTTGGGGGTGGGGGCAGAAACGCTCAGCCTCACATTTGACACGGAAATCTCCCCAGAGGCTCAGAGGGCGCGTTTTATGATGATGAGGATGGTTTATCGTTTTAATCCTTCATCTTTGCTTGCCGTAAGCTCCTGAGCCTGGGAGAAGTCAAATGAGGTAGAGGGGGGTCCTGGCTGGCGGCAGGACCTTCATTCCCGGCCTGAGCTTGTGAATGGGCTTCCTGGGCTTAGTGATGTCCCCTTGCCAAGTGGCTGCGTGTCAGTTTCACAAAAACACCCCAGGCTGACTTCTCTGGTTCATTCCCTAATCCAACAAGGTGCAACAGTTAATCACATAAAGACATTTGCATTCTGCATCGCAGGGGGCTGGACTAAATGACTCTTAGTGTCCCTTCCACCTCTGCCATTGCTACTTTCCCCTTCCTCTACAGCAGCCTTCCCTGTCTATTTGTTTTTGGTTTGGTCACCATGGGCAGGCAGTATTCAGTGCCAGTCCTACTCAGAGTGGACTCACTGAAGTTAATGACGAGGGCTAACTTAGGACCATTGATTTCAGTGGGTCTACACTGAGCAGGGCTTAACAGTCCCATGGCTTTCTTGGCCGGGGTGGTGGTGGTAGGTAGCTAATACAGACTTAAAAGGGAAGCCTGCTTCAAAACATTGTTGTGTAAAGACACACCTGCTTATGGTGAGAGTCAGCCATGCCCTTGTGCATGACACTCCGTTCTGTACCCATTCCTCCTTCAATGTTCCCACATTCTGTGAGTTGCAGCCAGGCTCCCCCAGATGTGCTGTTTTTCCCCCCAGGATAATCTTTATTGGTTTTTTGATTACATACTATACATACACATACAGTCATACCTCGGGTTACAGACGCTTCAGGTTGCGTTTTCTCGGGTACCCAGAAGTACCAGAACGGGTTACTTCTGGGTTTCGGCGGTCGCGCATGCGCAGAAGTGCTAAATCGCTCTTTGTGCATGCACAGAAGCACCAAGCTGCAACCCGCACGTGCGCAGACGTGCCGCTGCAGGTTGCGAATGCTGTGGGTTGCAAGTGTGCATCCCGCACGGATCATGTTCTCAACCCAAGCGTCCACTATATTGCATTACATTTTACATTTATACTTGCTCCTAGGAGCAGGTGTGCTGTGTTTCAAGGAGGGAACAAAGGGAGGAAGAGGAGAAAAAACCTCCTTCTTGCAGGAAAGCAAGTATGTCAGGGAGATCCATTTGGCCCTGAGCAGAGCAGCTTTCCACATACAGAGCTGTTCTTGAAATAATCATTTACCCCTTATTAAACTAATGATTATAAAATAACAGTTAAAATTTTGCCTCAAATTTTACTGCCCACGTCTTGAGCAACAGCGGGGAGCCTCAGGCCCAGGAGTTGGATGTGGCCCTCCAAGCCTCCCCGTCTGGCCCTCAGGGACTCTCCTGAGCCACAGCCTCCCTGGCCCTGCTTTGCACCTGGCTAGAATGTGCCCCTGAACTCAGAGCCCCTTCCTTCTCTGGGGAAACTTGCATTAACTGCTGGGCCTGCTTTCCCCCTGGCTTCGCCCACCACTGACATGCGGCCTGTAAAAGGTTGCCCAGAAGGGAGCGTGGCCCTCGAGCTAAAGAAGAGTCCCCTGAGATTGCTGCGTCTGATTTGAAAGTAGGGATTTTCGTTTTCAAACAAAGGTGTGGATTTATTTGGATGCTAGTCAGCCTCTTTGTGTTTTCTCTTCTGCAGCCTGTACCTTGCAGTAGTTGCCTGGATGGTGCCCAATGGATTCAGCCCCACGAACAACAGGCGGTCCTCTTGCCTGGACACAGTTTATGCACTGAAGATTCGCGGTGGCTGTTGGCATGGAATTGGGTTTGGGTTTTGAACACACACACACACACACACACACACACACACACACACGGAGGGAGCATTCTTTGTTAAGTGTGAGGTTATTTAAACGGTCATTGCTTGTATAGTGTAATTAATTTATATACTGCTAATTGTAATTTTGTTGAGCAGCGTTAAGTCTAAGCGGGGGCTCCTCTAAGCGTTTTAATGTACAGGAATTAAGCTCAGGGCAGCTACATGCCCCTCTCAGGAGATGCAAAGCATGGAATCAAGAGGGTTTTTTCCGAGGGTCCGATTGTATGGGGAGGGCCTTTGCTATAACGATTGGGGTTTTAGGTTCTCTGGTAGGGGGAAGAGCAGGGCTCACACTGAGCACTTTACTGTCTTCACCTATAAACTGCTTTCTACTTCATGCCCTCGAGAGAGATGTGCTTATTCCACCAATTTTGTTAAGCACAGGTCATGGGAGGGGAGGGACTTGTTCTGTTCAGAGAAAGAGCTTGATTAGACTTTTTCCCCCAAGAGGAAGGAAACTGCTGTGGTTACATTATCCACTAACTGGGACGCCCCAGTGTTTTATTGCTGGTGGGGAGAAAGGGAGGGGGCTTGTAGAAGAAACTGAGCATAGGAAGCTGCCTTCATGTAGTCAGACAATGAGTCTGTCTAGGTTAGAATTGTCTGCACTGACCGGCAGCTGCTGCCCAGTATTCCAGGCGGCGGAGTGGGGTGTGTGTGTGTCTCACCTCACCCTCCCTGGAGATGAACCCGGGACCTTCTACACGCAGAACGCCTGCTCAGCTGTGAGGCCCTTTCCCCACACGGGGGCAGCGGGGAGAGACGGAAAGGCCTTTGTTTTGCCTTGGCTGGGCCACAAAGGCTGCTGTAGCAAAGAGGCAGCCAGGCCCATCTGCCTTCTGTGCTCCCAGGGCGCTTGCAGGAGGTTATTAATAGAGCTCTGGGAGAACCTTGCCAAGACCCGGCTCGTCTTAGCCACAGATGATGGAGCCCCCCCCCACTCCGCCCCTGCCATGGTCAGAGAAGCTTTTGATTTGTCTCCCTTCCACTCTCCTCCTCCTTTCCCCACCCCCCTTGAAGGCGAGGATGGGCAGTCCCCCTCCCCCTTAACATCTGGCTTGTGCTGCTTTCCAAGACCCTCCAGGTCTCTAGCGAGGCTGCGCTCTGGAGTCGCAGCTCAAAGGAAGCAGAGCGACAGCAAAGATGATCCTGTATGAAATCCTCTCTGCAGAAATCTCTCCCAGGGTTGCGGCCGGCGTGAAGGGGGGGCTTGTCTAGGTGTCCCTACCTGAGTTCAACACCGTCCATCATTTCAGCGGCACTAACCAATGAGCAGTTTACACCTTTCGTCCGGCGCAATTAGTCCCCTTGGCTGCTACCTTATTTTACACCATCAGCGAGGCAGAAGTGCTATACCTGCAGTTCTCTCTGAAGCTTCTACAGCAGGAACTCCTGCGGTCTCCAAAATGCTTCTTTATCTGTGACAAAGCTTGCTCACTCCCTTTCTATCACGCAACATATGGCCTTGTTCTCTTCCCACCCAGCAGTTTCCCTTCAAGAACACTCTACGATTTAACCATTTGAGTCTTCAGTTATGCATGGAAGTGTGCAGAACTGAACTTAGGGCAGCAGGAAGACTGATCGGGATTCAGATTCACTCATCCCTTCCCCTGTGCTAGTGCTCAGCCGCCCACTGCACCAACAAGCTGACCTGGTGACCAATGCCCATTGCAGGCCAGTGGGGGGCAGACAAAAGAGGCAGCGGATGGTCAAGCGAGCAAGTTCTAGTTTTGTCCCATTCTGCTCCCTCCTGAGGCTCACCAGGGTCAGTGCTGAGCCTAGGGAAGAGGAGAAGGTCAGCAGACAGGGCCACCCTAAGGGGCCCACCATGGCTGGTGGCAGCACAGACACTGTTCTGGAGTCCCACAATGCCCTGAGCTTGGTCTCTTTCCTAGCTGCCTGCCTGATGGGCATTTGTGAGACTTCAGCTCTCATGATCCATGGCCATCTTTGCTGGGGCTGATGGCAGTTTCTGATTTGATCCCGGAATCTCCCACTTTCCCTTAGGATGTCCCTATTTTCATTGGTAAGGGACGCGGGTGGCACTGTGGTCTAAACCACTGAGCCTCTTGGGCTTGCCGATTGGAAGGTCGGCAGTTCGAATCCCCGCGACGGGGCGAGCTCCCATTGCTCAGTCGCAGCTCCTGCCAACCTAGCAGTTCGAAAGCACGCCAAAAGTGCAAGTAGATAAATAGGTGCTGCTCTGGCGGGAAGGTAAACGGCGTTTCCATGCGCTGCTCTGGTTTCGGTGTTCCGTTGCACCAGAAGCGGCTTAGTCATGCTGGCCACATGACCCGGAAAAACTGACTGTGGACAAATGCCGGCTCCCTTGGCCTGTAAAGTGAGATGAGCGCCGCAACCCCAGAGTCGTCTGCGACTGGACTTAACTGTCAGGGGTCCTTTACTTTTACCTTTTTTAAAATTGGTGCATAAATCTTATGAAAATTTAAAAAAAAACAGTGAGCACAGGAATCTTAGTTTATTTTTAAGGGAAGGGCACTGGTTAGAGCAACTGCTTTGCACACAGAAGGTCCTGGGTTCATAGAATCAGAATGGTAGAGCTGGAAGGGACCCCAGGGTCATCTAGTCCAACCCCCTGGAATAAGGGTTCAGTAACCTCTCGTCCTATCTCTCCTTGTCCTACATTAACTTTACAAACTTCTATCATGTCACCTTTTTCTTGCCTTCAAACTAAAAAGTCCCAAATACTGCAGCATTCCATCTCTTGGATTGTTTGGGTCTGCCCTTTTCAGAACTTTTCCCAACTCTACAGTATCCTTTTTGAGGTGAGGAGATAGCAAATCTATGTGCTTTGACTATGTGAACTGCAGCCCAGATGTTTCTGGTTTTTGTCTAAGACCAGCTTTTGGGGTTCCTGTTAAATCATCCCTTTCTTTACTACCATGAGAACTGAAATAGAGTAGACCTATTGAAATTAGCATGCAGTTTCAATGGATCTGCTCTGATTAAGACTAGCAACGAGTGCAGTCCCTTCTTTCTTCAAGTATGGAAAGCACTACTATGTCCCCCAAAGTGCAGGATAGCAAGGCTCTCTGTGTCTGGATCACAACCGCAAGGTGCATTTTGCACAGCCCACGATTTGCTGCCCCTGCTATGCAGGCAGGTGGAAGATCCTGGCAAAGCACATGCAGTCTGTCAGTTCTCAGGCTGCTCCCAGGATTCCAGTGCAGCAGAAACACCCTCAGATCCCACTTCAGGTGTCTGGCCTATAAAGGCTGTGAACAGGTGAGCAATGCCTGGAAGTGATTTCCTGCTCACTGGACAAGTCACTGGATATTTTAATGGCAGCTGCTACTCTTGAGCTGCTAACCTGCTGAGTCTTAGCTGCGCTCCAAGAGCTGTGGGGTCTGGAAATGTCCTTGGTCTTAAGTAAAGTTTCTTGGCTTTAAATTCATTTATGGGTTGGCAAGTGAAGCCTCCCTGTTGCATCTGGGAGTTCTTTGGAAGGTCGTCAAGAGGAGATGTCAACCATCTCTTTATTAAGTCATCTGCCGCCACCGCCACTCTGGCCAGCATTTGGGATCTAGTCTTTCTAAATTTGCATCGCTGCAGACCTCAGATGCATGTACAGAGAAACAGAAAAACATTTTAATGTGCATATTTTTGTATATAGAATGGCCTCAAAGGCATGAACATTTTGTTGCTGCTAAGAGTCAAGTAGCGTTAAGGACCAGGCTGCATGCGGATATCATTAAGGATATCATTTAACATTCCACGTGCCTTTGGAAAATTGTTTATGCGTAGCAGCTGTTTGCTCACATGGTTATTGGGACATCAGGGGGTGGGAGGGATTTTGCCCTTTCCTCCCATGCTACAGTCCCAGCAGACATTCACACCCACCCACAGCTCAGAACTGCTGCTCATCCCAGGTGAGAAACTTCCATCAGCACCAGCCTTATATATATATAATCTCCAGTTGGTGCTAGCAGTTGACTACAAGGCACCAACCCAGTTAGAGGGAAAGATCAGCCCCTGTGTCATCACTCATTGGTTCTTGCCATACTGACCACCGTTGATGCAACATGGAGTCCTGCCTGCCATAACCTCCCTGCTCCTCCACAAGAACCTTGGCTGGGTGTGCAAGACCACTCTCTCCTCGCAGTTGCCTGCAGGGTGAGCAATGTGCTCTCACTTCACCTTAGAGCTGTGGTAGGATATTGGAGATTTTTAAGCATGCTTTAGTTGAGATTCCTGCATTGCAGGGGGTTTCACTAGATGACCCCCCAGGATCCACCACAACTCTACAGTACTATGGCAGTTGAAGATACCAATGCAGATGCAAAGTCAAAGCACTCTGCACATGCACAGATACTCAGGGGCTCTCCTCTCCCCCCGCAGAAGTTAATGTAGGGGCTGGGTGGGTTGAGGAAAATACTGAATTGCACTTCGCAGCAAGAAAAGGTTGGTTGTAAATTGCTTATTGCCTTGGGTAAGACAAAAAGTGATTAACAAATTTTAATAATAATAGTTATAATACTAATGGGCACATTTGCTTATCTTGCATTGTGTCACGCAAGGCGCTGCTAGAGCCCTGCTGCTCTCTTTCTGATCTGGCTCGGCCCAGCCTTGTTCCACAGCTTCTGAAAGTTCACTGGGCATCTGCTCTACCTTTCAAGCCTCTTTTAACAATCACAGGGGCTAGGAGCTTGATTTCTAAGGATGCCAGTGTTTCTGCAATCAGCACCAAATGTCAGAATGTAAACTTTGCCCAAGACAGAGGTAGCTGACATGGTGTTGGGCAGATGTCTTTGACATCCCTGACCACACTGGCGGGAATGGTAGTACAGTCACACCCCGGGTTGAAGTAGCTTCAGGTTGAGCGTTTTCAGGTTGCGCTCCACAGCGACCCAGAAGTAACGGAACATGTTACTTCTGGGTTTTGCCGCTCGCGCAGACACTCAAAATGACGTCACGCGCATGCGCGGAAGCGGCGAATTGCGACACGCGCAGATGTGGGTTGCATTCGCTTCAGGATGCGAACGGGGCTACAGAATGGATCCCGTTCACATCCAGAGGTACCACTGTACAACAATCTCCAGAGGACACCTTGTTGAATATCTCAGGTCTATGAACCTGAGGCACATGTCAACAAGAAAAAACACAAACAGCGGTGATGTCACTTTTGTCAAAAAATTTATAGAAGTTGCACCGAAACATTTCCCCTAAAATTCTGCATCTTCTCTCCTGCACAGAGATGGTAAGTTCAAATGCATTAACATTATTTGGTTACCATTCAGTTCCTACAGGTCTAACTTTCTACATACATGTCCAAGTTTGTACATCGTACATACTGTATGCCCAAAAGGACAGCAGCTGATGCAGACTTAGGTCTGCACACGACAACTAAGCAACACGTAGCCCAGCCGATTGTGCTCAAAACTGTCAAGGAAGAGACCAGCCTGGCAAAACTCAGCCACTGGCCATAAGTACCACCTTGTATTACCACCACAGCCACCACCTCAGAGGTTGCAGGCAGGGTGAAGGCAAAGCCATCTGCTGGCTTCTCCATTCCTTAAAAACGTAAAGGGACCCCTGACCATTAGGTCCCGTCACGGACGACTCTGGGGTTGCGGCGCTCATCTCGCTTTATTGGCCGAGGGAGCCAGTGTACAGCTTCCGAGTCATGTGGCCAGTGTAACTAAGCCGCTTCTGGCGAACTAGAGCAGCGCACGGAAATGCCATTTACCTTCCCGCCGGAGCAGTACCTATTTATCTACTTGCACTTTGTGCTTTCAAACTGCTAGGTTGGCAGGAGCGGGGACTGAGCAACGGGAGCTCACCCCGTCGAAACGCTAGGCTCTGTGGTTTAACCCAAAGCACCACCTGCGTCCCTCTCCATTCCTTAGGCACAGGTAAAAAGGCTCCATCGGGAAGGTGGTGGCTCCACTGCGCCTAAGGGAAGCTGGGCTGGTTTGATGTGTCTAAAAATACTGATGCAGCTTCTTAGTGGGAACCATCTGTGGAAGGTAACAAAAGGAATCTGTGGGAGGTAACTTTGCAGAAGTGTCGTGTAAATGCACTCTCTTGCAAGGTATTTAATTCTTCGTTTAGAAAACCGAAATCAGATAATTCTTATCGTTTACATTCACAACACGTTCACGGGGAAGCTAAGGGGGGGTTTCCATGGCCATTCAGA